GAGAGACACCTTCTGGAAGGGGATACAGCTCGAGTAACCTCTTTTGCAAGTCTGCAGCCCAGGGCATGTATCTTTCGTCCGCTCTGCTCTTGCGTTAGTGACCAACATTGAAGCAAACTGTGATAAAGGTAATTGCTAGGATACTCAACATAAGAGAGGGGTTTCCCTTCCTCCCGTATGTTCAGCAGTGGGTAACAAAGGACAAAGAGAGAAGGGCAAGGGGATGTCGAAAAGTTCCGCAAAATGCTCGGAACGACTGGGAGGCACAGTCATCATAGGCTTCGGCCAACAAGACAGTAATTCAAGCGCAATTGAATCCAAAGATAGGCCTCTTCCAACGCACTCGCATTTCGATAATTTGAAACAAATGTTCTAGCATGAGTAGCGGGTTGACGAGAAACTCCACTACGAGGCTTGCTCAAGCTTAATTGGAAGGATATCCAGTGTTCAAGAAGCTCACGTGAACAGGATCCCAAGAGGTGAGGGTGAACTCGCATCTCAGTGTTGTGGACAACTTTGTCACTGAACCGACTGGGGAGTTTCCCGAGATGAAGACAAGAAACAAGTGCGAAGCGAAATAGCACCGAAATAAACCTACCCATCCGAGTCTTGCTCGTCTGCTTCACCTCGTGGATAACATTCCACGGCACCTAGTTGTCCTAGCCGCTTATGCAGCTTCCTAGCAGCCCAGTTAAATCTGCAGGAAATGTCAGCCATTGGAATCGTTACCGACAACAGTTAACTTTTTCTCCAAGGAGTGAAAGAAGGGGGGGGGGAAGCCAGAGGGCCAAGAGACATACTTGATGTACAGGCTATCGCCAAGTCCAAAGGTCGTGAACTTGACCGCACCAAGGCAGCCTGGTGGTAGCTTCTTCCTTAGAAGGCTTTTCCAAAAGGCAATCGAGTTGCGGGGCATATCTCCCTGACCTGTCGTTGATATGACGAAGACGACTAGCGAATATTGGAGTAACATGCTCTGCCAGAGAAGTCAGCCATATGTAAGGCACCATGTCCAAAGAGTTTTGATCCGTGTGTCTTAGACTGCGACCCTAGGCGGATTCGCAGCAGCACACTTTTGTCTTGACAGACTTGAGCAAAACTCACCAGCTGGGCCCCGTTCATCTCATCAACCTTCGTCTTGAAATGCAGACGCTGGGCGTTGCGACCGATTTCTTCAGCAATGTCCTGAGCATTGCCGGTCTCCGAGCCGTAAAGAACCAACATGGACCGGCCCGGCAGGTTAGCCACCACGGCTGGCTCGGGGCTGGTGGTTTCGGCGGTCATGTTCTTGAACCGACTTCGAAGCGGGGTACTTGTTACTTGGGAAAAGTTGACGGCAAATTTCATCCGTGTGTGCTTGTAACGTTGAAGTGAACAGCAGCGCGGTCCGGGTGGAACCTTTCAAAAATCGTGACTCTAAGAAGATGAGGCTCTCGGGTCTGCTAGCGCGGGGGTGCAGCTTCTCAGAAACGTTTTTCTTTGCCTACCAAGCGGCATCGGAGCTGCAGGAGCCATTCGGGCTCTCAATGCGCGAGAATGCAAAAATGCATGTGCTCTGTGAAGTCACGTGTTATCGCACTTGCATGGTCTTGAGCTACCCAGGCACAAGTCGGAATTTGGTATTCTCACTCAGATGCAATTGTCGAAAAAAGAGCGAGTCTAAGTCGTGATAGTCGAGTCCAGAGACAACCCTCGAAACGTCATCGAGTGCCCGGCATTGTCTGGGGCAAATGCTCCTGCGAGCGTAGCCTGTCAAGGCCTGTGTGACAGTCAGCCACAAGCATGGATAACACCCAGTGACCCAACTCCCAAGATTCAGGTAGGTACCTTTTCGCATGCGCCACAGATGCGAGAGAATCCCATCGAAGAGGTACAGGGCACCAGGACCCAGTGCCGGAACCTAGAAAGTCACTAATCCCAACGAGATTAGAGCGGCGATTCAAGATGCGGCGGTGTGCTGCCTTGCATGCAAGGTAACGGTTGGGCGGGCTGGGACCACCTCACACACACGGGAGGTCGGCGCTGGTGTCACTCACCAGGCAAGGCGAGCGACAACATGCCCCATTCTGAAGAAGCTCCTGTGGAGAAGCTTGAGGCGCCTTACTGCGAGACGACAGATGAGGCAAAGTCAGGGAAAACCTTCACGACTCAGGTCTCCGCCTCACCACGCCTCAAGCTGCTGACACGACTGTTTCCGTCCTCACCGAATCCCACGCGAGCTCAGGGTGCTGCTGATAATGCCGGCCAAAGAGTGAAATGATATATGCGGTTTTGACGACGAGAGTCATCCGTTCTGTCCGGGCAGATGCCCTTTGCGCTACGATATCATTACCATCCTGTTTGGGAGATTATCTGTCAATCTGTACGCGCGACAGTCATTCCCTTGCTGATTGGTGTTGGTTGAGTACGAATATTCGCTCGTGTTGATATCAATATCGGACATGAGAGCACGGGATTGATAGGAGAAGCTAAGTCTAGGACAAGGGACAAGGGGAAACTTCTGCCTTCGTCCCTTCTTTGCACTGTCGGCTACCCCCCTGCATGGGACCGTTATGACCCATGGAGCCTTAGCGTAGGTTGCTAGGGGACCCTCACCAAAGTCTTCATGCGCTCCGCGAGATCCAGTGGGCCATGGGAAATTGTATCATTCCGGACGCCAAAGCATCTCTCCGCGGTCCCATAGATACGGGAGGACGATGTTGACCGGGGACGGGAGACGGGCCCTGAATTGGCATCCGCCGGAGCCACATTGCTGAACCGGCCGGACCAGCCGTCGCGTCACTCGTATGTGTGTGCGAGGTGCCATTGCATTGCCGTGGCTGGAGCTTGGAATTGGCGACGTGTAATTACACTGCTGACTGTGTCGCTTGCTCTAGTCCCGCCGTCCAGTCTAGTTGGTTGACTACTGCAAGGTGCAGACCGACCTAAAAAACAAAGTGCATTGACAGATGTTTTTAGCTGAGTTAGAGTAGAGCCAGGTAAAGTGAGGAAAGGTTAGGCAAGACAGAAACATTCGATGGACGTACGCATGCATGGCAGTTAGTCCACGCAGACCGTAGATTTAAATCTCCGACATGTGTCTCTCGGACGGAATAGTCTGGAGGAAAGGTTGGTCGTGATCGTTGACAAGGCCGGCAATTGCACAGCCTTAGCTTCAAGAGGAATCCACTCGTCTTCCGGCGGACGAGTATGATTTCGACCTGTACCAGGAAGGATGAGGTACCAGTCAGTAGAAGACCAACCGGCAAGATTTGCCGATGTTGGGCTGATTCTGAGCTTTCCGAGACGATGTTGCACGAGAGCGTCCCATCCGGCAGCTCTCATAGCATAAAGATGAGGGGTTGTAACCAGATAAAGACGAGCATTCTTCGAAGATCACAGCTGTCGCGATGGATCAGGAGAGTATCGCTTGGTGACTCTTCCCAATAGTTGACAGGTGGGTCCCAAAAAAGCCACGTTGATTGTTGCAACTCTTGCCGATGTTGGGGAGAACTGCGAGGTACAGATACTGGTGGCCAATCGGGATTTGTGGATGCGGCAAACGTGAGCAAATCGGGTCGACAAGCACCTGGCCATGTTGAAGATGCCAGAATATCAGACCCCAAGATTTGAAGACTGAACATCGCACGTGAGTAACCACAGTGGGCGCAAACCGCGAACTTTGGGCCGATACCTAGACAGACAGGTCGGGACCAGACCCTCTGGGAAGACCAGACCGTAGCTGCCGAGATCTCTGTCGCATTTTCCGGCGGCCAGTGGCTCCACGAACACGCACATCAGCGGGTGGGCACTGGTTCAGGCCTGGCTTGGCTGGGATCCCATCGCGACCATTTTGCGGGGGAAGAGTCATACCACCGCCCTGATAGGCCGATACTGTTGTCACCGCCTGGGCAGATCACACAGGTTTCTTCTCGTTTGAGTTGCATGTTTTTTTTGTTGATGGTCGGATTGCTCAGCATATGCTACAGCCAGTCATCGTCTGTATTGGCGACCAATGTGGCTGATAAGGTCTGATATAAAAACGAATGTCACGGCATCGGTAAAGAGTACAGCAAGGTACATCGATGGAAAGGGGGGGAAAGAAAGAAGAAGAAAAAGAAGCAATGAAGAAGCTGCACCTTTCTTCTCCTAGCAGGGGTTGCCGTCTGGCCCATCTCCAAAAGCCCGTGCTCTGTGGCTTGAAAAGATGGCCTGTCAGGTACCTGCCATGTTCAACACTATCGTGTGGGTCTTCACAGGGCATTCCACCGCCTTGCCTCCCCCAGTGTTGGTAAGGGGACCTCCTTCCACTTCATCACTGGCGAGACCACCTTCCAGGAAGGTTCGGCTTAATAAGGCACCTTCGCACCTGTGCACCTTTGTAACAGTTGACGCGCGAGGAAGGAGCTGAACAACTTGATCCATCAGGCTTTGAAGACGTCTTCTAAAGTAGGAACGAAGCTGTCATCTCGAGTTTGCACAAAAGCACTGTTCGGCCTTAGGCTCTAATTGATAAATATATCTTACGCAGTAATTACAGAAAAACAATAGGCACATCGCGTCATCCGGCGAGAAACATACGGAAAACTACTGCCCTGCCGTCATTTCCATTCGTGTCTTCCCCCTTCCCCCTTCTCCTTACCCCATACCCCCTGCCCGGCTGCTGCAGACACAATAGGCAAGTACCCACCCACATCCTCGTCCTTCCGCACCGCCACAGCAGCCTAGGAGCCCGCTCTTGCCATCCCAAGGTACCCAGAACGTGGGCCGCACCTGCTGTCCGGTGGGTTTGCGCCTCGCTTACCCTCGTCCGCCGTTCCCCCTGCTCACCAGAAAAAAAAATATTTGTATTTGAGGTCGCGGCTTGAGCCATCCCTTTCCTCTCTCCTTTCCCTCCACATCACAAATTCAAGATCCTGTGTCACCGCGCAACGCAACGTCGTCTGTCAACTTTTTTCAAGCTTTCTAGGGCACCAAGCTACCCTGAGAAAATTCCCCCTCATTGTTTCAGAGTTCTAATCCACCGAACTTCCATTCTCCATCAATCCGAATCTTCGTTCCTGTCACCGGGTCCAAGTTCGCACGTCATCTGTTATCACGCACTTCACCGAAACGCAGCCTCAACCACCACAAACCTCCGTCTCCATCCACCAGACCAATACCGCCAAAATGTCTGCTGCCGTCGAGAAGGTTTCCGAAGCCGTCAATGACGTTACCAATGCTCTGAGCAATGCCACTATCTCCGACAAGGCCGCCGACAAGCCTGCCGCCAACAACGATGCCGTCCTCGCCAGCGCTGCTGAGGGACGTCGTCTGTACATCGGCAACCTGGCCTACGCGACAACGGAGGGGGAGTTGAAGGAGTTCTTCAAGGGTTACCTTGTGTAAGTTGTTGTTAATCTTCTCGTCGTCACTTTAGTCGTCACCGACCTCATTGTCGTCCCCTACCCGTCGTCATATCATCCTGGGGCCTGCTGTACGCGGTAGTTCAGGCTCGTCCCCGTGGGAAGCTGTACCTTCCCAAAGCACATGTTCCCCACATATCCTCTACGGCACTGCTTCTGACATCGCATCGATGCCCACTTGCTTGCATCGTTTGCACTTGACTCACGATGCATCGAGGTTGGGCGTCGTGTCTGTTTCTGCCCTGCTGCTACTGCTGCCTAGACCGCTTCTCTCAGCTGTCACGATGTTGCAGCGTGGCCTCTCATCCCTCTCCTGCCCCGCAAAATTCCACCCACTTGCGTCACACATGCCAACTCATACTGACCCGCCTTTTTCCATAGCGAGTCCGTCTCCATTCCCAAGAACCCTCGCACCGACCGACCCGTTGGCTACGCCTTCGTCGACCTCTCTACCCCATCTGAGGCTGAGCGCGCCATCTCTGAGCTTTCCGGCAAGGAGATTCTCGAGCGTAAGGTCTCTGTTCAGCTTGCCCGCAAGCCTGAGCCCGCTGGAGAGAAGACTGAGGGCGCCAACGGTGAGGGTGCTGGTGAGGGAAACCGCCGCCGCGCCTCCGGTCGTGGCCGTGGACGTGGCCGCGGCCGTGGCGGTCGTGGTGCCCGCGGTGGCCGCAACGTAAGTTGAAGTCAAAGCATAGTCGCCGAGGGGTTACTTACAATTTTACAGGAGGATGGCACTCCCATCGAGGGCGCTGCCGCCGAGGTCCCTGCTGGTGCTCCCGCTACCTCTGAGGTTCTGCCTCTGACTGACGCTACCAACAAGGATGCCGCCAAGACCCAAAAGGCCGGCGAGTCCGCTGAGGCTCGTGCCCCCCGTGAGCGTCGCGAGCGTGGCCCTCCCGCCGATGGCATTGCCTCCAAGACCAAGGTCATGGTCGCCAACCTTCCCTACGACCTGACCGAGGAGAAGGTATTATCTCATCATTCGCTTTGTTTGTTGCCCCGTGCTGACACATTTCAATAGCTCAAGGAGCTCTTCGCCGCCTACGAGCCTTCTTCCGCCAAGATCGCTCTCCGCCCCATCCCCCGCTTCATGATCAAGAAGCTTCAGGCTCGCGGTGAGCCCCGCAAGGGTCGTGGCTTCGGCTTCGTCACCCTCGCCTCTGAGGAGCTCCAGCAGAAGGCTGTCTCCGAGATGAACGGCAAGGAGATTGAGGGCCGCGAGATCGCCGTCAAGGTCGCTATCGATAGCCCCGACAAGACCGATGAGGAGGCCAACGCCCCCAAGGAGGAGACCAAGTCCAACGGCACCCCGGAGGCTGCCACCGAGGCCGCGGCTGCTCCTGCTGCTGCTGCTGAGACCCCGGCCGCTGCCGCTCCCGCCACCACCGCCTAAATGTAGGCGACCAACCTACAGCCCCGGCAATGTGTCTCGGCCCAACCTCCCGAGACACTGCCTTTACGAGCTTTACGATGCGGTACCTGTTACGACGATTTCAATTTTTTGGAAGTGCCCACCAAAAAGGTGGCCAATGACATCTACGTCTGCCTTTTGACCAGATTCGCTCTCGGTAGATAGGCCAAACAAGATGTGCAGGGCTGCCACCATCCCTAAACTAATACACATGATCTTACCGGCCACCTCTTCTGTACCTGTTACCTAACCTCCCATTTCCTCCGTAACCCTCTGCTGGGTTGTAAATTAGCTTAAGCTGGAGGCGGCTTAGAAGGAAGAGGAAAAGTTTGGCGCAAAACGTTTCAAATCGGGTAGCTTTTTACAGTTAAATTAAACAAAACAAAAAGGGCGGTGCAACACCAAAAAATCGTTGAGCGAGTGCATCATTGTTGTCGAGTGATTTTAAGGTTGTACTATGTGGTTCGAGTTCGCAGAAATCGTCTGAACGGCTAATAACAGAGTGTTGCTGTGCACTGTCGGCACATGGAGTTGGCCATGCAAAACAAAGTATGTAGTTCCTTGGACTTTGACACTTTTTGTAGTCCATTCGGTGGGAATCCGTGGTTGGTTTCAGTGGTGCATGTATGGCGTTTCGAGGACTACCATTGGGTGGCGGCAGAGCCCCAAAAGCCAAGTGTCCCAGATCGAAGTCTGGACCTTTCCTTGTCTGTCGAGTCTCCAGCAGAGCCCCATGGAGTCGAAGTCCCCTGTCTAACTTGTTTTTGAGCCGTAACAACCTGAACGACTTGAGAGAGAGAAACAATAATGCCTCGATTGCCCAAGGGAGAATCCATAGACTCGAGCATAACAATACCTACATAGACGTTAAAGCACATACTGGCTGGTTGGTGTTACCAGAGACTTGGTAGCTCACGTGTCCGTTCCCCTGGGCCAAGGAACTCAAATACAAGGATGAAATTGAGGGCAACGTCAGTCACTAAAAGGTACCCGACCAGACGCCCAGACTCCCGCACCCTAGTCGACTGCCAGCAAACCCCTTATCGGCATCAAGAAAGCCCCTCCACAATTCCTCACTGCGACAACCTCCCACGTACCTCGACTTGTCCTCCTTTGCCACGCATTTTCCGTTCATACCCAATTACCAGCCCTGAGCCCTTCCCACGATGGCTTCCAAGGCCATGTGGGAGGTCGATCCCGAGACGCGCGCCAAGGTGAGTTCTCTCCCAAGTCGAATGCCTCGCTTGCGACTTCGCGACTCGCCGCTAACCCAACGTCTCCTCACAGCTGGCCGCGATTCAAAAGGAGGCCAAGAACAACGTCTGCTGTGATTGCAACGCACCATCCCCGCAATGGGCCTCTCCGAAGTTTGGCATCTTTATCTGCCTGTCATGCGCCGGGGTCCACCGCGGTCTCGGTGTGCACATCTCCTTCGTACGCAGTATTTCAATGGACGCATTCAAGCAGGTCGAGATCGAGCGGATGCGCCTGGGTGGCAACGAGAACTGGCGCACTTTCTTCGAACAGCATGAGGACACAAAGATGAGGGGCATCTCATGGGACGATGCGACGATCGCGGAGCGATACAGTGGCGAGGTCGGCGATGAGTGGAAGGACAGGCTCTCTGCCAAGGTCGAGGGCAAGGAGTACGTTCCCGGCGAGAAGAAGCCCGCGCCAACACCGGCGGCGAAGCCCGCCAGCCGAACGGGTACACCTCTCGGTAGCACGAACAGCCGCTCCGCCAGTCCCGGCAGGAAGGTCAAGGTGGACGATAAATACTTCTCCAAGCTCGGCGCCGAGAACGCCTCCCGATCCGAGGACTTGCCTCCCAGTCAGGGAGGAAAATACGCAGGATTCGGCAGCAGTCCCATGCCCGAGAAGAAGGAGGGCGGCATTCCGACTGTGGACGATCTGCAAAGGGATCCAGTGGCCGCGCTGACCAAGGGATTCGGCTGGTTTACAACCACCGTCTCCAAGACGGCCAAGACGGTCAACGATGGCTACATTCAGCCCACAGCGAAACAGGTGGGTGACTCTTCTAGTTCAATCATATCTCCCCCGGCGCCGGCCCGAACGAAGAACTCCGGACTAATCCGACGCCCTCCTTGAAATTAGCTTGCCGAATCCGACTTTGCAAAGCAAGCTCAGATCGCGGCGGCCAACGCGGGCCGCGCCGCGCAGCAGGGTGCTCGCAATGCCCACGACGGCTTCAACCGCTTCGTTGAGGGCGGTCCCAGCCAAGGGGGCCAAGGCGGAGCCTCGAGACAGGCGCCGTTGGATGAGAGCAAAAAGGACTTTTGGGACAGCTTTAGCAATCTGGCAGACCAAAGGCAGACGCAGAGCGGCAGCTCGATTGGTACGTCTGCTATGGGCAAGAAGACTGGAGGTGCCGCGGCACCGGCTACGAAGAAGGAGAATGATGGGTGGGATGACTGGTGAGGTCGGGCGTTAAACGGTGTCCGAAGAGTGTGATCGGGGCGGGCAGGTGAGCGGTTGTTGTGCTTTGGCAGGCCTGCTAGTTGAGGAATATCAATTTAGACTGCAATATCACTTTATTCGAGATTGGAGACGCTGTGGCCTAAAGTGTCACTGACTTTGCAACGGTGGAGCTGAGCATGTCTCATGGTCCTCGAAGTGATACTGCGATAGTGTCCTACCTTATGTGTAATGTTGAAACAAACGAACATCTCAAAGTCGAGATGCCTTCAGATGAGGGCGGAACGTCCAAAGGAGCAGTACGACCAAAATCAACAGAGCTTCGGGATTATGAGCCCGCAAGTCGGCGTCTACGCTCGAATGACCGAAAAGGGCTTACGGTGGGGCGGTGACCCGAGGTTAGCCGGTATCGCTAACGACGGAGGTCCCATTTTCCCCAGTGACGACACGGACCTTGACCATTGAAGACCTCGAGCTCCCACCACACCCTCCAATTCCCATCTGCGCAATCCCACAAGCAACCCCCTCCACGCATCAATAACGGGCGATTGAAGAAGCAGAGCGAGAGAGAGAGCCTGAACCATGTCCGCCCTCCGAATTCTCGTTCCCGTGAAGCGGGTGATTGACTATGCCGTACGTCTACCAAAGCTCTGCCCACGCTACCCGACCGCAATTGGCAGTTCCTGCGCAAAATTGGCTTGTGATTATGGTCCTCCAGCTAACATTGGATGTGTTCTGCGACAAAACAGGTCAAGCCCCGAGTCAACAAGGCCCAAACGGGCGTCGAGACGGCCGGCGTCAAACACTCCATGAACCCCTTTGACGAGCTCTCGGTCGAGGAGTCGGTCCGCATCCGCGAGAAGAAGCGGGCGCCCGGCGGCGTCGAGGACATCACCGTCATCTCGGCGGGACCCCCCAAGGCCGTCGACGTGCTGCGCACCGCCATGGCCATGGGCGCCGACCGTGCGATCCACGTCGAGACCAAGGAGGGCGACGACCTGGAGCCCTTAAGCGTAGCCAAGCTGCTGCGCAAGGCCGCCGAGGAGCACAAGTCCAACCTCGTCATCCTCGGCAAGCAGAGCATTGACGACGACGCGAACCAGACGGGTCAGATGCTCGCTGGGCTTTTGGGGTGGCCGCAGGCTACGTCGGCGAGCGTGGTGGAGTTTGGCGAGGGGGACAGTGTGAGTGTCACGCGCGAGGTTGACGGTGGCGTGGAGACGGTCAAGGCAAAGTTGCCGATGGTGATTACGACGGATCTGCGGCTCAATGAGCCGCGGTACGCGAGCTTGCCGAATATTATGAAGGCGAAGAAGAAGCCGCTTGAGAAGAAGAAGCTGGCCGACTACGGGATTGGTGTTGAGAAGAGGTTGAAGGTTTTGAAGGTTACTGGTGAGTCTTTCTTTTGCGCTCTTTTCGGCGTCGTTGTCTTTTTGCCCGATGCATCTGCTACATAAAATGGATTTGCATTGTTTTCTTCTGGAAGATTTGCGAGCTAACGAATCTTCACAGAGCCCCCTCAACGCCAGGGCGGCGGCAAGGTCGAGGATGTTGACGGTCTCGTTGCGAAGCTCAAGGAGCTCGGCGCCTTGTAAGGCCTGTAATGGCTTGTACCAGTACGAAGAGACCCTTTTTTGCAATAGAATCGATTCAAACGCAGGCTTCTCGGACATTCGGGCGTGATTGCGGAGAGCGTTCGGAGTACGAATGCTTTGTCGAGACATTCACAACATCTCATGGCAAAGCTCAACCCCTATAGCATGTTGTATAATGATACTGATATCACAGTTGCTTGCGCATACTACTACAAACTAGACTTGCGGTACTCCGAGCCCTGCATTGCGTCAAAAGGATATACCGGGTCCTGGCCTGGGCCTAAGGGCCTATCACATGAAGAACATCCAATCACCACACCGCCTGATGTAGCTCGAATCGGCTTACTTCTGCCATCTTGAGGTCGAGCGAGAACGAGAACCGATGTATCCAACAATTGTTAAGATGGAAAAGCAAGCTGATATACCTTGCCCCCCCTTAGCATCTCGGTCGAGGAGCTCGGCCTCGGGTAGGTGTTGCGCGGGAATCGTCCGCTGCGCTTTTGAACCTTCAATGGGCGGTTACGCACCACAAGGAAGTCAACGGAACGGTCCGATCAGCGAGGTTGAAACCGAGCACGTAATGTACCGCCCCAACGGAACCGGCGAGAGTGTTTTCAGAATGTGATGCATCTCGGAGATAAATCTCGGAGTGCGAAGGCACATGGGAAGCGATGATTATTGACCGGCATAAACATCTGACGGGCTGACTTTGCTGATTCTTCTAGATTAATCATCGCGATGTGCGTCAGCCTGTCAAGGTGTATCTCCGAACGAATAACGTCGATTGCATGGAGACTTCACCGCCGCAGCCTGTCAGTACCTCGTAGCATCAAGAAGGGCAAAAAAAGCAAAAGCTCAGGCACCTAGTTCGGGATTCGAACTGGACGCGTTACGTCCCCTCCCGGTGAGATTTCATACCAAGTTCATATTGTCTACTAACGTAGCTAGACGTTATACCATCTGACCACGAGGATCAGTTGGGCTTGGTTGAAAGAAAGGGACCTCGATTTGAATATAAAAGAAGGCAAGCACTCATCAGGCAGGTGCTCATCAGGAAAGTATTCAAGAGGCAAGCAGTCAGCCCGAGTGGGTCGGGTGTATATTCCACAGGAGCAAATATGGGATCACAGAGAACGTCGTCCAATTCTCTCCATTGGATCTAGTCCCCGGTGGTCATCAATCTTTCGGTCCATCACACCTGGCTATACGAGCTCCCACCGGCAGCCTTATCAAACTCCATCGCCTCCTGCAGCCCAACAATGCTAAACAGCTTTCTCGGCGAGAAATCAGACTTCGTCCCGACAACGCCCGTCTCCTTCAACCTCGCCAACGAATCGCGAATCGCCTCGTACGCCGGCGCAATGGCCGCAAACGGCACAATCATCATGCGGTACCCAAGCTCCTTGGCCTCAGCAGCCGTCCACGAGGGCGTCGCGCCATGCTCCACCATGTTCAGCAGCACCGGCGTCGGCGCAAGATCCTTACACGCCGTCCTCGCCTGCTCCGCCGACGTCACGCCTTCAAGGAACGCGACATCCGCACCCGCCTCCACAGCCGCCCGGAGCCGGCGCAACGCCTCGTCGAAGCCGTGCGTTTGGATCGCGTCGGTGCGGGCGATGACGACAATGTCGGAGCCGATTTTGCGGCGCGCGAGGGCGGCGGCTTTGATGCGGGAGACGAAGACGTCTGTGTCGACGACTTGTTTGCCTATTAGATGGCCGCAGCGTTTGGTCTGGACCTGGTCTTCGATGTGGAGGCCCGCGACGCCGCTTCGGGCGTATTGGGTTACGGTGCGGGCGACCATGTTGGGCCCACCGTAGCCCGTGTCGGCGTCGGCTACTAAGGGGATGAAAGGGTCTAGGTTGGCGAGCATTTCGGCGTGGGAGCGCATGTCGTCTAGGGTTGCGTAGCCGAGGTCTGGGAGGCCTAGTTTTGAGGCTGATGTTCCTGCGCCGGTCTGGGGTTCTTGGTGTTAGTGAAGGTGTGGGGGTGAGAGTGGGCGGCTGAGTGTGATTGTAGGTGGGTTTTACCATGTAAAGACCGTCGAAGCCGACTTCGAGTGCGATTCTGGCGCTGAAGCCATCGTAGACGCCTGGTAGGAGGATTAAGTCGTCCGTCTCGTTGAGGCGTTGCCGCAGCTTCGTTGCTGCTGAAATTGGGGCTGGGGCGTTATCATTGTTCGATGCCATTTTTGTTATCAGGAGCGAGCTGAATCAATTGACTGTGATGGAAGCCTAATTGATATCGATCTCTGAATCATTGATTTAGAATAATATATCAACCAATATACGTTGAATTTGACCTCGTATGGAATTGAGGACGAATGCAAAGAGAGAAGAAGTTCAAAGTCCGAGGAATCCGCCAAGACGCGCCGAAATAGTTTATATCCGGAGATTATTCCACGGATCTTGCCTCCTCATGACGCAACTGCCGTGGGGTACAGTTAGTGCTAGTGATGCGTTGAATTATTTCCATCCCCACATTCCCGTAGCTTTCCTCTTTTTCTTCAACGACTACCCGTTGTAAAATGAGGGCCAACTCGCCATTCGGACATTTCGGGCAGACGGCAATGGCTTGCTGGGAGTAGTCTATTTACATGACTGGCCATTCAGAGAGCCTCACGTTGCGTTGCCCGGGGGGTGGGGGCTAGTACTGTTGTACGGCACTGGGCGATGGAGAGGCCGGTGTTATTCCCGTCTTGTTCGCTGGGTTCGCAGGGTTTCCTGCTGAATAATAGACATGAGTTACTGTGTGTTGCGTATGGAAGACTTCCGAAGTTTATTCGGGATTTGCGTGGGTTCAATTTTCTAGAACATCGGAGCCGTTGCGGTGAGTGTGTCAATTGGAATGATGTCGGAGATGTGGATGAGTAGGTACGTATGTAAGTTTGGTAGTGAACGGAATAATCTTGCGGTCCCATGGCTCACTGCAAGCTTCGGAAGACGGCGTCGCAATGTTCAGGGTGGAATGGGCGATGTGTATACGGCATGTTACCCTGAGTTTTACTGATGCGATAGCTTCGGTATTGGGCATAGTCTCTCAAATTCACATGTCCAATGTTGGCCTAATATGTCATAGTTGACTACAGGTAACTTATGATGTAAACCCGTTGGGTATACTCATGCATTGGTATTGCAGACACATCTCTCGTCCTCCGCCACCACACAGCAAAATAACTTGCTCATCATCGCGCGCATGATAGTCACCGGTCTCTGTACACAAGAGAAAGACACAAACCAGAGTCACGATTCTAGAGGGGCCAGTCTCCTAGCCCCCTCACGGGAGCGCATCGGCCGAGTCAAAAAAGTCTCCGTCCGATCACACGCTCGTCCATACCACAGTCGACGACGGTATGAGACGGTCAGACTTTCAGCTTGAAGTCCAAGCTTTCAAAGATGACCTACTGAGAACAACCTTACCCCTCCCACCCAACGTCGCAGCCGCGACGCGTCGTAGAGTTTAATAGTCTGCATACACTTAAGTTGTTGGCAAATTAAGCATCTCGGGCCCCGGGGGTAGCGGCGGATCACCGCTTTTTTTTTTTTTTGACTTTGTAGCCTGGAACGTTGGATGAGCACTCCCGTCCTCCCCCGCCCAATGTGGTGAGGCCACGCTCATGTATGGTGATATTGCTGAGACTCGACACTCATAATGGCAACCCGGCAAAACCTGGAAGCCAAGCTCGTTATCGGGACGTTTAGTTTTCGGCTTATCGGTGTCTTGCTGATTGTGTTGTTTTTTTGAGCAGTCTCCCATGTGCTGCCATGTGAGTGATGGATGTGTGTGTGGACGAGGGGAGGGGGGGAAGATACAAACCTTTTTGCAGGTCATGCTAACGTCCGAAAGCGAGGCGAGACTGGGTTGGCTCGACTCGATATATCAAAAAGACAAAAGCTGCCGCACTCACTTCAAACTCTTTGGTCAACGGGTCATCTTCACTGTCACCCTTATACACACCCAACCTCAGTTCAGACAACCGTCGATTGTTGTTCGCTCTGATAATCGTAGCCTGGGAGAGAATTGGAGTTCGCCAACATGGGTAAAATCACCTCTACGAGTAAAGAGGTCTCTGTCGACACGATCGAAAAGGGGCTTCTACCCGACGCGTCACCATTGTCGTCTTCGTCGCCGGCATCTCCATCGTCGCCGCGGCTCGAGACCCCGGATGAAGTGGCCATGGCACACCCCGAGTGGCGCGCGGCGGAGAAGAGGCTGGTGCGGAAGCTGGATATGACGCTTATGCCGGTGATTTGGACGTTGTACATGTTCAACTACCTCGATAGGAATAATCTCGCGTACGTTCTTCTCCCCCGAGGTTCGCTCTAATAATGGAGTGGTTTTTCGCTCTTCGCAGCCGCACAAGAGCTTGTCGCCAGTACGCTGACGTATGATGGTGGTTTGCGGTATAGGCAGGCCAAGTTGAACAAGTTCGAGGCGGATCTCGGGCTCGTGGGGGAGCAGTTCAATACCGCCGTAGCGATATTCAACGTCGGGTGAGTCCTTTCGAGGATCTTTTTGTGCCGTCTCTCTCTCTCTCTCTCTCTCTCTCTCTCTGTTTGGGACTGTCGCTGACCCCTTTCTTCGTCTTGGCGAATTAGGTACATGGTTGCCCAATTACCGTCCAACATGCTCATCACCCGCGTGCGTCCGAGCATATACCTGCCGTGCTGCGTGCTCCTGTGGTCGTGTGTATCGGCATCGACGGCGGCAGCAAAGAACTTCTCGAGCCTCGTCGCTATCAGAGTGATTTTAGGCGTCGTCGAAGCCCCGTTCTTCCCAGGGGTAAGTAACACACACTCTCTCTTTTGCCCTCTGCTCTTCTCGTGAAACCCCCTTTAAGGAGCACCTGAGCTGGAGGTGTCTTTCTTCGTCGGGTAAAGACTCGTTGACTTCTGCCAACCCTCTGCTTACGAGAGAATCAGATCTTCTACGTCCTCTCCTGCTGGTACACCCAGAAAGAAATCGCCTTCCGCACAGCAATCCTCTACTCGGGCATGCTCATCGCGACGGCCTTTTCCGGCCTCATCGCCGCCGCCGTCTTTGCGCACCTTGACGGCGCGCGTGGGCTCGCGGGCTGGCAGTGGCTCTTCATCATCGAGGGGGCCGGCAGCTTCGCGTCTGCGTTCGCGGCGCTGGCTTTCCTGCCGGATTACGTCGGGTCCCGAACAGGCATGTGCTCGTGGCTCATGTCGGAGAGGGAGCTGCAGGTTGCGGCGCAGCGGATGGACGCCGATCGGGTTTCGGTGCCCGAGGAGAAGTCGAGTGTGTGGAGGGGGTTGGGGCTTGCTGTTAAGGATGCGAGGACGTGGGCTTTTGTGAGTTTATGTCGACTCTACCCCCCCCCCCTTTTTCCTCTCTTTTCTCCTGCCGCCCTTTGACAGCGTAATTCCCCCCTGAGACACGTGAAAGTAGAAGAGGTATGTTCTCGACTGACTTGGGGGTAGGTCTGCATGATGGCCTTCTACCTCTCCTCCCACGGCCTCAACAGCTTCTTCCCGACAATCGTCCAAGGCTTCCGCCTAGGCTCCAACACAACGACCTTGATGCTCACCGCGCCGCCCTACCTCCTCGCCGCCGTCGTCGCCCTCTGCGTAGCCGTCTCCTCGGACCGCCGCGCCGACAGGGGTCTCCACATCGTCGGCCCCGTGTGCGTGGCCATGCTCGGCTTCGTCATCTCGGCGGCGACGACGAACCGGCCCGCACGGTACTTTGCCAGCTTCCTGTACCTCCCCGGCGCGTTCGCGTCGACGGGCCTGATTTTTAGCTGGGCGGCGAGCGTGGCGAGCGAGACGCCTGAGAAGAGGGCTACGGCGACGTCGATCGTGTGTTTGTTGGCGCAGGTGGGCAATATTTGGAGTCCGTATTTTTTTCGGCCGGCGGATAATCCGAGGTATTTGCTTGCTTTCTTGTTGATGATGGTGTTTTCGTTCATGTGTATCGGGACGGTGTTTTGGATGAGGTGGTCGCTGGGGAGGGCGAATCGGAGGATGGTGGAGGGGGCTGAGGGGACGGGAAGGAGAGTGAGATTATATATACTTTAATGAGGGTGATGGAAGAGAGTAGAATAGTGGTTTGGCGTTGAAGTCTTTCCGATTGGGAGGGACCATCACTTGACGTATGACTTGACGAAGCTTATAGAAAATGAACGGTATGAGATTTGAGGTTTAGCATCTCAGCAAAGTGACCATCATGGTCTTCAATGGTTTCAAGCTGACTTCAGCAGAAGGTCATTGGCTAGAAGCAACTAAATCGTTCACTTCTGCGAAACTCTGCGAAACGAGGATATCTCATCTTGACTGCCACTGGTAGCTTCACTGCAATGTCCTTGGAGTGGTACTTGAAGGTGAAGCGTCCGTCTCCACTTTGATAGCTTCACAAACCGTATATAGTTTAGATGGTCACAGTAAACGCGGTGTGAGAACGTCGTGACTCTGCCGCGAACGTTGACTTCTCCATCTTCAATGCTGACCAGACGTCTATGGGCCGCAGCGTAATTAGAACCCTTGAACACGAGATGAGGGGTCAGATCGTCAGAGAGGGCACTCAATCAGAAGCCAAACTTTTCGACTGCATCCTGGGCATGTATGTAACCAGCGGACAGCTGCTGACACGATGAGACCACATGTTAGTTGAGGTGGCATTCCTCAGAATCTCGCAAGTCTAAACACAAAAGACGAATGAGACAGATAGACAGAAAAAGAAACACCACCGCTCACGGGAGCCTCGACCACGATGGCCGCTGCGCGTGTTCGCGTGGTTGCGTGCTTAGAATCATGTTGTAACATCTCAATTGGTTGAGAGAGACAGACCGCCTTGAGTGAGCCGGGGTTTCCGAGCAGATGGGTGCTGCAAGGTCCCGCACCTGTCTTCTTTCAAAGTTCAAACGCGCGCCCCTCCAGACAGGAACAAAAGGGACGCGGGACTCGAGTCGGTGTAGACTGCAAGACCCCGGAGAAAGGCTTGAAAGGGACTCAAGTTTGATGGTTTCCGTTTCTGGTTGGCAAGGGAGGACCCGATAGCTTGCGATAGGCCGGCCGCCAATGCGCGTCCCCGTTTGACAGCCCCGTTGGAAGAGAGAGAGAGAGAGTTGTTCACTCGGTCTAGCTCAACCGGGGAGAGGTGAATTGAATGAATGCATGGGATGGATAATCGTAGATTGATGCATGTAGGCGATTTTATGCAGGGAAACTCAGGGCTGTCTACGGTATGCAATGTCAGCAGTTTGAACTCACCCAGTTGAAAAGTGGAACTCCGAACCCGGCGGCGGGATGGGGAGGGCGCGAGAGAAAAGCAAGACAAAAAAGAGCCCACCAACTCTGATATTGCGTCAATTTTGGGAGAATGAAGCATTGGAACAATGTGCCGAGTAGCTGCAAAGGCGATCCCTGGGTCGAAAGCGTCTTTCCGCAGCCCAATGCCGGCTCAATGGCATGGCTAGATTTTTTTTTCTAGTGCTGAACAGAGTATTTCCGTGCAAAGTACAAAGCGGGAGGCGGTGATGTAATTGTCCAAGAGTACGGATAAGACCAGGCCAATTCGGCTCAGCAGGGCTGATAAGAACCAGGGGGGAAGAAAGTGATTAAAGGGCGGAATTGCTAAAAGGCTGGGCGAATTATGTAAAGCCCCGCGATAAGGAACGACATCGGCGGTGCGGGCGCCCTTGTGCTGGGGCGGGGAGGTAATTAGGTACCTTCCCTTACCTGCCCGGTTGCCAGTGCCCGGTGCTTTGGTGACAGCTTGCCCTGGTGTACTCTACGGAGTACGGATAGGTACCAGTGCTTGGGGCTGGGCGGCGAGAGTTTCCCCTGCAGGCATCCTCATAACGGGGGGCCCGTTGACCCTATTACTGGCTAATCAGCGACCGACCTTTCCCCAAAGGGTCCAATGACAAGCTCCCCAAAAAAATTTGCCTGACCCAACCCAAGTACTGCTGCTGGCTGTAACTTGGGCGGCGGAGACTTTTACTGCGGTAGTGTACCCTTTCCCAGGTTGACCTGACGTTGACTACCTGGGAACTGGATGACTGGGACTTGGACGGGGTGAGCGGTGGTGGAGGTGGAGGAGCAGGGGGAGGAGAGAGGAAAGGGCCCCCGTTTGCTGCGCGCTGTGTGACTCCGTGTGCCGGCGCTCGTGCTTCCTATTTTTCTACCCGATCTCCTCCCACCGCTTCCCTTCTTTTTTTTTCTTTCCCTTTTCCTCCTCCAGATCCAAAAATCCTGCCACATCGTGCAACACATTCGTCACAGATTATATCCAGCCATCATCCCTCCACAACCTCGCCTCGAGCACTTCACTACCCTTCTTCTACTGATTGCCCATTTGCAAGCTGCCCTTATGAACGGGCGTCCTTCAGTCTTCACCTCTCAGGTATGTTAGACGACTATCATCTTTCTCTTATCAGATCCCGCCATGTTGGTTCGTCTGAGCTCACGGTCTTCGTGATACCTCTTGACCCCGCTGCCAAACTCTGTCTCAAGCTGGTGCCCATAGCCCAATTGAAGCTCTCGGGTGTCTAGTCTACTTGCACTGAAGACGCATTGCTTCCTTACAATCATTAATATTGCTAAATTTCGGTTGCTGACTCGCTATCTTCAGGATTATCTCTCAGGTTAGCATAATACCCTCGATTGACTCACCGCCCCTCCAAAGTGGCACGCGAGACTGACCATGTTTCCCACCCCCTCAACAGACCACTTGTGGAAGGCTGCCAGCCCCTAAAGTGTCTATCCAAACTACAAGCAACTTTTACTACATCACCTCTACCTAAATCCAAGCCAACATGTTCTCCCGATTGGCTTCCCTCACCAAGCCCGCGGCCAACGGTGCCGCCGGGTTGAGCTCCGGCCTCCGAGTTCAGACCCGATTCCTCTCCGGCCAGGCCGCTGGTAGTAAGGGCCGCAAGATGCCCTTCACCCAGACCCGTGCCACCACCCCCGTCGCCAACCTCGACGCTACCCTGACCATCCGAGTATGTCACCGCCGAGATATCTACGTCGTACCGGCGATACAGAAACAATCTTGCTAACAATCCCTTCAGGATGGCCCCGTCTTTTCGGGCCGAGCCTTCGGAGCAAACTCCAACATCTCCGGCGAGGCCGTCTTCACCACCTCCCTGGTTGGATATCCCGAGTCCATGACCGACCCCTCCTACCGCGGCCAGATTCTGGTCTTCACCCAACCCCTGATCGGCAACTACGGTGTGCCCTCCAACCAGCGTGATGAGTGGAACCTCCTCAAGTACTTTGAGTCCCCTCACATCCAGTGCGCCGGTGTCGTCGTCGCCGACGTCGCCACCCAGTACAGCCACTGGACCGCCGTTGAGAGCTTGGGCAACTGGTGCGCCCGTGAGGGTGTTCCCGCCATCTCGGGCGTCGACACTCGTGAGATCGTCACCTACCTCCGTGAGCAGGGTTCCTCCCTCGCTAGGATCACCATTGGTGACGAGTACGACGCCGACGAGGACGAGAGCTTCATCGACCCCGGCGCCATCAACCTGGTCAAGCGTGTCAGCACCAAGGCTCCCTTCGTTGTCGAGTCCCCCGGTGCTCGCTTCCACGTTGCCCTGATTGACTGCGGTGTCAAGGAGAACATCCTTCGCAGCCTGGTCAGCCGTGGCGCCTCCGTCACCGTCTTCCCCTACAACTACCCCATCCACAAGGTTTCCAGCAACTTTGACGGTGTCTTCATCTCCAACGGCCCCGGTGACCCGACTCATTGCCAGGAGACCATCTACAACCTTGGCCGCCTTATGGAGACCTCCCCCGTCCCCATTATGGGAATTTGCCTCGGCCACCAGCTCCTCGCCCTGGCCGTCGGTGCCCGCACCATCAAGCTCAAGTACGGCAACCGCGCCCACAACATCCCCGCCCTCGACTTGACCACCGGCCAGTGCCACATCACCAGCCAGAACCACGGTTACGCCGTCGACTCATCCACCCTCCCCAGCGACTTCAAGGAGTACTTTGTCAACCTCAACGACGGCTCCAACGAGGGCATGATGCACAAGACCCGCCCCATCTTCTCCACCCAGTTCCACCCCGAGGCCAAGGGCGGCCCGATGGACAGCTCCTACCTCTTTGACAAGTACATTGAGAACGTCCAGATGTTCAAGGACAGCGAGAAGATCTTCAAGGACAACCGCCCCACCCAGCTCATGCTCGACATCCTCAGCAGGGAGCGTGTCGGTGTAGAGCCCACCACCCTCGCCGCGGCTGCTTAATTGAGTCCGTAGTGCTTTGGTGTGGATAGGGGGTTACTTGCGTCCTGGTGCAAAATGGGGTTCCTGGTTCTTTGTCTTGTAGTTATGGGTGTCGCGGCAGTTGATTTTGGGTCTCTTTTCGACCTTGTGCATACACATCAAGTGGGATTTGTTGGTTCCTTCCTCGCTTTTTTTTTTTTTTTACACAGTTCATAGCAGCTCTCAAGAAAGCTACTTTCCTAAATTGAAACACAAAAACGTTCATGATCTGGAAACATCATTCTTCCCTACTTCCTTGTCACGTGATATTATGCTAAACAATTAGCATCCAATGATGAGTACACTGGCGAAGGTAGGTGCGGCGTGGAGTATGACGGCTGTCATTTCAACGGGGAAGGAAGAGGTGCTGATCATGGCAGGCATAGATGGTCATTGTGAAGGCCGGCACGATGGAAACGACTGCAAGAGCGGTACTCATCCTACTTCTCGACGGATGTCGTCCGATTCCGAGAAACCGAACTACGTACGCACTTCATTTCGACATCACTCTGGCACATACATCCATACGAATCGAAAGCACAGCTATCCCTCTGCCTTTCTTGAAAGCTCGTTTTCTTGACCGTTCATACCTCTTGCGTATTCGTATCGTCAGCGTAGGAGATCAACATCAATCACAAGATAGCTCTTCGACATACACCAGCATGGATAATCTGCATTGTCTTCTATACGATGACTGGGCGGATCTCCACGCTGCCGACGCCTCGCACCGAGGTCCGTTGTTCTCGTCAGAAGAGTCGAAGGAAATCGAATCCCTGTTAACCGTCCCGGTATACCCAGTCTATGGTGAACGGGCGGACTTCTGCGCTACCGACGCCTCGCACCCAGGAACCTCCTGTGTAAGCTACGGGCAAACACCAGTCAACTCACACGTACGGCGGGCGCAAACGCCTCTTCGCAGCGAAGGCGCCTCTCCTCCTAAACCCTTTGTCCAAGCAAATATGTGCTTTGGTGATCCGGGTGACCGGATTGGAACCGCACGCGGTTCCGAAAGGTACTACAAGGAAATAGGCGCTTATCGAAACATCTCGCCATGGCAGTCGTCCTCTCTACCGTTTTTTTACTTTGCTCTACCGTTCTTGGAAGAATATGTCACCCCGTCACTACCTTCGCATATGCATCCTTCGTCGAGCAAAAATGTTGCAACCGAAGGACAGGCCTCTCACATCCCAACCTACATCATCGGCATCGGCGGTAGCCCTTCGAGTGGCAAGTCAACACTAGCCTCACACCTCAGCTATGTATTCAAAAAATTCGGACCGCTCAGTAGAGTCTTTATCATCTCGCAAGACGCCTACCTCCTCCCGTCTGCACATTGTCCACAAATAACTCTGCAAAGTGGGAAGCGTGTTGTTCACAGAGACTGCTTGTTCTCAGTTGATTGGGAAGACATGTTAAAAGATGTCAATAATCTGACAGCAGGCAACAATGTTTCCGGGCCGGATCGAATCAGGGAGACAGAAGCCACTGGAAAGGGCTGCAACGCTGGCATGTCACATATGAGCACTATTGATATTAATGACGTTGTTCGTCAACGAAAGACAACTCTCTCGAAGGCGATCAAACTAGGTCTTGGGAGCTTCTAGCTAGCTCGCTTTTGTTCCAAGACACTCACAGACTATTCAGAGAATTCGACATCCTTGCCGTCACAGCTAATACTGATCGAAGGCCCCCTCATGAACGCTGTTTGCCCTACAGCCTTGCCGCCTCGACAGTCGGGATTTGGATTTTTTCGCAGCAATGCGCAACAGAAAGCATAGGAAGCTTTGCGAACGATGCTTGATCTCAACTTGTGTCCCAACGTTCCAAGGCGAACTGCAAGAATGTGGGTATTAGATCGGCATAAGCAATATAGTCAGCACAAAAGCGTGTTGAGCTACCCCGCAAGGGAATTGGCTGAGGAATACTTCGACGAAATCGCCTGGTAAGTACACCGTAGTGGTGAAGGAAAAGTGCACATAATGACTCCTGATATAATAGGCCGGCCTATAAGGCGTACCACACTCACCATGAATCTTGGAATGATGAATTGAGACACGCGACACACGAGGAGCTCTTGAGATGGGCTGTATCTCAAATTTTCAGGTTGAATGGAATTAGGAGTCAATACCGAAGGAAACAAGGAGACCAGTGAAGCTGATGACAAAAGCAACCAAAAGCGTTGCGAGAGGCAAGCAGATTATTGCCGGGGCAGATTGACTAGGGGAGAGTAAGGAAGAAACAACTTCTCACTGAGGACTGGTTATGAGGTCACTTCACGTTGAGCCCTCGCAATCCTTCAAACCCCCTTCTTCTTGTTGATGCCCTCTCTACTGGTCCTAGTACCCTAAGTATATGCCGATGGAATATACCGACGGAGACGAGGCTTCCAGAATGCATCTTAGACATTGTTAATTAAGGACTCCTCTTCTTTGCCGAATTTATTGCCAATTGTGTTCTCAAGATCGAACCTGGAAGTATATGGACTTAAGTCTATCAGAATCGCGCTCAAGTTTATTTTGAAGATGCTTCCATTAGATGCGCATATCAATCCTGGACTTACTTCCTCCAAACATCTCGTACTGATTGTGGAGGATTCCGATGACAGAAGAGCCTCTAATGCTCTCTCTTTCTGGCTTTAGTCCAGCGGGGATGCATCTGAGGTGGACGGAGATGTCATGTCCAGGCGGGATGAGGGTTCATCACAGATAAGCATGTCGGGGGAGATCTCCACCTAGAAAGAAGAAACTAGGAGGGGCACATGTACGAGAAGGGTTCGTCTCAAAACGACGCGATATGACCTTCCCGCTGCCCGGATCGACACGAGAAGATACCATTTCCGCCCAAAAAACATCGCCGGCAGTACAGTGAAACCATGGTTGTTTTACACCTTCTTTAATTCGCTAGATACTCCTAACCAAAAGAGAGATTCAGTTCTTTTGAAGAACATGAATTAAAAAGCCTTGTTTCTTCACTGACAGAAAAGCAGTGTGTGGTATCATAGTATGTGGGGGTGTAGGTAATGACCCCATGTCTCAGTATGAACTCAACCGGTCGTCTGAAAAGGGGGGAAACAGAGGGAGAAGAAGAAGTACAAATCGATCTAGACCTATATTCGAGGGGATGAATGGATGGCTAGCACAAGGCCATATCAGTGATATCACAATCTTTGCAGAATCATGGCCAATCACTCCAATATTAAAAAAAAAAAAAAAAGAGTACTACCCAGCCAAAACATCACGAGCATTCGAACAAGATTTTCAAGAAGCTTCTTCAATTAGCTAGCTACTCCCAATAAAGAGAGAGATCCAAGTGTCCCTTCCCCTCCCGAAGAACAGTGTCATGGTGTGGTATCGCAACGTGAGCGTGTGCCTGCCCCACGTCTCTCTATGAATTCGATCGTCGTTGGTAAGAGGATGGGGAAAAAGAAGAAGAAGAGAGAGAATCATACAGTCTAGACCTAATCTATTTTTTGTGTTCGTCCTTTTCGCCCAGCAGCAGTTTGGAATTCTATCAACTGCTCCATTAAAGTGATTCGTTCCCCTTGACTGATGACCGAATTCTTCGCTTTGTCTTCGCTGCGAACCATGGTATTCCCAATGGCCCCGAGGGAGACAGACAGGCGTTGTGAGATGGGTATCCCGATATTCCATGGCCATCATGAAGAACGAGTTTCTCGAACTAATCGTTCCAGCTCGTCAGCAGCCCGTTGTAGCCAAATCTGTTGCCGAACGTCGTCGACTTCAAAATCATCCTCTATCACCAGTGCCCCTAGTCGTCTCTGCCACGCGGGCTCCCGTGCTGGGGATGGAGTCACCATCTCTATCGGTGACACTGAAGGTGGAGAATACCCAGGTCGGCCTGGAGGTACCAACGGGGGCGTCAGAGGGCGAGTGCGCGAGGGACAAAAGCATGAGCCACAGTCAGCGGCGTTGTTGCAGTATGGGGAGTGGTCCATAATCTGGTTTTGAGGATCGCCGGCGTCATCGGCAGGCCACGGACAGTCGCAGTAGTCTTTCTCTTAACAGCTGTGGCACCCGGGTTCATGAACTTGGCGACGATTGAACTCGCGAATGCCAAGAGGCAACAGAGGCCTGAACATGGTCATAGGCGGCGTTTGAGACGCAGCCAAAGACATGGTGAAAGCCGAAGCAGCCAACCGATCACCTTGAATAGATGATTTGGACTCCTAGTACCGGCTGCCTCGGTCGTCGGAACGGAAACGGCGGCCACCGTCAGGGCGAGACCCACCAAAGTTTCCACGGTCGCCCTGGCGATAAGGGCCACTCTCATTGATTCCCGGCAGATACCTGTCGCTGACCATTCGGGGGCCGCGACGGCCGTTGCCACTGCGCCTGCTGCCGCCGCCGCGCGCTGGAGGAGGCGGTCCCCTCGGCGGCGGTCCTCCGCCACCCATCTGTCGACGCCGCTCAGCCTCTCTGTGCGGAGGCCGGATGCCGACAAAGTTCTCGTGACCGCGGTCAACAAACTTGTCGCCCTCTTCGAAGATGTAGCGGTTGATCTCAGTCTCCGGGCCCATGTCTCGGTCGACATCTTTGGTGTAGTAAGAACGCATGTTTCGCAGTCGTCTGCTGACGAGGTCATCTGAGACGGCCTGGAAAGAAACAGGAGGATGAGCTCGCGTGGTTTGTACAGGGCCCCCAGGGAAGTTTTCAATCAATCGTGGAGGTCTCGGACCAGGCCCACGCTGTGAGTCTCCTCTGGGGCCTAGAGGAGCGCCTTCGAATCCTCGGCCGCCACGAGGGCCAAGAGGAATGGCGTTGACATCCTTGACGGCAGGGCCTGAAGGTACACCCCTAGTTGGCTCAGCCGGTGGCAGGCCATTGCCAGAGACCAGGCGGGCGGTGACGTATCCATCATCCTCGATGTCGTAACGCACTGCAAATCGAGCGCTTCTGTTGGATTTTCCTTCAGCATCCTCCTCGTGAATCCAATCCCTCACTTTCTCCGGTGGCACAAAATCCACTGACAATGGCTTGCGGTTGCTTTCGTCTGGCCAGGTGACGTCATGCAAAGCGTTGCGGACACGCGAGGCCAGTGTCGTAGTTCTGAACACCGCAAATGCATGAGATTTGATGGAATCCAGGTATACGTCTTCGACATCATCCGAGTTGGGTTGTGCGCTAAGAGGAGTTGCTAGCTCAACGAGACGATCATGAACCGTTGACTCCTTAAGTGGTCTCATCAAGTTCTTGATGTAGAGGGCTCTGGTGGCAGGGTGGGTAGCTGGCTGCACCGTTCTTTCGTACTCCATGGCGTTATTGTCGTCCGCTGGCGCAGTTTCATGTCGCTCTTGATCGGTGACCGGACCGTCCGCGGGCTGCTCTTTACCGTGAACTGAGGCCTGGTGATGGTCAGGACCGGTGGCAAAGCCTATGTCCACCTTTCCGTTGAGTTCATCTTGCATCTCCGTGTCTTCTTCGGCGTTTGCTTCTGTCGGCTGGTCCTCTTCGATAGGGTGGCCCTCAGTGAGCTCTTCAACGTCCTTCGACGTGTCCTTTGCCTCCTTCGCAACATCTTCAAGAAGACCGCTACCTCCCTCCAGGGTTTCCTTCAAAGCGCCCTTCACACCCTCCTTGACTTGGTTTATGACACCAGCGACGCCGGTTGACTCTGAGCTCGGTGCCTCGTCGACATTGTCTGCCTCGATGCGGTCTTGGTCTGCCTTGATGCGCTTGCGAGTGATTGACTCTGACGATTCGGCAGGGCTCTGAGATCGGCGCTTTCGCTTCTGCGCATCTTGTGCTATTTCGGCAGGGGCAGGAGGCGTAGGGTTCGCAGCGGCGATTGATTCCGGAATGGTCGTCTCAGTATCTTGGGCAGTCGGCTCGGCTGCTGATTGCTCAGAGGTGGGTTCTGGGCTTGCTACCACTGCTTGCGCAGATGTGGTCTCGTTATCGGCAACATCTTCGGTGGTGGTGTCGATGTGGGCAGCTTCGGCTGGCGCTTCCGCAAACACGGCGGGTTGTGGCTCAGGCTCTGGGGAAGCTTCTTCTTCTTCCTGGGCCTCTTCCTGCGTCTCTTCCTCGGCGGTCTCGTCACTGGTGGTCAGTCGCTCGACGAGCTCCTGTTTGAGGCCAGCCGTGGCGAGTCCTCGACGTTTCAACTCCGCCTTGAGTTGAACAACGGTTTGCTTGCTCCAATTCATGATGAATAACTGCTGGTTCGGCGCAAAAACTGGCGCATAGCTAGACTACTCGTAGAAATGTTCTTGTAGCAGGCGCGTGTAGTTGAGGATGCGCTCGGCTTTGTTAAGATGACTGTCGTATGATGGAAAAAGCGATGTTGGCTTATTTGGGTTGCAGTTGCAGGACGTAAACGTGATGAGCCTAAGTGAAGGCGCTTGATTGCTCTGAGGCGCGTCGTCGCGACCTGAAAAATTGCCCCGTCATGCAAACCAGAGCCTCTCCACTGTAAGCAGGCACGCTAATAAAGCAGGGAAGTCACTAGTGCAGGGGTTCCTTCCCACCTTTAGTGATCGATCCCGTCTGGGAAAGATGTCATTTCTGCCAGTGGACCCATAATTCTTCGCTAGGCCGGTTATCTGCCGGGAGATCAGTCACGTGGCCTGCAACCAAAAAATATTGGACGACGAAAGAGTAAAGAAGGAGCACGGGCCTTTACACTTACACCTTGTCAGTGCTGCCTTGCCTTGAGAGCGCCTGCAGCAAGCGCGGCTTTTGTCTCAATTGCTATTGTCTCACCGCGTCACTATCGACTTTAAACAGAGGACATCAACGGCTTTTTTTTTTTTTTTTTGGTCGCCGCATCCGTCGCAGACAATACGATAGTGAGGACCTTGCTGCCGTCTTTGAAACTCACGGTCAATGCGACTCGAGGAGCGGACATCTCCTTGCTTCCTGCGTATTCACCAAGTCACTGCAAGTAAGTTGTCAAAATAGTAGTCTCCAGATGAAGAAACCAGGGAAATTGACTTCACAAAGAGATGCATATTCGCAGCAGCCATTCTCACACAGCACCTTCGTGAGATGATAAAAACCGCGTAACTCCCGCAGCGCCATCAATTGTTGAACTTTATCCAGCTTTCAACTTCCGCCAGAAAACTGGCATTTTATCATTTGAGTCTCTCTTCTGCAAATCGTGCAGTCAACGTCACCGCATTTTCCCTTTAACATGGACCGACAATCGTCGGGATCTGTGGGGAGTGCCTCACCGGCGCGCACTCCGCAAATTAACAGACCACTCGGTCGCAGTCGTCTTAGCGCAACGCCGCTCACCGAAACTCCACCGACGAGCACGAGTGCTGGCAGAGACGGCACACCGACATCAGACAAGATCTTGTCCGGCCGTGTCAAAAAGACACCGCGCAAAGTTTCTAACAGAAAGGAAGATGTCTTGAGCGAAAAGGAAAAGGACGAGGAGAGACGGCAGCTGGACGAGATGGACGAGGAAAGGAAGCTATTCCCGGGCAGCGACGACTGGACAGATGAAGAGAACAGACTCTTCCAGATTCTGTACATGAGGCAGTACAGTCCTCTGCTACCATCGCATTGGGACATGGACTTTCGAGGCATCCCCATCCCGGACGTTCTCTTTGCAAGCTCTGATGCGCACCCGCCTATTATCAACTCAAGAAGTGGAAACGACTTCAAGGGTGAGGTTCAGAAATCAAGGCAATTTGGAGGAAAGTGACGGCTAACAGTATGAAGCGACGAGAGCACTTGCTCGACTCATCGAGCTGACGGCGCATGTGCGAGGCTTGTGCCAAATACGCCAAAGACACAGAGCACGCGCTCTTATTGAAAAGGAACTCCACGAGTATGCGAAATGGGCCGAACAAGACGGGGGATACAACAGCCTCGAGTATTTGCCAAATCTCGTCATCGACATGGTGGACACCAAAACGTCGCCCCAAGCTATTGAAGAGCACATGCAATTCCGCCTCAAGGCGGCTGCCGCTACGCATCGCGCTCACTGGAGGAACGATGCAGCGTATCCTGACTACCTAGAAGACGAGGATGAAGATGCCGACATCGAGGACAATAGAGTTGTTCTCGTGCCTGACACGTATCAGACACCGTCGCCAAAGAAACCGCGCACGTTGCGCCCTTCCGCTCCTCCAAGCAACGGAGCCAAATACGACGATAATCAGAAGCACGAACTACTGGGCTCGAAGCTCGTCAGTCCGGTGAAGCGGTCTTCCCCTTGGCAGGAAGGAGAGTACACCCGTCGGCCGCCCGTGATATACGGGCTTTTCATTGTCAACACATCTGTCATGGTTCTCACCATTGACTCTGCGAAAGAAGGGGAAGAGGCCTACGTCAGTTATCAAGTTGAGGTTGGTCTCAGCAAAAACTACCAGGCAGTTTGGAATGCCATTACCATTGCTATAGTGGTTTGCCTCGCGAGAGACGCAATGATGGAAATGAAGAAGGACTTCAACACTTCATTGATTAACGGGGACAGCGACCCTGACGCTTGATATGACGGAATGAAGGAATGAGGCTAGCACGCGGTCATCAGCAGGCCTCGGGCTCTGTTTTTTTTATGACTCGTACGACGGGTACTTCTTTGAATGCGTATACCCTTTCATGTTTCCGGGCGGACTAGATGCAGATACCTATTTAGTTGATAATGACACAAATTTTGCCAAGCTACCGCGCTACCTTAGTACTGAGCACGTTGTTAAAGGACAATAGGTCACATGACGCGCGCTTTGTCATTGTCTCCAATCTAAGAAGATGAGTCCGCTGGCTCAGTTGAGAAGATGGCAGGCATGATATGATGAATGAAAGGCCCGAGATGACATTTTAGTATAAGGCGATTGGGCAATAATTGTCGGGAGATGGATGCGAGCCTCGGCATGCCCCTCAGCTTTTTTTCTGGGCACTGTGGGAATAGAGTGGCCCAATCCATGAGATTTTCATCAAGCCTTTTTTTTTTTTTTTTTTTTTTTTTTTTTTTAATCACCGAACAAGACCGCGTATCTTGGTTCGGATCCGGCATTTTGACTTCGTCATGGTTTATGACGCCCGCTTCGAACGTCTCACCAGTTACACGAAACCTCCGCAGATAGACAAATTGACAAACGACAGAAAAGACCGCAGCAAGCTCGGCGATAATTTCATCTCGGCGCCATGGGACGTTGAGGAGGTTCGGTCACCGAGGGCGGAGGGGGTCGTCGACTGGGAAACGCATCCATGGATCTCGGATCTTGGAAGTAGGTGGAAGCTCAAGCCACACACACACACACACACACACACAGATCAAATTACAATGCCGTTGCGGGTTGCATTGTTATCATTGATCATCTGGTCTGATCAAATGTTGTGCTCCTATCACCGAGGGGAGGACCCTGCTAGACCTCGGGATTACGTATTTTCTCGCAGGCAGGAATAGAAGGAGGGAAAAAAAAGCACAAGGCGTTTTTGGGGGTGGAAATGGGGGAATTGGCATGACCCCCGATTGCCTCATTCGTCACCGCCTTTACTGCGGTAGAAGGACCCTGTCAGCTTATTCATGTCGATTGTCACTGGACGGGAAGGGAAGGCTCGCCAGTTACTCGGACCCGGACTCCGGTTCTTGGTCCACCCGCTGCAGGTTTGATGGGTCATGGTTCTTGCCTTCTGGGACTTCTGGCGTACTTTTTTGTCATCTTTTTCTTTCCGTTCTCTTCTTTCGGTACCGAGGCGCTAATGGAGAAAAAAGTCCTATAGCCTACGAGAGAAGGAACGGGCACGTGTATTATGCCGTGTGGTGGGATGATAGGTCAAGAGCCGAAGTTGAACGAAATCCTCGGGATCCTCGATTTGCCCTTTGTCATAATCGGGGAAACTGAAATTTCGCATCCTCCTCCGTTCGGTCTCTTCAACTTTGCCTCCGCTAGCGGTGGCGGAAGGATGTAAGTCGCATCCCCGGGAGAGACCTTGCTTCGACAATACTTGCCTTGCTTACAGCATCTCACCTGTACCTGTTCGTACGTCCGCTCAGTGTCGGAGAGCCGACCTTCGTCGGGTGTGTGGCATTGCATCTTTGGGGCGGCGGCTGGCTTACACTATTTGGACAGCCCTGTTTCGATTCTAGAGCACTGAGGGGCAGACACAACACACATCTGTGGACACAAGAACACATGGGCGAGCTGTCCTCTGGAAATTGGAACCGGAGACCGAGCTGGCGGGGAGGAGATGGCCCCTGGGCTCCTGGGGTCGTCGACTTGGGTTAGGTTGCCCACCCCCATTCGAGGTGCTGCATCTCGCTTCGGCCGGCGGAAGAGTGCCGGTGATGTGAGAGATGATGCAGCTGTATGATGCTGGGACCTGGGTTAGCGCACCCTCACGAGGTCTCCTAGACACATCTATTCGTACGCCGCACAATGGTGCTTTTTCCAGCTGCCATACCGCCTCCTCGTACAGGAATAGGTAAGGTAGGATGATATCCTTTCTTCTTACACGAGCCGCGCGACGCCTCATAGGGGATGTCAGCACATTGCAGTATCAGTCGGTGAAGCATGTCCTGAAATACGACAGGAAGATGACCTGATGGGACTACCTGACTGGTGCTACGTTCACAAACACGCGCGTGTCAGTCGAACCCAATGCTGCGCTAGGCAGGGCCGTCACGCTCGGCTTTAAGGTTACCGCAACAAATTCTTCGCCAATTCCGTCCTTCGCGGGGTGGACAGCGAAGGACCCCCCCCTCCAAGGGTTCGGCGCAGCATTGACATGGAGACGGCGTATGTTCGCCAGACGTGCCGATTGATCCATTCCAGAGTCAAGCAAATCAGAGGTGGGTGTCCACCGTCCGCTAGATGGAGTCGCAGCGAACCGGCGTCTTCCCCCCTAGCACCCAGTTGCTAGCATCCAGCGGCCAGCACCAGCAGGGAAGTCTGGGCGACGCCAGCCCGGGAAAGGCTAATTACGCCGTATTGTTCGGGACTAGACCTGGGTTCTGGGTACTTATCGTCTCATAGGGCCCCTGCCTGTCGCTATCGTGGTCCAGATGTTTGGTGACTGGTCTGGAGGGATCTTGGTTGTGGTGTCTTGGTCACGATCTGCTTTCGTCAAAGGATTCCAATCGAGAGAGTGAGATATGGCCAGATATCGAAACAAGATTCACGGATGAAGAGGTACGTAGCCTTGTGGCAGCAGGCCAGATGGCGAAACAGCCCGAGGGATAGTCTCCGGTCAAACGCGGAAACCGTGACAAGTTGATACCTACTGTGTAGAAAGAAATGAGTCCCATCCATGAAGAAATGGAGGAAGAGAAAGAAAAAAAAAAGTCTCTTGGACCCAAGTGTCATCAATGCCGCGATGTTGGACGCAACAAGGTGGACTTTTCGGCCAGCGGGTGGATTCAAAGGTATCGAAGCCCCCCCTGTCACCCTTGTCGTTGTGCCTTAGCGACATTCCTCCTTACGGCCAATCAGCGACAACCTGTTGTAATCCGTGACCTCTCAGCCCAGATCACCCTCGGTGACCCAGCACCTGGGCTCCGATTTTCCCCCATTTGTCGTCCGTCACTCGTCATTGGGAAGCGAGAGAGGAGAGCCCAGACGCGGACGCAGCAGTTTAGTCGCAGGCAGGAGCCGTAGCGTGGGCTGTCCAGCCTGTTCTCGTGATTTTCTGCCACCACCTCACGCATCTCCAGCGCCGCGGTTCCTCCTCGTCCCTCACATCATCGCCGCCCTACGCAGTATCCGTACACACTTAAGTCTAGACTAGACCAACACCCGCCCCTGTCCAAGATCAACACAGGTTCACTACGCTTCCAGTCTGGCTTCCACTGTTCCAGAATTCTGGCTTGCTTCTTGACATCAAGCAACCTGCCACCCCCCTTTCCCACCTAACTACCTTGGTGTCCCCCCAAAGCCTACCTACCAAACACCCGCCGATACCTCTCTCACCGCCCGGTGAACCCTCTAGAGGAACTCGCTGCCCTTCCCGTCGACGAGGGGCTCTTACATGTCTGTCAACGCCAGCAACGCCCGTTGTTTTCTCCTCAGCATGCACTCGAAATCACCATTATTACCTTCCTAGGCTCCCGTACGCTCTCTCTCTCTCTCTCACCTCTTCTGCAACCCTCACACCCCCCTTCTCATTGGTAAAGCAAGAGAAACCGAATCCGGGCTGTAGCAGAAACCGACCCCTGGCGTACAGTAGGCCCCTTAGCCTCTCACACCACACTGTGTACCCCGTAAAGAGGCATCGACAACTAGAGGACCTCTGTTGCCCTGGATCAACGGTGGCGACCCTCTCTGGTGCTTGCTTCCTTCCCCCGGCCTCCGATTCCGCCTTCTTGCTCCGTCAGCCGGTCTTCCATAGCCACTTCTTGACGTTGTCGTTTACTCGAGGACGGGGCAATTCCATTCCCTGACCCTCTCTTCCTCCGGACTGCCGACCGTCGAACCACCTTTGCACCGTGGTGGGGTTGTCTAAGTTTGACTCGGGCCCTACTTCTCTCCCTCCTTCTTTATACGCCATACTACGACCGTCTCGCCGCTAGTTATCTCCTTCCTCCTCCGAAGCCGTTTCCTTTCTCCGGGCCAAGCATTGTGCCTGCCTAACGAAGTCATAAAATCAACCTACTCGATACCCCCTTTTCCTACTCGTCAAGGTCCTCTTACACTTCGCCTCGACTAGTACACGTCTTCTGCTGCTTGCAACACCAAACTACGGCTAGTACATCCCACCTCGACCGAAACATCGCTCTCCACGAATGGCTATGGCCGATGGCATGTCGTCGGCGGTACAGGGGACGGCGAAACAACCCCTCTCGACCATCCGAACCGCTCTTCCATCTCGACGAATGTCCCCCAAGGCCCGCGAAGGAGGGCAGTACGCTGCCGTGGACCAGGCGAGAGGCCCTAGTCCAGTAGGTCTCGAGGGACCACCGACCCTGCGGCCAAATTCTCGACGTAGTCCGTCGAGCGACGCCATGTCAAGGTCACAGGCCAGGAGTCCGGTCTCAGTGTCCAGTGATGGATCCCCGAAGGACGTGAGATCGGAACCGAGACCCAGCCCGGCACCGTCAACAGCGACAACGTCTTCTTCAGGTCAGACGGGTCAAGTTTGCAGGTAAGAGAGTGATGAGCTCCTTTCCAACCCGCCTTGGACAGGATGCTGACCAGCTACAGCAATTGCGGTACAACACGAACACCTTTGTGGAGGAGATCTCCCCAGGGAACGACGATATGCAACGCCTGTGGCCTGTATCAGAAGGCGAGAAACGCTTCACGCCCAACTAACCTCAAGAAACCCCCGCATCTGGTTGCTGCAGCACCGCGGACGGCTCCCCCAAAGATTGCGCCAGCGCCAGGCCCAGGTCCGAAATATCTCAGTGCTCCCGCTCCGACGTATGTTACCGAAGAACAGGCTCCGTCAGGTACCTGCCCAGGCGGTGGAAAGTGTAACGGTACCGGTGGTGCAGAAGGCTGCAGTGGATGTCCCGCGTACAACAACCGAGTATCAAAGTCCGCCCATTTGAACGTTCAGGGGCAAGGTTGTGGTGGTGGTGGTGGCGGCGGTGGCGGTTCGTCTAGTCAATCTCAAGGTGAACCGATGGTTGTGGACGACCCTGTTGCTCCTGTCGACATCGCCGCACTGCAAATCCGGCAAGCACAAAACCCGAATCACACGGTTGTGATCGCCTGCCAAAATTGCGGCACTACCATCACCCCGCTATGGAGACGAGACGAAAGTGGCCACACGATCTGCAATGCCTGCGGTACGTGCCGTCTTTTCTGGAGAAATTTCAACATGCTGACGTAAACAGGTCTCTACTACAAACTTCATGGTGTTCACCGGCCTGTGACCATGAAGAAGTCGATTATCAAGAGAAGGAAACGAGTCATACCATCCTCGTTTGGTGGCGAATGGACAGAAGAGATGTTGGAGGGCTCGGAGACGCACAGCGTGGCACCAGAGGGAAGCCCGGAAAGGGGCACGATGAACGAGGACGGATCCATCAATTTGGGCTTTCGACGTCGGGAAGAGAATCCTACCACCATGCTTCCAGATCCACTGATGCGTCCGAATCGACAGGGCTCGCCGTTGCCCTCGCATGACTTGGCCGCGTATCAGTCTTCGAGTTCCCGAACTACGAACCCCTATCCAGGATCGCTAAGCGACGATAATCGCCTTGCTCCGATCACTTCGCTCGCTGCCATGGGAGAACGCCAACCCTCTTTGTCACCCGGTTCTTTCTTGTCTCCATCGAGGAAAAGGTCACTCTCTGCGGAAGGAAACCCTTCCGGTGATGGTGGACCAGATACGTCGAAACGATTATCGTCCATCAAGTCAATCCTCAATCCTACAACGGCAGATGACAGCCCGGCCTACCATTCAGGCAGTGATGATGCCGCGGAACACTACGCCCGATCTGCCATGTCACCGGCCGCCTCCGCACCGAGTCCAGGATCCTACTCGAATGCTCACATGACACCTCTTCCGTCGCCTGGACCAAGCAGTCAGACGAGCAACCCAGGGTTTAGGCCAGAAAACGAAAGAGTCAAGGCAGAGAAGAGGGCAGCACTGATTCGGGAAGCTGAACGAATGAGGGAGATGCTGGCAGCGAAGGAGAAGGAACTAGCGGATATGGGAAACTAATGAAAGTTCCATCACGATACAAACGAACCACGGGATCATCGGACACTTGAGTTTATCGGGTACAGTATGGGCACACACATCATGGCTTGGAGTTCCTTTTTATGCGAAGCGGTCGTCTGGGGCCGTCTTTCCATCACCAAAGCAGGTTGAAGCTTTTCTTCTACTTTTTGGCTTCACAAAGGGCGAACGAGAAAAACAAAAACGGACAGGGTCTGGCCTCACACAAAATGGGAGAGGATGATTGTTTTTGGGAACGCATTCTGGCGCCCATTCCGAAAAAATGGCATCTTTCTTTTACAGGGTATTTTGCTACAGTTCACCAAAAGGGCGTTCTCTTCCGTTTACAACAACCGAATGAATTACAAAATGGACATCGCGTGCGGAATGGACAAAGATGGGGGGTTTGAAAGCTAGGAGTTTTGTTGTTTAGGGGGGATGTGTATTTCAGTGGTGTTTTATTGAGAGATACCGAACCATTCGGAAAGTGTTTAGTAGGAGATGTGAGAGGCATTCGGGGAGACAAAGATATTTTCGTGCTCCAAGGTATGGAGAGGGACAAAAACTGGCATGGTAAAGGCGTCCTTGGATGCTGGGCGTAGGAGCCCCTTTTCCCATCAGAAGTCTGCGCGTCGAAATATCAAAAGCTGAAGCAATTTACTTTGCTCGCACGTTTAGTTGCTTACAGTTTCAACCCAACAGTGGTACTGACATTCTCCCACGCGGACCATATCCCATAAGTGAGCAACATGGACATCACATCAGTATGTATCGCCCGCAATTACATCACAAATGTTAGACAGTGTGGGCAAAGCTTCTGGAGGGCAAAAATCAGGTCTGTTACGACTAGCCATTGCGAATCCCAAACAATACCCTACTTTTCCCGGCCTCCCTTTCTCCTTTACACCATCTAAGAAAAAAGTCATACAAGGTGCCACTAGACCTGGCACAGTCTTCCGTCGTACAGTCGAAACGCAATGAAGCATATGCTCTTTCCCTACACAACACACACTCACATCATTCCTGCCTTACAGTGGTGAATACACACAATATACAGCCTGCCTGGTGGGGCCAAACATAAGGGAACTTCTCGTCGAAATTTCCCACACTGTCGTTCCTTTTTGATCGCTTCTCTTCTCGCTCTTTCTCTTCCCCATTCTCATGGGTGAAGCTGAGGATTGATTGTCGTGATCGTTTGCGCGATGTCGAGTTCCCCGTCTCTTTTCAGTATCTTGAGTTTCGAAAGAAAAAAAAGCCTCAGCAAATCCGGTTCATTGTCTTGTTTCGCGAATTGTAAAACGGGGGAAAGAATCCGTGCCTTTTCCCCTCTTCCAACGGTTTCAATGTTGGGAGAGTGCAAAAGGCATCCGAGATGAAATTTGGTTTCTTTGTGTGGTTGAAAAGGGGCTGCTAGCTTACACCTGCTCTGCGCCCCAGCCACCGTCGGCCTCGCGCATGTTGGCTGGCGGCTCGATCTGGGGAACAAACTCGAGGACGACGTAGGCGACGCCAATGAGGCCGACAATAGAGCCGGCAATGATCTTGAAGACGCCGTCGGAGAGAAGGATGGAACCGATGAAGATGTAGACTGGGAGGAGAAGGTTGCATTAGAACCAATGTGGATCGGCTGCAAGACGGGCGACAGGGCTTCTAGACTTACAAACACCACGGCCAACGAACGAGAAGAGGAATGAGGCGTAGCGGGAGACTTGGGGAGGGATTTGGAACTCTGGGATTCTGTTAGAGGAGCTTCGAAGGTGGAGGAATCGTCGTCAATTACCGAGCAAGGCGGTGCCTAGTCAAATCGCATTAGCCATGTCACGAACAAGAATGCGTTCTACGCAAGCTTCAGGAGGGTGCGGGTGCTTACAGAGACCGAAGATGATCACGTAGGCGCCAACAATGATACCCTGGCTACACGGGCAGAGTTGTCAGTATAGAGTCCTTGAGTTGCCATTCCACCACATGTCTCCTCTGTCACGATGAAGGGGGTTGGCTGTCGCACGAAGAATCCGTGCGCGCGCGCAAATCGATGTCGTAGACAGGGGAGGTCCGTCGGAGGAATCGGATACGACGTACAAGTTGAAGTTGAAGAATTGGGCAATGCCGCCGAGGACCATGATAGTCGCGGTGGCCAAGTTGACAATACGGCTGATGCGAGTGACGCCTGATTAGCTTTTTGCGCATGCGCAGAATAGCTACGAGATAGCTACCGCATCGCGAAGACAAGGGACCACATACAAGGCGTCGGAGAGCTCCATTTTGGCGAGTTGTAGATTGCGGTACTGTCGGGATTGGACGTAGTTTCGATGGCGGAGGACGAGCGAGGTGGGTGAGAGAAGAAGAAGAGAAGTTGACGTGGATGAAGCGGACAGGCAGCTGGATATCGCAGGTTTGGAAGAAAGATGTGTTGTGATGTGGGTGTGGGTGTGAAGAAGAAGCAAGGTGGGTGCAAGGTGTGACGTCCGGACAAGAGGCTGACGAGTCAAGGTCCGTAACTGTTTGGCTCCTGAAGCTCCTGGCAGATAGAAGGAGTGTGCTGGTGGATACTTGACGGAGCAAGTATATCTACCCGGTACTTGTACACGTAGCAAGCGCACATCAGAGGTACCCTCAGGTTGCAGCAGCTAGCACCAGCCACACACCCAGCCTCTTTCCTGAGGGAGGTCACTGACTTGACACTGACATCCGCTCTGGCAGGAACGAGCCAAAGCTTTGTTGACCGCCTTCCCAACGTGGAATACATGGATGTATGAATAACTGCTGCGCGGATTGGTTGATTGCCGACTGATCAAAGTGAAAGTGCAGTCGATGAGAGAGCTCTCATGCCATCAGATCCTGAACAGCTTCATCCATGATCTGATGTCGCGAAGTTTACGACGACTAGTTGTTGTTCGCATTTACCTCATTGCATTTTAAAATGTAATTGGAGTTCATCAAACCCTTTTCCGTTCATATTTTGTGCGACCAAAACGCGCATTTCATGATCTAGTCATGCTAGTTTTTCGAGCTTCAGTGCCCAGGCAAGGCCATGTCGGCCGGTTGCCAGGGCGGTCTTATTTCGCTGGGATCGTGAGCTTTCGAAGGTCAATGCACACACCTCCGGTGCAATCGAAACATCGGTCTCCTATCAAGGATATAAGAAACATCGGAATCATTGCCCATGTCGATGCTGTGCGTACTCAGTCGTTTTCGAGCTTGAGTGACAAAATGGCTGAATCATTCTTAGGGCAAAACCACAACGACTGAGCGCATGTTGTATTATAGCGGCGTGACACGCCGTGTCGGAGGTATGTACGAATCACTTCATCGTGCATTCATCTTCTTCACATAGACATTCGCTGTCGCGAAAATGGATGAGAATTGCAGCGGCGGCTGGTGAATGTACCAAGGCCCCCCGGCTGACCGCAACACTGTAGACGTCGATGCAGGAAATACAGTAACTGACTTCCTCGACCTGGAGCGGGAACGAGGTATCACAATTCAGTCGGCAGCCATCACTTTCAACTGGCCCCTTCGTGAGGAGTGCGCGCCAGGCGTAACACCTAAAACGATCAATCTCATCGACACACCGGGTCATCAAGACTTCAGATTTGAGGTGGACAGGTGCCTCCCCGTTCTCGATGGGGCTGTGTGCATCATCGACTCAGTCAAGGGCGTAGAGGCTCACACGGAGAGAGTGTGGGCTTCGGCACATGACCATAAGATTCCTCGCATCGTCTTTGTCAACAAGCTCGACCGAGACGGCGCGTCATTCCGCAAATCCGTTTTGGAGATTGGGTCGCGTCTGAATGGATGGCCACTTGTATGCCAAATCCCGTGGTGGGATGGCGAACAGTTTGTCGGTGTCATCGACATCATTGACAGAGTTGGATATCGGTGGAAGGCAGAGAAACAGAAGACGAAGTACGAGTTCGCGGAACTTCAAGAGGTGCTCAAGGGCAACTATCTCCTTGATGAGATTGAGACAGCTCGAGAGCGGCTCACTGAAGGCCTCGCTGAATGGGATGAGTCCATCATGGACCTGTTTGCGGACGATCCAAACAAGATCACAGGGAAGATGTTGAAAGACAGCGTCCGAAGCGCTATCCGCAGTGGCGACGGAAATGTCATTCCCGTTCTAGCAGGTGCCAGCTTCCGGCACATCGGTGTCGAGCCCCTAATGGACGCCATCGTTGACTACCTTCCCAGTCCTGATGAACGACCTGACCTTGAGATTCGCGCGGGGCCGGCGAAGCACAATCTCGTTTCTCTACTCGATCAGAGCTCGAACAAGAAGCCAGGCCAGCAGCGCGTGGCAGCAGTCGCCTCCGTCTTCAAGGTCTTTAATCACCCCAAAGAGGGTATTTTGAGCTTCGTGCGAGTCTACTTTGGCGAACTTCACAAAAACTCGTCCACCTGGAACACGCATACCCAGCTTTCAGAGAGGCCATTCGGCTTGTTGCAGATATCCGCGGAAAAGACGGAAGACATACAGCACCTCGCCACGGGCCAGATTGGCGCTATCAAAGGTCTGAAGAAGGCTCGTACGGGTGACACGCTACTTGCGACTGTCGCTCAGAAACAGATTCCGGACGCCCTCAAGCATATCCAGATCAGGCCACCGGAAATTCCTCCACCCGTAGCTTTCCTCGCGATTGATCCCCTCGGACCCACGGCTTCCAAGGAGCTAGAAATCGCGCTCGATGATGCGTCACGAGAAGATCCCAGCTTAAGATGGAGCCGCGACGAGAAGACGGAACAGTTCATCCTGCAGGGTATGGGAAAACTACATCTGGATATCGCCGTCTATAACCTCAAGCAGAACCCCAAGGTCCAAGCCGACTTCGGCCCGATCGAGGTCGACTACAAGGAGTGCCTCACATCTTCCATCGGGCCGCATCACGTTATATTCGACAGGGTCGTCGCAAGCAAGTCCGGCAAGGTATCATGTACCGCAACTCTGGAACCTCTGGAAGACCACCACCGCCAAGCCGCACTCGAGCCAACTATCGAACGCGACGGGAACATGATCCACGTCATCATCGATCTCCCTGAAGAGGGCAACATCTCATTCGACCCTGAAGAAGCGCGACAACAGCTCATCAACGGCGCCGTCGCAGCCGTGGCTCGCGGCCCGCGCCGCGGTTCCCCGGTTCAGGGCTGCCACATCACCATTACCGTCGACGCCGCAGCCGCCGAGAGCCCATCCGGCGGCCACTTCGCCGGCGCAGCATCTCGCGCCGTGCGCGAAGCACTCCGCGAGGCGCACATCTCACGGAATGCCGTCGGCGTCCTCGAGCCCGTCATGCTCCTACACATCAGCTGTCCCGAGGCGGTCGCGGGCTTGGTGCAGCACGACATCAGCTCAGGAGCCGGTGGGCACGTGCTGGAGGTCAACGACAAGTCCGCCGAGTCAAGCTCGCGGATCGACGTGAGCAGCATCTACTCACCGCCCGACCCGTACGAGATTGTAGCTTCGCTGAGGGGCAAGAAGTCGTTGGCGAGGACGGTGGAGATTGTGGCCAAGGTGCCTTTCAAGGAGGTCTTGAACTTTGACGAGCAGCTGAGAGGCAAGACTGGTGGAAGACACTCGATGACGATGGCGTTTGACAGCTTTGACCGTGTTGTTGGCCAGCGAGAGAAGGCATTGTAAAGATAGAAAGTGTGTATGTACTACCAATTGTAAAGTAAAAGTCTTAGAGCTCATGGAACTCGAATACCTTCTTCACCTTCCCGAACGTGTTGCGCAATTCGTCAAGCCTCCGCCCATACACTCATGGACCACTAATTGGTGAAATGGCAAGTTGTCCGAATACACGGACGTGAGTCCCGATGTCGCCGGACAAGTGAAATATACTGACTAAGCAACACTTCAGCGTTCAAAAGATAGAGACTGCACCCCCCAACAGTGTTGATTGAGCCAAAACAAAAGAAATATGACAGTCTCGTCGAAAAAGAACACATCGCTGCAAGACGCAAAAGATTATCTAGCACAACCTGGTTTCGATCCAGGGACCTCTGGGTTATGAGCCCAGCGCTCTACCCCTGAGCTATTGTGCTCAGGCTTGTTGATGAAAACTTTAACGGTTTTGCAAATAATACCTATTCCACACAGTTGTGGAGCTGTGACTCACACACCTTCAACCAATCGCTCACTCCATCCAAGTCTTTGCATGTTGCAACCACTCATCTTCTTTATTCATTTTACTTCACTTCTACTCGAGAAGGCCAGTGCCAATTTGTGATAGACTAGCCATATGTATACAAAACTCTCTCAGAATATCATATCTTGGACGCCTCGTTGACCTTGCTGCCCGAATCGGGCCCAACTGTCGGAATATGGGGGTAGAGGTCCCTGAAAGACTGCACCTCGTACGGCTCGGCATCCGCGATCCTCGTCGAATCAACCCAATTTCCATGTACAGCGGAACGAAGACCTAGGACAGTCAGTTATCGTGGCGCCAATAAGGCTAGATTTTCAGATAGTGCTCACGGAAAGGCAGGATGACCTTGGCGACAGCCGTTTGGAAATCGCGCGTGTCTTGAATTATCTGCCAAAGGGATGAGATTACCATTGCTGGACAGCTTGGGGACACTGTGCTTCTTCAACTTACCAACTCATTCCTGCCAAGCTCCATGTTATCCACCATGGTGATGAGGAACCCATCGGCCTCCGGCGCATCAGGGTGTCTGGGGCTGAAAGCCGGTTCCTGAACCAGGCAGTTGGGGCCGGGCGAGAAGTACTCGACCTCGCCCGTTTCGTAGTCGACGCGAGCCAAAGTGTTGAGGCCTTGGAAGAGCTGGCGGGTGGGATCTTCATTTGGGTTGAAGCAATCGAGCCAGGTGATTGTTCGTGTTCGTTAGTGCAATGCTGGTACCGCAGCTGTGGCATGCCTACTTACTCTTGCTCATGAGGAACCTTTCGTCGATTCTTGGGAACTCGCAAGGGCCGCGAAGTACAATCTCTGAACATTTCTCAGTATTTCATATCCTCACTGGGTATCGCTTGATCTCTTCCTACCTGGGTCCGGGAGTACGTCGGATTCGCTGTTGTTGGGGTCGATGCAGAACTTGACGTGGTTGACCGCAACGTCCTTTGGCTCAGGTTTGGGGCCGTGGCGGCTCGCTGTGATTGTATCTGTAAGCCAAAAACGACCCATAGAGTCTTATGGTCAGATATCACTTACGGAGAAAACTGAGCCCATTGTGCGAAGCAAGAGTCGTATCGAAGTACCTTTCATCGGCTGTCAGCTGTTATATCGGAGCCGCGGTTGCAATACTTACACCTTCCCGTCTTCCTCCCAAGATGCGCCCGTATGAATCGGCATCGAATTGTGATACTTGAACCAGCGAACTGGCTTATTAAGGTCGCGTGGCACCAGTCCAAAATACGCGGGACACTCCTCATCATAGTACCTACTGAGCGTAAGCTTCGATTCTCAAGTAGTTCTGAGGACCAGTCTCACCACTGATGATTTCCTGGCTTCTCTAGGTCTTTGAGGTCAATCGTGAAGGGCATACGAGTGAGGACAATGTAGTTTCGCGTCTGTCAATGTTAGTGACGAGACAATGCATGGTTTCTCGGGTGTGCTCGTACAATCGCGCAGTCATGGAACATCCCCCAGTAGGGTAGAATTCGATATCTCGTTGATATGTGAGCTTGCCATCTTTGTTGATGATGTAGATTGAGATCTATAGATGTTTCAGTTGCTGTAAATGATCAAATTGGAAGTCACCATCTTTAATCTTACATTTGGGCTGTCCAGTCCTTCGGTTTCGTAGCCAAAAGCAATCATGTCACCCGTCTCGGGATCAACCTAGCATAACATCAGTACCAAAACTTGAAGTTGAATCCTGTAAACTCACATGAGGGTGCGCCGTGAACGCCTTGGTGGGATGAGTCTCCGGAAACGGTGCGTGTCCAATGGTTCGTAGGCCGTCTAATGGTTTTGAAATCTCAGCAACCAACCCTTCACACATAGCTTAGAGTCGAACTTACTGGGATCGAGCTCGTATGCCGGCCCACCCTCGCTCACCGCCAGCAGTTTGTTGGCATGCACTACAACATTGGTGTTGGCCGAAGTATCGACGACGGCACGTACGCACGGGTGGTGGGTGAAGGGGTTCTTGTTGATCCCGAAGAGGGATCGACCGGCCTTTCGCTCCGCAACCAGACGCTCTGTCAAGACATATTTCTGTTGGAAAGAGACTTTCCCGTCTTTGATCCGGAAGGCGCTGACGCTTCCATCTCCGTCAAAAGGGACGGTCTTGGACCCATTTTCGTAATAGGACCCGTCGGAATACTGGTCTTGAACCACCTGAGAAGTAGTTAGACGGAAGATGAGAAGAAGGTCGGGGTTAAATGGTGTTAAAAGATGGGCTTACTCTGTAGAAAGTGCCGTCTAGCTCTTTCGGGATTACTCCTTCAACCTCGACATCGTGGATCTCGACATCTGCCCTGAATGGACGTGATGCAGCAGCGAAATCGGCAGCCCTGGCCATTTTGGTTGTTGTGGCATTCCCAGGCAAATTAAATAGAGGAGTCTAATGGCAGTGCTCAGTTGCTTGACTGGTTGCTCCTTCAAAGCGATTACGTCTCGCGGCGAGCAACTGTACTTTATAGTAAGATGAGAATCATTGCCTCAGCACTCCACAGGGATACAGTAGCCCGCCATCTCCGTGTCTCGAGAGTATCTATTCTGTCCAGTTTGGCTCGACCACATGTGGCTCCTTAGTCTGCCCTGAAGCGCAACCCTTGATGTCGCTCACATCGTTCCCTCTATTGAGAGTTGACCACGGCAGAGCCACATTGAAGCCACATTCCAGCGGAGTCAGCCAATTACGACACTGGAGCCACACGCGGTAAAAGTTGAGGAGAGCCACATACGGGGTGTACAAGGCGTTCGAGGGTCCCTCGCCAAGAGCCCTTGGAGGCAGCACGGGCAGACCCCATACAAAGTTCATTTGGTCCAAAAGGCTGCGTGTGTTACAGGGCTCCATGTTAGACTCTACGGAGTATGTGATGTTCTTTCACACTCACAGATGCTACCCTTCTGATCGGAAAGTCGTAAGCGGTCCCTCCTACAGGAAGCTAGAGACATTCGAGCTTTGATTGGGTCATTCATCCTACCTGACGAGCTTCAAGAATCTCATATGAAGGTGGATTGGCCATGCCTTTGACAGCTGCAGCGTGGCTGGGGGCTCAACTTCTCCATGATCATAACGCTTGAGGGTGTTGCTCCGATATCTTCATGTCCTGACATATCCTCCAGGGAATTTTCTGGCCGCCTGTGTCGAACTGGCTACTGCTTACTGTTGCTAGTCATGGCTCTCGAGGCAGTCCGCACTACATTACAACGACGGCTGACTGGCCCCGACAATTGCGGTGTGCTTGAATGTGGCTCGTCCACTTAGATCAAAGAGTTTGTCAGCGGAGTCGGACATGGTTGCAGGTCGCAAGTCCGTCAAGTCCGTGTGTCCGTGAGCTACGGCGCCGGGATCTCCGGCCCGCCCCCGTCTCCCGCATGTTCCCCAGGTTTCGGCAAATTTACACCCTTTTTGGCTAGTGAAACAAAGATATGTTCGTGAAGGTACTCAAGACGATGCTCCGGGTATTGAAGCAAGTTGGCAATTGCACTCTTTCCATCAGCAGTACCAGCTTTCTTTCTGGGCCGATTGATTCTCCCGGATCACAAAATGATTGCTAAATGCTCCGTATGCGACCGAACTTTTACCAAGTTCCAGCATTTCAAGAGACACCAGCGAACACGTGAGTTCATTGTCCTCTCTGTAAATGTCTTCTCTCAGCGAGATGACCACTGACCATCTATCTAGACACGGGAGAGCGACCTTTCAAATGTGCCGTGTGCGGAAAGCATTTTGCCCGACGGTAGTATTCTCAAGCCGAACTTAACTGAGGTTTTGGGCTAATTATGGCATCTTCAACCATCAGGGACGTCATGGTCCGTCATTGTCGAGCTCACGCATCGGCCGATGTCGCTGCCGGACCCAATTCAACCCTTTCATCCCCGTTGAGTGAAGCTGGAGAGCCGGTCACCGACTGCGCTGGCCCAAGACAGCAAGACTCAACATGCAGTAGGCTGCATGAACGAGACGGGCTCGGAGATGAAATTCCTAATTTCATGGCCCTCGACCATTCAACCGACCCTGATCCTCTCCCTCTATTGGAGAATTCATGGAGCATATTTCCTAACCACAAAACTCAACTTCCCTCTCGCCTAATTTTTCTTGGCATCTGCTGTTAGTGAATGAGTGAGCCTACCACCAAATTACTAACAGCCGAAAACTCTTCACCTCCCCTTGCCGGAGCCCGCATCCGCGATGGCCTCACAGCCGCCGTCGGGCACCGGACTGATGTCGGCCGACCAAGCCGACCCCGAACCAGGCTCCGGGACACCTCCGGAGCCGAACCCCACCTCAAGAGCTAAGCGACGCCGCGACGCCGAGGCACAGCCGACCCGGCCCAGCCTAACGGGAAGCCAGCTTGATGCCACCACCGACGCCCCTACCTCGGCCGAGGGGCCCGCAGCCTCTACCGCATCTGCTCCGAGCGGATCTGCCACAGGGTCCGTCTTGACAGCCCTTGCAGAAGAAGCTAGACAGTACGAGGCACGGAAAGACGTCTTTCTGACCATTGCACGGTCCGTCGACAGCGTTGTCGCCAGCTTTGACGGTTCTAGAAAGCAGATCGCGAAAGAAGCCACTGCCTATGTCATTCAAACCCTCAAGAGACTGATCAATCACGAGACAAGCCCAATAGCGGCCCGGAGTTGGGCGGCTGTCGTCGCACCGATGGCGGGCAACACCACTGCGGCGACCCGGAGCGGCCAGAGCTGCCAGAGCTCTGCCCGCCCGAAGGCCACACTCCCCGCCGAGGATCAGCCGCAGGCGCAGCCGAAGGAGGACCTCCGCATCTTTGCCCGCGTCCCGGAAGAAAGCTTAGCGGCCGCTCGGAAGATCGCACCGTTCGCCGTACGACAGATCGTCTGTAAGGCCGTTGGCCTGGGGCTAGCGGACCTTCCCCACGTCTACCATATCAGCACAGGTTACTCTCTGAAGCCGCGAAACAAGCAAATACAGGAAAGACTACTTGCAAGTAAGGCAAAGCTGGCGGAATGCCTCGGCGCCCACCAGGTCGAGACGCCTATCAAGTGGTACACTTACGTTGTGCCGCGATGCCCAACAAAACTACACAGCATTGGCGGGGACGTCCTGGACCCAGCCACACTCGTTGAAGATGAGGTCTTCGCACAGACAGGACAGAAGCCTGTCCTTGCTCGACCGTCCCGCCTTGGGCCCAACCCAGTCACGAACGAAATATCTTGGCTCATATCATTCACATCAGAGGTCACGCCCTTCAGGCTCTTCAACCAAAGCGGCAGATCTCTGCCCGTCAAGAAACGAAGGACGCTCATCCGACACGACCCCGGCTGCCAGGGCTACCACTCCAACCGGTTCTGCGGACGACGACCGATCTGCAGCAACTGCGGAAGACCTTCCGATTCACACGAAACGGGACCCTGCATGGCCAGGCCCCAATGTGCCAACTGCTGCGGCCCCTTCCAAGCCAGCCACACAGACTGCCCAGCGAGGCCCTCGGCCGTAAACGGCGTCGTCTCCCTTCCCGGTCGAAAGGAGCGGGCTCGGATCCGGAAGGCCGGCCAGAAAGCATCGGACACTCTGTACAAGGCTACTCGATCCGACAGTAGCCAGGAGGCGGCAGGCGTCCCTACCTCCACCAGCCAGAACCAGCAACCCGGCGCCAAGCGCGCGCGCACGAGAACGCCCTCCGCAAGCTCGATCGTTTGCCTCGGTGACGGAAGCACTGACAGCAGCAGCATGGATGAAGACGAGGCGGACGAAGGCGAAGGCGAAGACTCCCCCGACAACACCTCCATCGACCGTCCCGTGCTACCCATGCCAAGCAGGAGCCAACGGGCAGCACAGAAGCCAAACTACAACGTCGCGAATGCCTACACCCACCTCGAACTCGACTCGGAGACGTAAGCCGAGAGCGGCGACCCCACGGATGCTACGCGTTGCGCAGGGCAACGTCGGAAAGATCTCCCCGGCGCACACGGCTTTCCTGCAGCTCTGCTGGGAGGCTCAGATAGATGTGGTCCTCGTCCAGGAACCCTGGACGGGCTGGAAGGACGGAAACGTGCAACTGAACACGCACCCGGGTTTCGACTCTTTCGTCCCGGTCGACTTCTGGGACAGCGAAGGAACCAGACCAAGAGTATTGACCTACACACGCAAAGGGATAGGGATGACGGTGGAGCAGCAGAGGCCTGTCCACACGAGAGACGTACTGTGGCTGGTGGTCGACAAAACGACGACTATCGTCAACGTGTACAGACAACCCCGCGACCCCCACAGCCGCACAACAGGGATACTGCTAGAACTCAAACCCCCGGAGCGAGCTTTGATCGCGGGTGACTTCAACGCGCATCACTACTCTTGGGAGCCCGGGACGAGGAACGGGAACCGGGGAGATGACATCGCAGGCTGGGCAGACGGCCACAATCTCTCTCTTATCAGCGAAGTTGGGGTGGCAACCCAGGATTGCGGACATGTCCTGGACCTGGCTTTCTCTAATATCCCTTTTGCGCACGCGCAGGTCAGCCCACAGCTACACCCGGGAGCTGACCACGAGGCCATCGTGGCCGTCATACCACTACTCAAACGCCCAGTGTCACAGGGAGAGGGCCACCCGCAGCCACGGCCACTGTCAGTGCCCGACTCGGCGCTGCCTCGGCTGAGAGACCTGATCGAAGGGGGGCTAGCTGCGATGCCCAATCTGGGGGATCAACCTACTCCGGAAGACCTGGACGGGCAGGCAAGTCACATCGTCGAGCTCTTCTCCCGAGCCATTGAGGCGGTCGGCAAGAAGAGAGGAAAACATGGTAAAGGCGCGGCTTGGTGGACGGAGGAATGCGCAGAGGCCCACAGAGCATACCGTGCTGCCCGCAACCAACAAGCCTGGGAGACGGAGCAAGATGCGCACCTTTATCTAATGGAGAAACGAAAGGCGTTCCTGAGCACGGTGAGGAAGGCTAAGCGAGCATACTGGGCCGGAAAGATCGATGGAGTCGCTTCAGACCGGGACCTGTACCAGATCATGGGTTGGCGGAAGGCGAGCCTACTGACCAGAGCACCCCCATTGGTTGTGGACAACCAGACGATCGAGGATACTAACGAAAAGGCTCAAGCGCTTCGGGGAGCCCTTCTCGACAGGTTTAGTGCGGAAGATGACGCACCGGGTGACCCGTTTGACGTACCCGTCGTCCCGAGGCGAGCGATTACTTGGCAGGACAATGTTAGCGGAGAAGAAGTGAAGACGGCCACCTTAACAAAGACAACGACCCCTGGTGTGGACGGCATCACAACACGCCTCCTCCAGGCATGCTGGGATGTCATCTCGGAACCGGTCAGGCAGCTATTCCAGTCCTGTATGCGGGCCGGCCACTTTCCTCTGCCCTTCCGCAGAGCTGAGGTGGTCATGATCCAGAAGGCCGGCAGGGATGCCTCCAAGCCCGGGTCCTGGCGGCCGATCGCGCTCCTCTCGTGCCTGGGCAAGGGACTAGAGCGACTGATAGCCAGAAGGATGGCGTCCCTGGCGATTGTCGAGCGCATCATCAGTCCGCAACAGATCGGGGCTCTACAAGGCAGGTCAGCCGTCGATCTGACGACCTGCCTCACCCACGACATCGAGATGGCCCTCCTAAAAGGACTCACGGCGACACTTCTGACTATGGACGTAAAAGGGGCGTTCGACTCCGTCCTTCGGAACCGGCTCGTCATTAGACTGCGTCAGCAGGGATGGCCACATGGCCTGACCAGACTGATCTTTAGCTTCTGCTGCAACCGCACCGCTAGAGTCCGACTGGAAGAAAGCACAACGGAGTACTTCCCGCTGTCATGCGGGCTGCCTCAGGGGTCACCACTATCTCCCATTGCCTTTCTGCTCTACATCGCAGAGATACTTGAAGACGACCCGAACGCGCGATTCGGGTACGCGGACGACATCGCCACTCTGGCCATCAGCCCCTCCCTGGAGAGCAACGTCGCAATACTCAACCGAAGCGCAGCCGGCATTCTCAGATGGGGCTTGGAGAACAAGGTCTCCTTTGACCCGAGCAAGTGCGAGGTCATCCACTTTACTAGGAAGCACGGCCAGCCAGCGGAGCTGCCAGAGGTCCGGGCGGGGGATTTGGTGGTCAAGGCCTCGACGAAACCTGTACGCTGGCTGGGTGTCTGGTTCGACAAGAGACTGTCCTTCCGGCACCATGTCGACGCAAAAGTAGCTGCAGCAAAGAGGGCAGCTCAACATCTGAGACAGCTTACGAACACAAAGAGGGGACTCCCAGCGGCCGCCGTGCGAAAAGCCGTCGTCTCCTGCGTACTGCCGATCGCGCTCTTCGGCGCCGAAACATGGTACGCAGGTATCACGAAGCCGGCTTCGAGACGCCAAGCGGAGACAGACACGAATCCGCCTCTCCAAGGAAGACCCGTCAACACAGGCCAAAAGGGGCTCGTGCAGAAGATCGACAGCGTCATTACAGCGGCAGCAAGGGCCGTTCTGCCTGTCTGGAGGACAACGCCAACCAGTAGCCTCCTCCGAGACGCCGGCTTACCGTCAGCCAAAGTCGCCTTAGAGGGCGTCCGCTTACGGGCCGCAGTCCGACTACAGAGGATTGATCGCCGACACCCGCTAGTCGCGCGGCTCTCCCAGCAGGGACAGCAACAGACGAGACTACAACGGACGGCTGAACTTCTGCCAAGATGCGGAAGACCAGCGTTCCTTCAATCACAGTACCTGCCAAGCTCACAGGATCAGATAGTAGTTCAATGCAAAGAAGAGGCTGCGAAAGCTTTCGAGCGCTGGCTAAAGACAGTACCGGAAAGCCATATGATCGTCTTCTCGGACGGCTCCAGGGCGACGAACGGAGCCGTGGGGTACGGCTTCGTCATCTACCGAGACTCCAAACGCATAGCACAAGGGTGCGGCCGACTCGGACTAGCAGAAGTGTTCGACGCCGAGGTCGAAGGGGCGCGAACCGGCCTCAGAAGGGCTCTGCTCACCAATCGCGGTCATCCAATCCACATATGTATCGACAACACCAGCGTTATACAAGGCATCCGCGGCAAGGCGCCGGACTCGTCACAAGACGCGTTCCTCGAAATCCAAGAAGCGGCCAGGATATTTGATATACGGACGCACTGGTCCCCGGGACACCAGGGCATCGAAGGAAACGAGGCCGCGGACCGGCTGGCCAAAGAAGGAACGACACTGCCGGCGCGGATGGGTCAAATGGCAACACTAGCGGGCATCAAGCGGCTTGCAAGGGAAAAATTACAAAGCCAGCACAGGAGATGGTGGTATAAAGAGCGAAGGCCGCGGTACGCGGACTTGGGGCTTGAGGCAGCTCTGTCCAGCCCTCCTGAACTGGCCTTGCCGCGGGCTACGTTACATCACCTGCTGGCGGCACGATCGGGTCACGGGGACTTCGAGCAATATCACCGACGTTTCAACCACGACGACGCTCTAATGATGTGCTCTTGTGGAGAGGCGAAAGACGTGGACCACCTGGTCTACTGTCGACTAACGCTGGCGAGGAGGCAACGGTGGCCGACCCTCCACTCTCGCAGTATGCCCGAGCCCATAGGCCCTATGGGATCTCTCGAGGCCTACTTCAAGAGATTAATCACCGACCCACGAGGCTTCGAGGCCTTTCTCCGCGTGACGGACTTCTTCCAGAAGATCTGTCTGCGGTAGCAGCATCCACACCTACGTAGATGTGAGTGCGGACTACAAAGAACCTCCCGATTCCAAGGGACGATTTGGGAAAGAATGAAACTGGGGCACCAGCGGGAACCGGGGACAGACAGAACGCGTAGTGGCCACAAGGCATGATTTGGAGGACGATGTAAAGAGACGACGTACTGTAGAGTAGGTAGCCTTGGCTCACGGCCCTCCACGCCATATACCCTTCGGGAGGTCTGCGGTAAGGGCTCTAGCCCGGCCGCCACGGCGTTAAATACAACAACAACAACAACAACAACAACATATTTCCTAACCAGACAGGCGATGGGTTGAACTTCTGGGCATCTGGGTCTGGATACCAAAGTGATGTTGCCCTTGGAGCCATGCAACTATTGAGAGGAGTCGCAACTCTTCCGCGGTCGCAAACTTGTGACGTTTTTGATTCTCAAATCTTTCTCACAAACCTAATAATTGATTTGCCAACTCCTGATAATACTCTAGAATTGGAGCCACAGTCCGGAACTGTACAGTCAAAGTGTGAAAAGCTACGAAGTCTATGGCCGGCCAGGCCATGTCGAGTTACTCCCATGATGTCCACTCTGTGGCGTGACATAGCATCTCGGACGGACCGAAACCTCTTCTCGCAAGCTCCGGCATGCAAGAAGAATAGCTCCAGTGGAAGCACACAGCATCACGGCGTTAACACCATGAACATGCTGTTTGAGAAACTACAGCCCTTAACCAGTTACAGCGCAGGCTCACGCTGTACCTGCACTACATCGGGCCTCTCCTCCAAGAACAACGCTACGTCTTCGTCTGTCCCCGGCTCATTGCAGCCGCAACAGATGCCCAACTATTGTCGAACGTGTAGCAACTACCATGAACTTCTGAGCTTGGGTCTGGAGCAGTACAAGAGGACGTTTCACCCAACTTTTCCGGTGATACATTTGTCGACTTTCTGCGTCGACAACACACCTTCCACACTTGTTTGCGTTATTTGTTTACTGGGTCTCACTTACTTGAGTACGGAGGAGGCTGCAGCATTTGGTTCCATTGCCTTCCCGGTGAGTCGTCCCCTTGCCTTTTTGGTTTCTTTTTCAATACTGAAACAAACCATCCACCATTGAGCAGTTTGTCCTAGACCGGGTATACTCGGAAGTCATCGCCAACTCCTTTGCCGATACTAGCCTAGAGCAGAAAATGTGCATGTTTGCGACCTCGGGCCTTGTGTCTGCCCTCTTCATCCTTAACGGAGTAAGAGTATCACTATTCCCTTCTACTCCAGCTATGGCCTAACATGTAAGCCAGGGAACTTCATCCTCCGATCAAATGCGACTGCTATACATCAACACTCTTACAGTAGGTAATTTCATCGCGAACTTTCTCATAGATAAGAGACTTACCTAATATAAGGCAGCACGGCAACACGGTCTCTTTGATTCTGGGATGCAAAACAACCTAGCTCATGCGCTTGAAACTACAACCAAAGAAGATGAGGATTGGATAGCATGGAGTCGGATCGAAACGACTAAACGGTGAGATCTTCTGATGTAGTGGATCTAGTACGCATGAACAAAAATTACTGACTACGCCGCTTCGAAGAATTATCGTCCTACTGATACTGGTTGACGCTTGGTTCTCGGATCATTTTTCGCCAGGGCCGATCATCTGCACGGGGAACATCAATCTGTTCCTTCCATGCGATGTTAGGCTCTTCCAAGCAACGACGGCCAGTGCGTGGAATCGACTCGTAAACCTAGACTCACTAGCCGCACACCCACGCTTCTCCCTCCTTCGTGGAGAAGCGGAGCTTCCGGTTCTCCAGGAGCCTGTTGAGCACCTCTCCATGAATGCCATGCTTATATCATCCCTTCTACGGATCTACGACAACCACCGCACTTACCTCTCCACCTGCGACGACGAAACGCTGGCCAGATGTCACTATACCCCTTGGAAGTGCTTCGCTCTAGAAGAAAAGGCAAGAAAAAACACAGAACTATTATTGGAAATGATGAAGGTCTATGGACCTGTGATGGAAGATATTGGCTCCGACTGCCTAGTCACATGGAACTGGATGGGCATCATACTGACGACAGATTATTGTCTTCTCGAAGAAGCAGCAGGGAGGAGCGGCGTTGAAGCTGCGAAGAACGCCATACCCAAGATCAGGATCTGGACCCAGACCCCGGCAGCGAGGCGAGGCTGTCTTCACGCGGCGCAAGCTTTCAGGGCCACATCCCGGCGACGAACTCAAGACGGTGGATCATTCTCGGCTTCCAAGAATTTGTTCAGCGCTGCCCTCGTGCTAGCCTTGTATCTTCTCACCTCGCCCTCGGAAAAGAATGATAACAGCGGCTGTGCCAACGAGTTTGAGCTGCTCGGCAACGTTGACTGGAAGTCCCTCGGCACCGAGGGTCTGTCTGATAAAGTTGATGAGTTATCAAGCAGCGAGACAGTTAACGCAGCTGCGGACTTTATCCGGCTGGGAGGCCCTGTCTCCATGCGCAACGAAAGGTGCCTGGGTGGGCTTCGTTCCGCGCAACGGGTTCTTCTAGACTTTGCCAGTCTATTGGACGATATGAAGAAGTGGAGGATAGGAGATTACTCACGTCTGCTTTACATGATTTGTGAGAGCCTCGGGGACCTTTGTGCAAATGACGAGCATATAGCAGGAGGTGGGACTGCCCAGTGACACAACGCGAAAACTTAGGTTCCCGGAGAGTTACGTCAAACAAACATACTCATACTAAGCGTATCTCACAAGAACAATCAACGTCGATCCAGGGAAGTATAGTTCAAGTGTGCCATCTGGTAAACCATCTGACAGCGGAGATTCACCGTCTTCGAGCGGGTGCTGCGGCAAAACTCCGACTACGACTCCAGGCCTGTGGAGCAATCTTATCATCGTCTAACATCACGTATAATGAACGACACGAAGGTTGTCGATTCTGCTTTTAAATCTTTTCTTGAGTTTCTTTATGAAGAGACTGAATAACCCTGGTTTGTAGTCATTCATCTGGGTGTAATACTTCTCTTTCCGAATCCAGCAAAAGTTTAACCACCATGGCCTCCGGAAACTACACGATAGACCTTGCGAGGTTCGCGGCTAGCCTCACCTCCAAAGCGCTGCCAAAGAAACTATAAGGCTCTCTCCCAATCCTCTTACTTGATACTGTCACCGCCATGCTGACCGGCATGGTCCGACCCGTCTACAAATCGTCAGCCGAGGCACTCACCTCTATCCACGGCAACGGAGGACCCCAATCAGTCGCAGCCATCGACGGCACGGAAACCACAATCTTCGGCGCAATGTACCTCAACGGCATTGCAGCCGGAGCATTCCAAGTCGAGCACGTCGTTCTGAACGCACACCCGTCCTCCTCCGTCCTGCCCGCTCTACTAGTCTACGCCTCCACCTCGAACACAGCCACCACCGGCGAGGACTTCCTCACCGCCCTCGCCGCAGGCTACGAAGTCTGCGCGCGCATCGGTCTCGCATTGGGAGCCTCGGTAGAAGACGAGCGCGGCTTTCACAACCCGACCATCAACGGGCGACTTGCCGCCGCGGCAGCAGTGGGCAACCTCCTCGATTGGGACGCCGAGATCATCGCGTCCGCCATGGGGGTCGCGGCGTCGAGCTCGGGCGGGCTCGTGGCCTTCCAGACGACGAATGCCAAGACGAAGCAGATCCATCCGGGCCACGACGGACCTTTGGGCATCGAGGCAGCGCTCATGGCTCGCGCGGGCCTGGGGGGGACCGCCTGATGTGTTGGGGAACGAGATGGAGTTCTTGCACGTCTTCTCGCCGGAACCGAACGCTACCGCGCTCGCGGATCAGCTTGGTGATCGTTGGGATTGTGAGGCGACGACGGCGAAGCACCATTTCATGCACTCGAGATTCCAAACGCTCGTCTCCGGCATCCAGAATCACAAGAAGCGAGACCCTTGGGACAAGGAAGTCAAGGGCGTCACGGCGTACGTCGGCCCTCGTCTCTTGCGAGAATCGCATCAGATCGCTCACCCCGAGACGCTTGACCAAGCACAGTACAGCGTCTTGTTCTGCCTTATTGCCGCGGTACTACTGGATTTGAGCAGTCCGTTTATCTTCAACGATCCTCTGGTCGGGGATGAAGCTGTGAAGAAGTTCGCAGGAGAGGTCGTCATTGAGCAAGTCTATAACGACGAGAGGACAGAGGCCGGATATGTCATTGTGTCGTCTCCTGATGACAGCACTGTGAACATCACCGCGCCGTACAGCGGGTACACCGGGCTGTACGAAAAACCTAATTTCCTTGAGGCCTTGGTGGATAAGTATAACCGAACTACCAAGGCCCTAAGTGTGGAAGGCGCTGCACAGTCCCTGCGCTCTTTGGTTGAGTATATGTGGATGGAAACAAACATATCTCACGTATATAACGAGATCGTGAAGGTTGGAGAAGAGGCCCGCTCAAACTAGTATAGGCAGCAGCCGCCATTTCAGTCTCCTGATTCCAGAACAGCATCGGCCAAGCCTTGTCCGGCTCACAATCCCACCCAACACCCCGCACACACATCAATCACAGTCACTGTCACACACACACACACACACACACACACACACAATGGCCAGCTCCAAACTAACCGTAACCCTCAAGAGTTCATTTCGCGCCCCGGACGGCACCTTGTGGACCGCCGGGGATGACGTGAGCGAATACTACCGCGGCTGGGGCTTCACCATCTACCGCACCGCCTACGGCCCGGCCACCGACGCGCAGTGGCCCACCCTCCTCGACAAGATCCGAGTCCAGGTCGTTTCCGAGATAGACTGCTACGTCGAGGCCGGCGAGGAGGACCTCGCCGCACAGCTCAAGTCTCTCTTCGTCCTCGACGCCCGCTCCGACGCCGCCCTGCTCGCGGACATGACCATGGGCGAGGTGCGCAAGATTTACAAACAGGCGGCGGTGACCAGTCGCAGCTCCTGAGACGACGATGACAACGGCAACGGCCAGTCGCTACCCCTCATGCGCGACAGCCCTAACCAGCGCGCGTTCCTGTTTGCTGATGCAGAGGTTGTCACGAGTTATGGCACGCAGCAATGGTCATATGAAGTGGGTTAAAGTGGCTTGAAGTAACCCATCTGGAATGAGCACATGAGAGCAGTCTATAGACTAAGAGAATGTGATATCCACGTGAGAAAGCACGTGGCAAGATGCTTGACAAGTGCTGATACCATCCCTGTTTCGTGACAGAGGTGCTAGAGGGCGTCGACCGGGACCCCTACTTCTGGGTTAAGTGCGTCGGGGCTGATTTCGCCGAGGGAGACTTGGCCGAGGCGGACAGAGCACAGGCGTCCCGGGGGAGGGGTAGAGCAGCAGCCGGGATATGGTCTGGCTGGATGAAGATGACGACCCGCAGCGTGGTCGATTTGTGTACCGAGATGCCGGTGTGCGATCTGGCTAGCATCGCGCCTGGTGCGAGATCCGCGGACAAGATGCCTGTGTGTAACGGCGAGCTGACCGGGTCGTCGCTAACGAGCAAGATGTCAAGCGGCAAGTAAGGCGATGGAAGGGGAGGGGGAGATCTGGGCTGTGGGAGGTTTGGGGACGATAAGGATAATCCATGGGGTCGACTTAGATGGCTATTTAGCACCGTCAAAATCTCGTGTGGCTGAAGAAGTCAAATTCAAAGGGGGGGATAACAAAATACACATGAAATAAAACCGCACGGAAAAACTAAACTACACAAAAATGCGTACAGCGCCCCGAGACCCGTCTTCGACCGTCAAAACGCCCCAGTACCGCCGCGTCGTGTCGATGACGGCCTGCACAAAGTTCATCGTCTGGTTGATCAGGAACGTGTTGAAGGACTTGCGCGAGCTGGCGTCATAAGGAGTTAATGGGAGATGTTCCTCGTCTATGGATGTGTGCTGATCATGCTCATAATCGATAGTATGGACTTATCGCAGCGGTGATTGTATTTGGGGTCCAACCCCAGCAAACTTCTGAGTGTCGCGTTCGCACGCCATCAATATCTCCGTCTGCCATATCTGCCTCCTCCTCCGACTCATCACCGTCGTGAGGGATATCGCGGTCCTGGATGGCGGTGGCGATGGCGACTCTAAGCATGTCTCGAAGCTCGCTGAATGGAATGTGGATGTTTGCGAGATCGTCGTGGGAGTGTTCATGGGAGTCGAAACTGGAAAGAGCTAGTTAGCACAGCTCCGCTGGAAAGATTGGTAGTCACGGCCGACCTCTGGCGAGAGCGGCCGAGTTGGAACGACGGGGGACGGGAACTTTCTCACCACTGGCGAACCTGTCCGTGAGGAACGTCCGACGTATCCCTGACCATGTCGGAGAAGTAGAGCGACAAGCTCGCATCGGCGCTGAACGGTTTCCAGTCCATCAAAATCTTCGCGAAGCCGTCTGGCTGCATCACCTAGACGCCGGCGAAGCACTCGTCGAGATGGTCCAGGATGGCCTCGAAATTGCTGGTTGGGTTAGTAGGGCAGTAGATCTTGAAGCCGAGGACAGTCCGGATTCTGCGACGACCGCGCGTGCCCTCCAGATATCCCTGGCAGACCTTCAGGATTTCGAGGTCCTGGGGTCCGCTGGGGTGGGAGTAGGCAACCTCGGCGACAATAGGAGGGTTCGTCTCGAGGGGGAAACGACCCCAGGCAATGTCAAGAACCTTCTTGGATCGCGATTTCGACTTGCCCTTCAGCTCGATATCGGGGGTACCCCTGGATCGGAAGTCCTCGATGAGAGGCTCGGCCGCACCAGTAACCCTGTGGCAGATTGAGGCAGCGAAGTCGGTATGGACGCGTGTTTCGGGCATCTTAAAGGTCAAAAGGCCATCTTCGGCATCGTACTCGATTCGGAGTTGTCGAGATTGCTGCGGAAGGAATAGCGAGCGGCTTGATCACCGTCGGAGGAGAAGCCAGAGTCGGAATCCAAGAAGGAAATGGAAGCGCAAGCTCGAGTGTCAAGCTAGTTTCGATTAAGTCCGAGTTTGAGGTCAAGTTAGCCGACGTCTAGGCCAGGCGAAGGTTCGCTCTGCAAGCGGTGAAGGAGAGCTTCGTACGATTCTGGCGATAAGTGGAAAGAAGGATTTTCTTGATCTGCTGTGGTGAATTGGCCAAGCGCAAGACGGTATGCAAAGGCAAGAGCGTTGTGGAAGGTGTCGCCTTCGCCATTGACTTGGTTTGGCACCATGATTGAGTTGGATGCACGATTTAGGTTGGTGTTTGGGGGCACCGCTTTATCAGCAAATGGCCTGTGTTCATTTGAATTGGTGCATGCGCGGACAACAGTGTCTTTGTCGTCCAGATCGCTGGATGTTCAAAGCCTGAACAATGGGTGAGGTTGATGGGGAGAGAAAGTTGTGGTGAAGGTGGGAGAGGGTTGACAGAACGCTGTGAAAGGACGGCAGAAGGCCCCGCCCAGGGAGCTCAATTTACCACCTGTGGCTTGAATGAAGTGCCCAAGAACCCACGCCTGCAAAAAGTCACAGAGGTGGTGTAACAACGGGTCCGTGTAATGATCTTACACTGAGCATTAGCAAAGATCGCTAGTTATTGGATAATCTCTGACGGTCAGAAGATTTTGTGGCTGCCGGCTGAGTTCCACCCTTTTTGCTCTGCTGTAAAAGGTCCTATAGTAGTACTTGGTTGTAATTCTGGTGTTATGGCCAGGCTAGCTGATAGTGAGGAGTCTGCTAACAGAAGCTGAGGTATGAAGCTGTAACAGTATCCGTGGTGCTGTAGGTCGAGTACATCTAGAACGGTCTTCAGAAGATATAGTGATCAGTCGTATCTCCAATGTTAGGGTGCAGGGTAAGGTAAGCCTGAAATTATCCGAAGATGTTTATTAAGTTGATCGCTGAAGAGTTATGGGAGTGTAACGGTCCAAGGCTAGTGTATTTGTAACTAGCTATGACGACTACTACGAGTATCCTCAGATGAGGACCAGATAGGAAAAACAACAAATCTCCGCTTTGCCGTTGGCCTGATCAAGGCCGTACCGCACTGGCCATCGGATTGTCGGCATCGTAGGTTCCGCGGTGGGCCTGATCAGGGGTAGTTCATGGCCGCGATATCCCGCAAGGCCTCATATGGGCCCAGCCCGTTACACACAGTTGGTCCTGTCATGGCGTAGCTATATTTGCAGAACAAGGGATAATGATGACCGGAGTCATCATTATCGAAGCTTTTGCTTTGTGTCACAGTTGGTTGCCTTGACCTGCTCGTAACAATGTTGGTTCGTGACACTCACTACGACTAGCTGGCCGTAACATACCTGGGATTTTATTCCCTTCTTCACACCTTAGCATCGTAATACCAAAACACCATAAATAGTTCTAAGTCTCTGCGCCAGATGGAAGGCATCTAGCACAGAAAGGCAATAATCATAGTTCTTAAAATTTTTGTAAACCGGTGAGTGACTTGATTTCCTTCCAGCCCCAATTGCTAGCTTATAAAGTCTAAGAATAAGATTTCCACATCTTATTCGTACTCATGGATCTATCATCTCTAGCGGCTAATTACAGAGGCGCACGCTGACTTTTGATCTCGAACGGCCTGTAACGAAACGCACCACCGCGCTATGTATGAGGGGAATTCTTCAATTGCTATTCGGCATGTTCTACTTGTGAACGCCTGCCATCTTTACAGTCGAATCTTTTTCGAGGAACTCAATCACTTTTGTGATCTTAGAACCATTTTCGTTGAAGTACAAGGTGAAACTGGCCTCCGAGGCGAATTTTTCCCCGCTACCTACTACCACCACATCAAATATAGATGTGAACGCAGCGCGGCGAGCTTCAGTGTCGATAACCAAGTTCGAAATGATGCCGTTGCGGAACTTGAGGGCTTTGATGTCTTTAGCAAAGACTTCTTGGAACGTGACATTGTCGATGCTGAAATTTGCCGGCAGACCAAGGACCTCAGACACGCTGGAAGGGAGTATGTGTCGAGTGCAGTCTGGTGTGAGGGTGCGGTTGATGATGGCGGGGTCGTTCTGGACTGAACCGTCTTCGAACGATGCCAAAAACGTTTCTGCAGTAGCCTCAATCACCTTCCTGAGGTCTGATGAGGATGGGGTAGTGGCCATGGTGGTGTGAGGCTATAATCTTTGGAACTTTGTGTGAGTGTGAAGGTAGAATTGAGAGGTAGCGATTCAAGACCAAGGCACAGATGGTAAAGAGGCTCGGCTAGCCTTTATATTCCATCATAATCCGCATTGATACAGGCACCTTAATCTCTGATATTAGCTGGCTGCGACCATTCACATTGACTTTAATACCAGTTCAATTCGGGCCGCAGTCATTCCCGGAGATAGCGGTGAAAACTTGATAAAAGCCGTTTCTTTGATGGTGTTCTACAGACGAGCCAGATCGATTAACAATAATCATTTTCTATCCGTACCTACGGGGTACTCCGTATGGATACCGCCAGAAACCATCCCTGGCTCAGACCTAGGTATAACTCGCCGTGATTACAAATTTCCCTTCTTCGGCCTAGCGTGTCTTCTCGCAGACTTTAAAGTTTAACACAGCCATGATTTCTAACGGCTCCTCTACATCGGTTAGCCCCACCCGATGACCCTTTTCCCTTCTTGAGCTTAGCCTATAGCGTGGAGGTTTACGCATGCGTGCCCTTGTCTAGCCCCCACGTTTGACGGTTTGACTGGCATTGGTCGATGCACGGTATATTTCAAAATCAAAGACCTCGTCTGCGTCGGTTTAGTGACTTTCCTGAATGTCAGTACTTCCCAGTGAGATTTAACAGCAGCGACATACAATCGAAAAACTGGTAGCTACGAAAAATGGCAGATTCCGGTACTTCTCTTCATTCATCGGGGAGTGAACGCGAGTCGAACATGGTCAGCTGTCACTCCGACCACGCCGACGCTGACGTCGAGGCCAAAGCCAATAATACGCAGCGCAGGAAGCTTCAAAACCGGAATAATCAAAGAGCACACCGTAAGTGTTTCCGCCATAGCCTCGAGAATTGATGAGCTCATAAGTTTGACAGGGCTGCGGATGAAGCAGCAAGTCTCGATGTCTTCACGGACGTTGTCGCGCCCATTTGAAGTCAGACGCTGGCGCCTCGACGAATTCGATAATGACGCCTCTCAGAACGTCTCGTCAGCATCAGGAAGCGAATCAAAACCTGCCGCTGAATGCGCTTGCGTTGTTCAAGGGCCACTGCCGCCCACCGCCGCCAATGCCCAGAAGCCTCTAACCCCCCCGTCCTTCATCTTCCCACTTTCAACCGACCACCTCCTCCATCTCGTCCAGTACAATGTCTTTCGCGCTTTCGTTGCGAACAAACGCACTCTCAACATACTTCTCACAGGCCAGACTAATAAGCCTTCTTCTCCAACCACCTGTCCAATCAGCGGTCCTTACCGTGATGACACATGTGTCTATCCCCTGAATCCTAATATTCCACCCTGCCTCATCCCAACCCGCCTTCAGCAAATCCGGCTGCATTCTCTGTACATCAATCTCTTTCCATTCCCTCGCTTTCGTGACAATCTAATAAGGCGCGAAGGGGAATTTGACCACTGGGAGCTTCTACAAGACCTCATCGGTGAGCTCATGAGCATGACACCGACTCGAGAGCGACGAGGTACCCCCGTCACCATCACCGTTTCCGACCCCAAGCCCAAAGGGATCTCCCCCTTCACCGCAGAATCTCACGAAGATGGCATCACTGCGAACCGTAAGGGCCTCATTGTGTGGGGCGAGCCGCACGACATACGGAGCTGGGAGGCCACCCCCGGCTTTCTTGAGAAGTGGTCGTGGGCAGTGGAGGGGTCTGATGACTTGGTTGAAGCTAGTAATTGCTGGAGGCTGAAGAGGGGAGAAGCTCCCATACGCCTCTCTGGACCGAGGAGGTAGCCGCTACGCTGGAATGATGGTAACAAGTACTCGAGCCTTCGTAACAAGAGACACAGTCGGGCGAAATTTGCTGCTTTTGCCGCTACTTATTACCTAGCTAGAGGCCGGCTCAACAAGTCAGAATTTGAGACATCAAGTGATCAATACATCACAAAGATATCACGGATGGTATGTATGTCCCTGGGTATAATTGTGTTATCAATCAAAAAGAAATTACTCGTTGAACTGCATACTGGGGGCCACGTCACTCTCGGTTCCCTACGCCTCGTCAGGCAATCCTACAATCTTAAGCGAGTGACTCCACAACCTCTTTGCCTTTTCTACATCATAGGCGTACGGCGCATATCCGAGCGCAAGAAACTTGTTATCTCCTTCAACATACGGCTCTGCTACGGCGCAGTTGACAAGGTACTTGCCACCTTCATGTTTCCATGCCTTGCCCACAGCCGCCCATACCGAAGTTGCGGCACCCTGTTCAATACTCTTCATTGTGGGATACAAGTACTCCATCCCCTTGAAGGCATCCGGGGGCATGTGCTGGGTCAGCCCCGTTTGGACAATACCGGGATGGACGCTCGTTGCGTGTAGGTGGCTCGACCCGTAGCGGCGCTCGATCTCGTTAGCCATGTAAATGTTGGCCGTTTTGGATTGTCCGTAGGCCACACTGGCATCATAGTCGCCTTTCTGGAAGTCGTAGTTGTCGGGGTCATTTATTCCATGGACGTTGTGAGCAGTGGACGAGAGATTGACGACGCGTGACGGTAGACTCGGGGAGGCTGCAGCAAGAAGCGCAGGTTCCAAGAGCTTGTAAAAGAGGAAATGGGATAGGTGGTTTGTGCCGAACTGGAGCTCGTGGCCCTCGGCGGTAAGACGATGGTCGGGGATGGCCATAATGCCAGCGTTATTCACCAGGAGGTGAATCTTGGTAGTCTTGGCAAGAATGGCGGCGGCGGCATCCCGGACAGAAGAGAGGCTTGCCTGGTCCATCTTGATGATCTCCATGCGGGATTGATCGAAGATACCAATGAGGGCGGACTGAGCCTTGGCGACGTCTCGGGCTGTGAGAAAGAGGGTGGCGCCAGTGGCGGACAGGGCGCGAGTGGTCTCGATACCGATGCCGGAAGAAGTACCGGTGATGATAATGACCTTACCCGCGAGCTTTCCCTTCACACCCTCGTCCTCGATGATTTTCAGGGCCGTTGGACGCGCGTCGCCAGGGCCATTTGGGTTGGCGTGGGCTTCAGCGTAGCAAGACATGATTGATTTTGGCAAAGGATTTTGAGAGGTTGGCTTGAGTATTAAAGAGAAGAATAAGTCTGGTCGTTGTAACTTGAGTTCTGAAGTTGAGGGAAATTGGTTCACTTATATACTCAAATCACCATGGTCATTTCAGGGGATGAGACAACCACTAGGATAGGATCTTACGCTTTACAAATATTTTCCGGCGATAGGAAACAAGTACCACTAATCCCGACCATTCATAGATACTTCAAGTATCACCAATTAGTCTACGCGAAGTCATATTCTGTCCAATTTCTCGTTTTCTTCCATTTCTACGCTGATGTCTGACTCGTGTGATGACAATTTCCCCCCTTTCGGCCTAGTAACTCTCTCCGTGAGTTGTAAGTTGGAAAGCCCAAAGACGAAGTGGGCGGGTCAGTTAAGGAAAGTGTTACGGTGTTACGGCCAGCTAGTCGTAGAGGTATGTTTGCAAAAGTTGAGGCTGCGATACTAAGTAACAGTGTCGTAAGTCTAGATAGCTTTCTAGCTATGTTTGTCAATCGTAAGGTAAGGTCAGGCTTTAGTGATCTGGTCGGTGAAAAAGGGATCCACGGGTCCTGCCTTTTGGTCATCTCGGTGTCGACCGAGCCGACGCTTAGTCCTGTTGAGGGACCACTGAAGAATACCGCTCAAATGCCACTCATGAGGCTGGCTGTATTTAGACTCCTTGCTGTTCCCCGGATCGATAAGCACTATGCCTATGAAGCTTTGCCGTAGTAGTGTGTAGCTGCTGGTGGAGTGAGTAAGACGTCTGTAGACCACTGGGTCGTATACTAGCTTCAGCCAATAATCCAAAGATCCGTACAACAAACCAAACTCTTAGCAGTTGCAGCAAACATGAGTCCTCATTTCGTAGACAGCGGCTGTGAAGTCTTGACTTTGGGTATTGATCAAGATGCCACCACTGTGGGCAAACGCTTCCAAAGATAAGACTTCCCCAAAATAACGATATCCGCAGGCGCCGTGCAACAGAAAGACTCAATACCACGACATATAGACCAAAATCCCGTCCAACATCAAAGACACCTGTCCCAGCCCACATGGTCGCATCCCACTCAACCCGGAGCGACACCGATCCGCGAGGCGTAGATCAGGGAAACAAGACCGACCTGCCGGGGTTGCGACCCTGCTGGAGATCCTTCGGCACAAGGTATGTGAGGAAACAAAATGGAATCTCTCCAACCGAACAAGTGTCTTTGGATGAATCAACAAAAACGTGCGCATCCTGCCTTCCCCTGTTATTTTTAGTTTGGGTTGGAAAGGACGAGAGAAAACAAGCGCTGGAGGGAGGGGGGGGGGGGGGGGGGAGGTCGGTTTGGCGGGTGGACGTTGCACAGCCAACTTATGGGGCCCGGATAGCGGTCTCCGAGAAGCGCAGCAACCAATGAGATAACTTTCGCAACGGCGCTAATGTGGGCTGAGCTTATTCGTGATTGGATCAGAGACCCGCGGCCGCAGGAAACGTTCCCCCACCCCAAATAAACAAACGCCGACTGGGATTATTCAACATCCACCCTCCATCCTCCACGGGTTCCCCCCAACCTCGTGGCCGATGTAGTCCAACGACCCAAACTCCGCGCTAGTGCTGACAACGAGGTCAAATTTCCAAGCCCTGTAGGCTCCCTGTCAATTCTTACCGGACTACACTGCTCCCGAGAAGGAGCTTTGTGAGCGATGGCACGTGGGAGCCGTTCTGTCCGTTTCTTGTGTCATCTTGAGAGGGATGCAGGCTAGCTAGCTAGTGAGTGGTCTTTTCTCCTGCTGCGGACAGGATGAGAGTTGAGCCGAATGTTGGTCAAGGTCTAAGCCTAGCCGACTTTCAAGACCATGCGGGATGGCAGTATTGTGGACTTTGGTCGACGATGGATGGACCTTGAGGTTGGACGACATCCCAAATTAGACTATGCACCACCAACTTAGACTGTTCATTTTCGTCCCATCCGAATAGATGGGATGCCAGTATATAACTAGACATCAGATCCCTTTCTCATGATGGCTTCTCTCTTGCATCTCATCACACAGTGAACGCATCGCAATACCATCTAATCTCAACTTTCCTTGAGTCTCATCTCCTTGTCTCCTTTCGACTTGAACTAGCACTCTTCGACATCGGTATCTCTAGCCAGCATACATAAGCACAAGACTCCAGAATGTACTTCACCACTAGCTCCGTCGCCCTCACCCTGGCCCTCGCCTCCCCGGCCCTAGCAGCCCCCTACAGCAGTCCTCGCGCAGAGACAACCACCGCTGCCGCTGCCGCTCCCACTCTATCCCTCACCCAGCAGCTCTTTCTCGCCGACACGTAAGTCTCCTCCCATACCCTCCTCCTCTCTTTCCAACTTACTAATGACCCCAAAACAGCGCCGCAGACCGTTTCAAGCTCCTCCCAGACGACAAGCAATTCATCTTCGACTTCAACCAACCCCAACAGAACCCCGGAAAAGGAGGCGAACTCGTCGCCGCCAACCGCAAAACCTTCCCCGCCCTAGTCGGCACCGGCGCCGGCATGGCCGTAGGCCGCGTCGGCCCCTGCGGCATGAACACCCTCCACGTCCACCCCCGCTCCGCCGAGCTCCAAATCGTCGTCCAGGGCCGTCTCATCACCGAAATGACGCCCGAGAACGGCGTCGTCCTCGCGGCGGACGGCAAGACCCGCCGCGCCATCCGCACCGAGCTCGGCCCCTTCCAGATGACGCCGTTTTACCAGGGCTCTCTGCACACGCAGTTCAACCCGGACTGCGGCGATGTCGTGTTCGTGGCGAGTTTTGCGGCCGAGGACTTTGGTACCGGACAGGTTGCTGATAGTGCCTTTGCCTTGACTGACGATGTTATTGCTGCTACGTTTGGACAGAGCATTGCTGGTGCGGATATCGACCGTGTACGCAAGGCTATTCCTGCCAGCATTGCGCTTGGAGTTGACGAGTGCTTGAAGAAGTGCAACATCCAGAAGCGTGCTTTGTAAAGGTTGCGCGAGAGAGAGAGATTGGCAGTGGCGAGGCAGTTGACTGCAGATAGAGAGAGAGAGAGAGAGAGAGAGAGAGAGAGAGAGAGAGAGAGAGAGAGAGACAGAGAGAGAGAGAGCATGGCGTCATGCATCTGGCAAGCGAGCATTTGATGGTTTGGCATTCGAGCATTCGACTCATTGCATGGGCTTTAGGCGTTTTGCATTTGCACTTTTTGTCTTTCTTCACGCCCACCCCTTCTCCCTTTCAGCTAGCTTTGCGATTTTTTACCTTCATTCCTTGTACCTAGATTTGGTGAACACCTCAGTAGAAGTACCTAGCATCGTGGAAAAATGAAATCCCCTTTACATACGCGATTGATTGGCCTCAACCCTTCCTCAAGGCTCAGACTGTTTCGTGTAGCGGCTGATTGAGATCAGAATTACGAATTTCATGAGGCGTAAGCATCCATGTCTTGCCTCATGACACTGTACAAGCTCGCTGCCGTCATGCTCTAGCAAGCGCTATAGTAAGGAGCGGCTTATTTCTCCCATCTTGCTTCGATATGGCGGTCTGTTACCGGTGATTGTAGAGTAGCGGGATCTAGGGTGGACAATCAGGAAAGACGACTAGAAAATTGATTCGAGGCACCGCAATACCATTGAGCTTGAACGTTTCGTTTATTGGTTGGACCGGGCCGTGAAGCAGGTGACAGGCCCAATACGTCCCGACCGAGGTCTGAACTACCCTAGAACAGACATAAACGACGCTCGACAAGCCATCATGACATGGCCACATGCCCCACATCACCTCCCCTTGACGTCGACCAAGGCTCAGCCACACGTTCTCCAAGCACATTCTCACATAATACAGTTCCCCTCATGGAATAAGATTTTCCGGTCCAAGATACCCCGCTTCCCCTCAAGTCATGACCGATGTTCCATTTCACATAAAAGCTTCCTCCACATGTTCCTCGAATAATATAGTATAAGATCAAAATAATACGTGCGTAAATGGGTATAGATGAGAAGCAAACCGATCCGAAAGTATGTAAATGCCCCTTGTCAGAAGAGCCGAGTAGTAAATACCCGAAAGAAAGCTTTGCCTGCTCGTGTGGTCAACACGAGAATGCTAAGACAATAAACACTAGACTGTCGCGATATTATCGCGGGAATTCGATGTATACGTCCAGATGAGTTGTAATGGATGAAGGTGCCATCTGTCACTGGCGTATATGCAAAACTTTACCGCATGGTCGTAAGCGGCTGGTCGAAATGAAGAAATGCCAGCAGCGTAAATGATACGTAGCAAGCGAGCTTGCCCAAAGGGTGAGAATAGATTACCCGGCCGAGCGAGCTGGTTCCGAGACAACCGAGGTCGAATGGCAGCCAAAGAACGGCGCTGCGTCGTGTTGACAAGCATGGGTGTGGAAGCGAAGGACAGGCGGCGCCTGCTGCTGCTGCTGCTGCTGGCTGGGGCGAAAGGAAGAATACGACTATCAACTGACCGCAATCAGTAGAGGAAAGTGGCTGCCACAAAGGCGATGACGAGGCCGGCAATGGCACCACCGCCTTGTTTGACCCCTTCATTCTCCTTCGAAGTCGTTGCGGGCGCTGATTCTTCCGTCTCTGTGGCGGTGGCAGGCTTGGAAGTCGTAACATCGGAGTCGGAAGCGGTGGTCGTTGAGTTATCGTTCTCATGGAACATACCGGCCATGACAGTGGGGGCACTTGATGATGTCGAGGAAGCGGAGATGGCTGCGCTGGAAGCCTTGGAGCTGGAGCTCTTGACAGCCTTGGAGGAGGGCGCCGCGGAAGAGGAGGAAGGCGAAGGCGTCGGTGTCGGCGTAGGAGTAGGGGTGGGAGTAGGAGTTGGCGTCGGAGTCGGAGTAGGTGACGGAGCAGCCGAAGACTTGGCGACCTTGATTTCGACCTTAGTATCCTTCTCGTCGTCGTCAGAGTCGCTTCCACCGGATCCGTCAAGTGGGAAGACAATGATGCGACCCTTCTTTCCCTTGGGAACAGTGACAACGCAGTACTTGGCATTGCCGGCGCCAGTACCAGCCAGGTTGCTGGTCACCTCTCCAACAGCATTGGCAGAGGGGTCGATGGAGCAAGGAGTGCCATTGCAGCCGCCATCGGGGCACTCGATTCGGACACCGTAGGTAGGCTTTGTGTTCTTGAGCGCGGAACCCTCCCAGATGGGGTTGTAACCGAGAGTGACGAAAGTTCGTCCCTGGCTGTCCTGGTTGGCTCCTGCGACGTACGCAGCCCAGTTACCGACTGCCTTGGAGGAATCACCCCAGATGCAACCCTCATCCGTAACACCAGGAGGGTTGATGTAGTAGCTAGACGTCATTAGTTTCTTCACGTTCACTCATGTTCATCAAGGCGAACTCACTGAGCACTGGTGCTGCACCAGTAACTAGGGTCGGGAACAGCAAGAGTGATGGACTTGTCAATCACGCTGGGAATGAGCATAGCTTCGTTGCCCGGCAGAACGGTTTGGCAGAACGACAAAGTCTTGCCACACTTGTTGAAGACCTCAACGCTACCAGCTCCATCGACGCAGTAGGGAGAGCCTTTGATGGGCTTTGTAGCTTTACCATCAGATCCACAGTACAGACCACCGTTCTGAACCGGTTAGCCTTCGGACTGCAGTGGAAAAAGATAGCTAGATTCTTACCATGGATGAGGGATACGTGTAGGACGAATCGGGCTCCCATTGCGCCATGACTTTGCCGGCTTTGCAGGCAATAGGGCAGTAGCTTCCTTCAACACAGGCCTGATCGGGGCTCATGGCAAAACCATTGTTCATGGCACCAGGGACTTTGACCAGATCGCCATCGCTGGGCAAGCTGCAAATGGCCTTGCCGTCTGAAGTTCTCTTGATGACATCCCTCTCAGCAAGCGTTTCGATTTCCTCGTTGGGACCCAGACCGGACTTCAACTTGTGAAGGTGGCGGTGAGAGCCATCGTGAGCCTCGGCGGGTTGGGCAGAGAGCAGGACCAAAGCCGAGCCCAGAGCAGCCTTCATAGTAGAGAGCTTCATCTCGGAAGCGGGGTTTCGTCAAGAGTCGACGTGGTTTCCTCCCAAGACAATTCAAGAAAGCAGTAGCTGATTCCTGGCGGTTGGCGCGTCGCGCAACGTGATGACAACGGCAGTCGGGTTTGTCGTCCGGATTCAATGCTATAACATGGAGATGGCGAATTGGACTAGCAACAGCGCGCAAGCGTGTTGGATTCGTAGAGAACGTGATGTCTTCGAAAGCGAATGACTAGACAGCGAATGTCGGTGTAAAGAGCGGAACGTCTCAAAGCAGAGACTGGGCAAGGCGTAAGGATGCGGTGCAAGGACAAGAGAAAGAAGAGGAGAACGAGCGAGGGTGGAGGTGGCAGGATGGGTCGACGATAAAATGAGAGAGAGCAGCAAGTTATCCGGGGTGGGAATCGTTCAGCCTACTGTGGTAGGGGCCCATTTGCCCGTCTCTACTGAGCTTGCCGCAAAAGGCAGAGACTGAGAGCCTGAGAGATGGGTTGACAGAACCTCGCGCGCGATCCCCCCCCCTGTTAGCTAGAACGGGGGAGAGAGAGCTGGATCGACCAGGGCCATTTGAGGGGCGGGCGCAAGGATTCTGGCTGGTCATGGCGACATTGGGCAATGGGCAAGCGGTGATGCTTGGCTAAGGCCGGGGGCGGTTGAGGCGGACAAGCGTCGATGCGACGAGCTTGAGGAGATTCGCGCAGTTGGCAGAGTAAGGATTAAGGAGGCCAAGGATTCGAGGCCCGGGGGGGAAATGAAAATGACATGGCCCCTCGACCTTGGACGAACTCGCCAATCAGACAGGGCCATCATCTCGGCAAAGCTTGACTTGTTCCTGGAAAGAGCCAATGAGAGACGTTGCGCATGCAAGCCGTTGCTGCCGCTTGGAGCCAAACGAAATGAGGACACCAACGCACGGTTCCCAACGGGGTCCCAACCGGGGTCGACGAAGCACTCCAGACTGCGGTACGTATCTTATCTTCCGCAAGGCAGGTACCTGAGCCTCGAGGAGGTATTCGTACCTGCATAAGTTTGCATTGTTTCCACACTCAACCAATGGAGTCACGCACAATTTGTATGTCTCCACAGGACATCCCTCAGGCACCAGCTCTGATTGGCGGCATCGACCGAAACCTTTCCATTGTGCCTTTTCCCTTTTGCTGTCAGTTCGTGTCGTCGACTCGTCCAGATGGAAACTGGGAACATCTCCAGAGAACAGGGGGGGCAGAACAGACCGCACCGCTTCGTTGGTCGGCTAAGGAGCGTTGCCTTTTTGGGCGATTGATGAGATGAGCTTGCTGGCGCCATTGACAATTCGAGCGCAAAGAGGTGCACTCGAGTGACAAATTGGCAGTCAGCGGCCACCAAAGCTGGTGAGAGACCGCCGCTCGTAATGTCACACGCGCCTGCTGTCATCCAATCTTAACCTTCAAGCTTAATTCCACGTGCCGCCACGGGGTAAACAGGCTGTAGGTTGCACTGCATCCTACCTATGAAATACTCGAACCCGATCCAGACTCGACAGAAGTTTCCTATTGCTTAGCAGTGCTTATTGTCTTTAACCGACTGACTGTCATTGACTGAGACTGATGCTGTGCCACAGCCACCTCCTTGAACTGGAACCCGCATTCTAGTGCGACGAAGGAATGGGCGAGAAAAGACCGCATGAATCACGTCTTGGGTGGGCAGTGGGCTACAGGGGAACACAATGTCTCGGGTGACTCTCAACGGTATCTTTCTACCGCACTGGAATGCGGCAAAGCGCCTTCTTCTTCAACACACAACGCCAGTAACGCCACACGACTCAGCGGTCTTGCCTTCTGCTTCTGGAAGAAAGCCTCCAATTGTCGCGGACGGCACTCGCGATATCTGGGATAGATTCCACTGTGCCGAGGCGTGGCCATACCTACGTAGTACCTTCCTTACTTACTAGTGTAGGTAGAAAGGTACGTACTTACGTAGATAACGCCGGAGAGTGGGCCATTCCTTCCATCTCAACCGGAACCCCTTTCGAGCCAAGACTTAGTAAGAGGAGTCTTTTGCCCTCCACGAGTGACGAGTCCACTATTCACCTCCTCAGTCACTGCTTGTCGGCGCCTCGCAGGCTCGCACCACTTACCGAAACGTGCTTGCCCTCTTTTGAACCTCATCCTCCGCCATCTTCAAACCTCAACCAGGCCATCCCCAGACCAAGACGGATTTCTCTACCCTTTACGTATGCCATGTCGTCGACGTGCTGAGCATTTGTTGCACAACTCTCGAGGAAGAGACGCCGTCCCTTGCCCATGTGGACGTTTGGCATGAGCCTCATGTCACGAATCTTCCTCCACCCGCAACCCACGTACCCCGTGCTTTGTCTCTACCCCTATGGATACGTAGTAGAGACTTGACCTGGAAAGAGACCGAACAACTCCTCGTCAAACGTCTCCATCTCCATCTCGCCTGGGTGAACGAGCCAACGGCAGAGAACCTGTCAGGCTGTCTGTCAGTCGTCAGCAAAACCGCCGAACGCGATCTATCGACTGTGCCCGTGCGATAGATCTGGGCATGTCATTTGTCGCCACTCCTTCTAGGGCACTGATGGCGGAGTAAGGAAATTGCGCCTACCAAATTGTGCGAGATTGCACCAGTGTTGGTGTGCCTGGTGTCCTTTCTGGTCCCTGGACCAGTCAGCTTTACACTCGCAAACTCGCGGTAGTCGCCGATACGCTCTGTACGGATAGTGTTAACTTCCATCGGCAGACATCACGACACTTGCCACACCCGAGTAGCTTCACGATGTTGAGCTGAAAACTTTTCGCCTCAGCCAGCGATTTTCGTGCTCCTCCATCATCTATTCATGGATATACATCTCGTATCCAAAGAGTGGCCCTCGTCCGTTGCTGATCATTTGCAGTATTCGGCGGGAGGAACCTGCACTCTCGCTCTTCTGACCATCAACCGAGAAATACGGCCTGTGGCCAGATCACGCCACGCCCGCTCTGTTACTCGCTTGGTTTGATGAGTTGGAACTTGAGCAGCGCTGTGCCCCGCGCTAATTGCTACACCGCTAGCTACCCTCAGTCTTACTTGAGCTCTTTAAGAGTCCTGTACTGGAGCAACTCTGGACGCATGTTTCGTTGTGTCGGCCCGCTCCATCAGCGGCTCTCGTATGCCGAAATGGAGTTGATTAGCTGGCCGACATCGGGTAGCGGCTAAGCTTGACTCAATAGACTAATCTCAACTCCCCTGAGTGTGCCGGCCGTCGAATTTCCTGTGAGCCATTCGGTTTTGTCGTAAGAACAATCGCGTCCTAACACACTTCTTACGATATTGCTGAAGGTCTGACATTGATCAATGGCTATTGGAGACGGCGTTTGTCAATGACGGGGTGGCAGCTGGGTCTCTGCGGTCGACTCGTGGGAATTTGGCTAACCCCCGTGAGCTGAAGCGAACCATAAAGGCCACCAGCAATGCATCAGCATTGATTTCGCAGTCATCGAGCTAGTCAGGCATCAAAGGAACCATTGGGAGCTCGGGGGGGACCGGCCAATTTTCTCAACCACAAGTCCCGATCGAGGTTGAGGGAGCGCCTGTCGCTGTGTCGTCTTTGGGTTGCATGTCGCGGTATCAGTCAGCCACAACCATATCGTTTGCTGCCGTCTCAGTCAGCTTGTTCCTTTCCAATGATGATGCCAGTCGGCATTCGTAGCCCTATCAATGAATTGCCTACTTTTCTATGCGAGCAGCTGATGAATGGGTCCGCTTCATGGCGCTTACGTTCAACAGGCCGATTAAGTACACAACGCGGATGAGCAGAAAACTACACGCACACGCTTCACATTCTCTTCTAGACTCCCGTCACCTGCGACGGTGGTCGCTCTCCTCCGAATATCCTCCTCCAGGCTACCTGCAATGTCATTTCTTTGAGAGCCGCGTCTACAAAGTATTCCATCGGCCTCCATACGATTCAAGTTTGGCTGACTGTTTCCCACGCCTTTGGGTCTTCATCATCTTCCACTTCCTGCCTACTCTCCTGCACATCGCTGTTTGAGCCTCGGAGATTCGTACCGATACCAGGCACATACTTCCAATGTGACCTTGTGGTCGGCTGGACGCTGTACGCAACCAGATCCCCGGACAGAATCATCAATTTGATAACCAGATCGACTGGCAAATCGAGGTCCGTCGCCGTGCGCAGGAGCAGCTTGGCCGCCCCGGATCGGCTGACGGCGTATGTCGTCGTACACGCTATGCCGCCCGACTTGCGGACGACTCGTTCGCTGCCGAGCGGGAGACCGTAGTAGCTCTTTGGCCCGGGGGGGACGTGTTCGTCGTCGTATCTGATCATGAGGTCGTGGTTGAGCGGGGTCTCTGCGCAGTGGCCGAGGGAGAGAAAATCCCAGTGTCTGCTGTGCCACGGGTCTTGGGGGTCCGGGAAGACAGGTTGCGCCGAACCATCTGCTGCTGCTGCTGCTTGTTCAAGTCTTCCGACATTGGGAGTTTGAGTGGAGTTCAACTGATGAAGAAGTGCAGTAAAGTGCTCGTGGAAGTTGGTCATGATGGTGCGGACGTGGATATCCCAGGCGGCGCCACCCTCCGAGATCAAGGCGGACGGTAGTTCCTCGCGAAGCATATGAGACCAGATCTAAAATCCATACGTTAGCTAGAAGTAGTTCACGGAAAACTCTTGTGGAGGGGTGGTGGTGGGGGGTTCCTAACGTTGGCGTGAGCTCTCCAGCAACCCTTCTCAGCGCCTCTCAGTCTGTCCTTATCATGTGTCGGAGGCATACCCCTATCCTTGATCATGTTGGCCTCGACGGCTGGGAAGACCTCGAATTGGACACCGGACAGGAAGGCTTGGATTGTTGCTGCGTCTAGGAGGTCGAAGCGGGTCGAGATGTTGATGAAGAAGATTTTGGGGAATCCGAACGTGCTGTTGTTTGTGACTTTGGAGAAGGGTACTGGCATGGGCACGCTTTTGCTCGGCTCCCTGGCGGATTGGTCTCTAAGTCGAATAGGAGAGTAGTAGGTTCTGGACAGGAATATGATGAAGAAGAGAGTGAATATGAATGATAACTTGACGGCCAAATACTTTGTTGATAGCATTTTTGCTGTTGGTACTGAAGACAACCAGGAGACAATGGTTATGGTAATGCCATTCTAGGCTGCGAGGGCAAAGGTAGCGATAGAACAACGTTCAAAGTCGAAATAGATGCCTACTTATGGCATCGAGGCTCCTCCCCCCCCTCCCTCCCTTGTGCCCCCAATGTTACGAGATGTTTCCCCCAAAATCCATCAGCTGGCGAGAGTGCCAGAAGGGATGAAGCTAGATGGAAATAAGGTTGGCACCCCTTTCTGCCGTCGGCTACGACGAGACTCCATGATCCATAGGTTTATTCTCTAAGCAAGGAAGAAACAACGTATGAGGTCTTGTGGGTCCGACTTAGTCTCAAGAGACCTCGATGCCTTGGAACTTGATAAGTAATCAACGATTGATGTGGTGGTCGAATTAAGGTTTACCTTAAGGGCACCTGTATATTAAGTAGATGGTAAGGTGCATGTAGTTGCGCAATGAATGGATATGCAACAAGGAGTATCTAGCCTTTAAGAGAGGTGGAAGTGTGAACCACCTCGCTGGGAATCGTCGCATCTCTTCTAAGGCAAGTGGAGACGGCGCGGCAATACCGTTGTTGACCGTGGTTGAGGTGACAAACAACCTCTCGGTCTCAGTTAATCATTGGACGTATTCAACAAGCGCAGCTCGTCTTAGGCTGCCAGATACGGGTTACCGATCAACAGTTGATGTTCAAGACCAAGACTCTGTGCCAAGTATTCAACTTCACTCGTTGCGAGAAGCACGAGAGAAGATACCTGGCATCGAATTACTCTCGTTCTCCAGACAGAATAAGACGTGTGATTCACATCAACATCTAAACTACGGAGAATCATATATGATCGGCGTCCTATCCTCAATTCGTTGCTGAACACCCGGAATAGGTTCTTTGTATGGCCGAAAGTGGGCCCGCGGGCTCCGTGATCTGCACATCTGTGACCCCACGTCCTCTGCCAAAGCATCTCCTAGGTAGTCAGCACCGACCAGAAAGCTGTATGGTATAGTGGTATTTCCCAAGCGTTGGTGGCTGGTTGACGCAGGAAACGTAAGCAAAAATACAGGACCCTGGTTATCTGAAAGATCTTAACACATGGGTTGATCAATGTGGTTTCGTCTTTGCCGCCACGGCATGAAGATCCAACTCACACACGTAGTCAATGAGTTTATTAATCATTAGGTTATTAATCACGTAGGGCATCGTTTCCTTAGGTTCTGGCCGAGATCCGGCAGTACTAAGGTTTAATTTGGAAGACTTACTCAAGCTAGTCTTGCCTTGCATCTTCAATTGCCCCTGTTTCCATGAAGCTATTCTCAAGTAATAGGCTTCACTGAGATATAAGCCTAATAATACGAGCAGCTCGGCTTCCGAAAGGTGGTCTGTTCGATTTACCACATTGCCCGCTTACAAGAAGTAAGTGTGGAAGTCAATCATGACTTGACTACTCCGTCAAGTGGCCTGAAATAGGTGCTTAAACGTGACTAAGGTGTTTGACAGCGTGAGCGTTTTGATATCCGCTCATTTCGGTAAGTTCGTGTCTCGTTGAAGGCCGTGATGTTCATGATATTGAGTAGCAGAGACATCAACTTCACGTTCAGGTAACGCCTATCAGTTGGCTTGACATGAGAGTTCTTGATCATCCGCGCTCGAGAGGGTGTCAATGCAAGACCTTGAACTCAGTGTAATATGTGGGTGATGCCAAGTTTCAGCATCACACTATATGGACATGTAGCCTTTGCGCAAGGCTCTCGATATCTAGCTACCATATACAATCTCCTTGCAACTTCTTCATAACTGTGAGACTCCAATGTTCGTCCTGAACCAAGAGATGAAAGAAAAACGACGTTGGTGGATCAAGAGATGGGGGATAAGGGCGGGAGGGGCGGGATGGAGCGCCCCTGAGAGAGGAAGTCTTCCTTCTGACAATTGTCAAGAATTTTGCGTTGATTTTACACTCAGAGTGCACCGGGAGAGGTGACCTCGATCAAGCTATACCCTCCAACCTTCTGACACCCCTTGTAAACACCCGTCACAGTGACATACCCTTCATACGTTGGCAACTTTCCACCCGGCGAGTAAAGCTCTTGATCCTCTCTTACGCTAGACATGGAGACCACAATTCCATTAGCCAGGGAGAGGGTCCAATCAAGCGGGTAGGTGGCACCCGACGCCTCGGAAGTATACGTACGTCCAGACGTCTCCAAAGACGCGACCGAGACGACTCTCTGCACGCCTCCATCTCGAATCGTCGCAAGACATCCCTGTCCCCTTCATCCCACACCCAAATGGAGAGGGGAACGTCAGTTCCATTGACGTTCTCGAGATGTAGCTCAAACCAGGACCAATTTGGCGGCGCGCCGCCCCATTGCCTATCGTACCACGTCAAGGACCGCGCCGTATCCACGACGACCCTCGTCCCGTTGACATTCAGCCAGCCTCTGGTTTTGTCCGCGGGCATTCTCCATTCATAGACCATGGCATTCCCGGCTTTGAACACCCCGAGTCCGCCGTTTAGGAGCACGGGGGAAGTTGACTCGAAAGTCAGGTCGAATTCGGTTCCAGGGACAGTACTCCAGGTTCGCAACTCGGATAGACCGTCCGAGGGCCTCGTAGAGCCAAAGCCGTAGTCTGAGAACGACGCGTTGAATACACCAGTGTCGGAGTAAAAGGTTGACGAACTCGAGAGCGTCTCAAACTGAGTGTACTACGACGGGTTCTTGATGTCGAGAATGGACGCCCTGTACAGGGAGAGGTCGGCGAGAACGTGGGAAAGAATCAAGTAGCCATGGTCATTGGATCCGAGGATAAAAGGAGACGACCAAAAAGAGGGGCTTTTGGTCCCTTCTTTGGTTGTCTGGGTTGCTGCTATGTCGAAGGGGTAAGGCAATCGGTACTGGGAGATGGTTAGTTGAATTTTGTACACCGACTGTGCTGGTGAATCTCACCGTTTCACTAGAAAGGATACTGCCCCCCTCCCCGAAAAGCAAAGCCTTTTATATAGGCAGAGCCTTCCAGTCCAGCCTAGAGAACAACGTCGGCCATTACTGATGAATCACCTTCAGGTCGATTGTTTGAGTGATTTCTAAAATCCGGCTCATCACGCGACTTCGTTCTGGTATCAAAAACACCGGACGGGACTGCACGGCATTCGCGATGGGTGGTCGGCAAATGCTACCCAAAGAGTACTTCAACTCCCGAATACGTTCGAGATATCTCGAACACGACCAATCCGAGCAGTTCGTAGTGTACGAAGTACACGTATTCTGCCAGCCAACGTAACATACGGAAATCCTTACAAAACTATCCGTAAAGTAGAATTTTCAATGCTATGCCTCCCTTTTTGAACCCTGTAACTAGGTACTTCACACAGTGAGGTGATTTGGCGGTTCCGCCCTCCTCAGCCTACCCCGTCCCCAGCCTCCAGTAATTGATCGGGCTCTAACCAGGAAATTACTAAAGAGGCGAAATTCGCTTTTGAAGAAGCGAATCATAGAGTATCGTTTTGTTTCGCCCCGACTGCACAAAATACCGTGGTGGGTTGAAGACATGGCTATACGTACCTGTCCTTTGAGAGTACCTCGACATCAAATGAGATAACTCTACCGCCATGTGAGGGGCTTCTTTTCTTCATGATGCAAGCACTGGGCCATATGGTCGAGGGTTTCCGGGCTGTAGAGGCCCCGGTTAGACTGTGAAGTCTCCGGTTCTGTTTCGGATCCAGTCTCGACCCTCGATCGTTCCATTCATTATTTTGTCCATTCTTCTACTTTTGTTTTGTTCAATATGTTCATTCTTCCGTCTGGTCCTTGCTTCCGGAGGCAAGAAAATAGGAATGATAGACGTCGCATACGACCCTTCTTACACCGCCTTTGAGCCACATCATGAGCTTGCTAAGGTTTGCAAGACTGCGGGATCAGACGGGATATGAAGAATTGGCAAACAATTCACATGCGCGGGGCTTTGGGTACATATACCGAATGAATGGTCCATCTTGCTTTGTACTCCCTTAATGCATCGAGCTTCTTCGCGCCACACGGCGCTCCGAACGGGTGGGGCCGGAATTTCCACAGCTCCGGAGGTTTGGACAGGTAACACCGAGCCTGCCCTCCGAGTTTCCACCATCCGCGGCCCCCACACTGTCGGCTCTTGTTAATCAGATGGAACATGGCCCTCCCGTCACTCTCCAAGCTCTCCAGCGCACTCCAAGAGAGTTCGCTCCAAGCAGTCATTCTTGGCCTGAAATGGGGGAGCGCAGGCGGTAGGGCAGCTTCGTCGAGTCATCCCTGTGTGCCACTTGGAGTAAACACACATTCCCTTTCGTAGACGGCATGAATTGGAGCTTAAGACTTTTATTTGAGGGAGGATGACATGCACGGAAATTCATCATCACGTTGCTCACAGTCTGTTTCTTTTCCAATACGTGGCATGAAACGTGGATGTATGCATTCGAGTCTTCGGTCGTTACCTTGCGAAGCAAGTCGTGGGTTAAAGCTATCACAATTCTTCCTTATTTCCCTATAACACTCGCGATGCTAGCCTGAGCCTTGAGTAGCGATATAAAAGCGTACATACGAGCGACTTATTGCTGTGTATGTCCGGAGATACGATCGCGTCACTCAGCACCCCAAAGGCCGGGCCAATACTTGAAAATGGTTCCCGCGAATTTACAATCTGGAGCTGGAGAGACACTGTCCAACAGATTATTTCACCTCAACCCCGACAATCCCAATGTCTTACCGAAAGACGGAAAAGACGGATATACCACCGGGTTCCCAAATATGGCAACTTCAACAGTTGGAGATGGGTCAACCGTTTGAGGGGTAACCACCCTGCCTCCAAAATGCACCCTGACAGATCGGCCGCCCACAACCCTCATCTGATTGGCGTGCGCATCAGATCTCGCATCCACGCTCAGGCAAACAGAGGTTAAACATAATATCTTGGGGACGAGATGACCATGAGATAAAACAAGCCCGCCCGGCTTTCATGCCGGGCTCAGAAAAGAAACGTGGGGAGAGAGAGAGAGAGAGAGAGAGAGAGAGAGAGAGAGAGAGGCATTGTCTTGGGTTTGTGTGCGTCTGGGCGAATTGGAGTCGCGCGTGGTCGCTCGGAACTGCAGCTCACCCGCATGCGATGCTGCGACACACGCGTCATAAACTCCAACTAACCTCCTCACGCCCTACTGGGTACTCGAGCCCACGCTCGAGATCGGCGAGAATGCCGCTTCCCATGTATCCATAGCATCAACTGCCTTCGGTAGTCCATTTACCGAGCTTGCTACCGCAAGTTTCCCCTCATCTCTCCCCCATGTAATTGAATTAGTTCCCGTGTTTCCCCCTCTTCCCCACGGGGTAACGGAAATCCTACTAAGAAGTAGCTTAATACCAGAGAGGTTCTGCTTCCTTGTGCTACCTCGTCTTATTCCCTTGTGGGTTTAAGCTTCTCAAGGTCATCCCAACCTTCACTTATCGTCTTCTCTGTGACATAGCGACGACGACCCCCGGAAAACATTGACCAAGACTACAAGCTCTCGCCGGCACCATGGAGACCAACAAGCCCAGTATAGAGCAGGATGAGAATACTGTAAAGGGCGAGACCGAGAGCGTCATAAAGCCCACGGCATCGAACCCGACTCCGCTGGAATGGGCTCAACACTTCACAAGCCAGGATGAGGCCTGGCACAAGGCCATGGACAAGACTCTCCTTCGGCGTGTAGACCGGCGCCTCATGCCGACCCTCGTAGTCATGGTAAGTCTCAAAACTCGAATACAAGAGAAGATTCCATCAAAAGCTTCAAAAATCCTGACATGAAGTAAAACACCACCAGTACCTCCTCAACTTCCTCGACCGCTCCAACCTAGCCCAAGCCCGCCAGGGCACCCTCGAGCGGGATCTAGGCATGACGGGAACCGACTTCAACCTCGCCACCTCAATCTTCTTTGTCGGCTACCTCCTGATGCAGCTCCCCTCCAACCTCTTGCTGACCAAAGTAAAACCCTCCTTCTACCTCGCCGCCTCCTGCTGCCTCTGGGGCGTCGTCTCGACCTGCAACGCCGCCGCCGACTCCTTTACGCACCTCATTGTCATTCGCTTCTTCCTTGGCTTCGTCGAAGCCCCCTTTTTCCCGGGCGCCGTATTCCTCATGTCCTCGTGGTACACCCGCGCCGAGCTCACCCGCCGCATCGCCTACCTCTACGCTGGCAACGCTCTCGCCAACATGTTTGGCGGGCTCCTAGGCGCGGGCATCCTCGGCGGTTTGGAGGGGGCACAGGGGATCGCGGGGTGGAGGTGGTTATTCATCATTGTGAGTGTTTTCTCAATGCCCCCCCTTCCCTGCGTGAAAGAACTTAGATCCAAAGAAAGACAATGACTGACACAAATTTGCGACAACAGGAAGGCGTAGCAGCCATCGCATTCTCCCTCGTCGCAATGTGGATCCTTCCAGACTACCCCCACACGACCAAATGGCTCTCGGAAGAGGAGCGCGCCTACGCCGCCTGGCGCCTCATCGAGGACATCCAGGAGGCCGACACATACGGCGAGCAGAGCGTCCTCGACGGCGTCAAGATGGCCGTGCGGGACTACCGCCTCTACATCTTCGTCCTGATGCAGCACGTCTCCCTCATCTCGCAGACCTTTCAGTACTTTTTCCCAACCATTGTCGGGACGTTGGGGTACGGCAAGATTACGACGCTTTGGTTGACTGCTCCCGCGTGGGTATGTTGAATTTCTTTCCAGATGGGACTTCCATCCCAGAATGGATCACAGAATGGGGGTGAGGAGACAATATCAAGCTCATACTTTCTCTTAACAGGCCGCGACGTTCCTCATCTCACTGTGCGTCACCTGGTCCTCCGCAAAGACCAAAGACCGCTCCCTTCACATCGTATGCCTCACGCTCGTCTCCGCCGTCGGGAACGCCATCGCCACCGGCTCGAGCAACCTCGGCGCGCGGTACTTTGCCATGTTCCTCATGCCAATGGGCGCCATCTCCGCATGTAAGCTACCATGACGCTTAAAGCCGCTCACTCGGTAATAAATGTGAACGACTGACACAGTCTAAACCCCACAGATCAAATCATCGTCTCCTGGGTAGCAAACTCCTTCCCCCGACCTCTCGTCAAACGATCAGCCTGCATCGCTATCGCCAATATGATTGGCAACACGGCCACAATCTACGGATCCTATAGTGAGTCTCTCTCATTCTACCTATGAAGCGGCAGCCCGAGAACGACTGGACTGACTGACCACAACCAAAAAGTGTACCCGAGCAGCACAGGACCCCAGTACGTCCCAGGCGGCAGCGCCAACACGGCAATTTGCGTCCTCGTCGCCGCCCTCGCCCTCGTCCTTCGCTACCTGCACAAGTGGGAGAACAAGAAGCTCGAAAAGGCGGAGCAGGACGCCGCCGTGCTGGCCGAGGGAGGCGGCGAGAAGGCGGCGCCCGTCGATCTGAAGCAGGAGAAGAGGGCTGCTGGGTTCAGATACATCTACTAAAAGGGGGAAGAAGACGAGGTCTGTTTTTGAGTTCTGATTAATGTGTATCAGACGTAATCTGAGAAAAACAAAAAAGTTGTAGGGCTTTGTGTTTTTCGTTGGCGCTGAGTTTGGGAAAAATGGTCCCCAGCTTTTTTGTTGCCACAGGTTGGGAAAGGGTGTTGCCTCCTTTGGAGGACCTTGATAAGTCTGATGATACCTGCTCGGTTCGAAATCGAAGATTGGTAATGTCGGAGACCGGAGACCCGTGGAAGGTTGATTTTGAACTTCTCCTGCTCCTTCGAATGCCATTTGTAAACCCTTTCGTAAGAAGTGAACACCGGAATTACGTCTCTTGACATCGCAGCTCTGGTGCCAGGTCGATTTCGTCAAGTAGTCTCCACTATACGGAATTCAGCCTATTGAGACTTTCTAGTACATGTAGATAGGAATCATGCGTGCAATAATATGAAAGTTTTGACTGATGGAATATTGTCTACTTAATTAATGATGAGCATTTATTTGCATTGCAGAAGTCTCGATAGCGACGTCCCATTGAAGGGCCGCTTTTGATAGAGTCAATGTCATCGTAGGGGAGCAACTTAGCGGTAAAATGACTTGGATTTTATGAATTGACAAAATCTCTCGATGCTAGTTACACATCATTCATATATTGAATGTTGAATGTGGCGAATATCTCCTGGAATGAATCAAAAAACACTCACCGTCTTGTCTGATTCCCGACAGGGAATGCTTCAACCCGCTCAAAGTGCTTCCTTATACACAACCCCGATTTCCCATACAAACGTCGCCCGCGTGCTTTCTTCTAGAGTCTCAGATGGGCACTGCGTCCAATGAAGCTAACGATAGTACCCAAAGACTGTCATGGTACCTTATTTCCGAGAAAATCCAAATCTCTCCAATACAGTTTCTTGTTCTCTCGGAACAGGGTGGTCTCCACCACCCCCTCACCCATGGCTCCAACTCTGCGTATCTGATGAACACGGTCAGACTTGCGTGTGCCACTCCAGTCACCTATCGTGTCGATCTGTAGTAACTCCAAGCGGCAGCCTTGTCCACAAATTGTATCCCATACCGACTTGGCAACTTCTGCAGGTGTCAGCCCCGCCACGTCTGCCATTATCGGGTCTTCGACTATTCTCTGATATGCACGAGCTCTTCTTCTACACCCGCCATCCCCAGCCCGCACTTCAAGTGTCTCGTGTCGAAGTGTTAGGTAGAGATTTCGGAGGCTCTGCATCCGCCCGAGAGACTCACACGCCCCTGTCATCTCTGGTGAGCTCGTCTGGAACGTAGGCACAGTGAGCGTGAGTGTTAGATCCTGCACCCTGATGCATGTCTTAGACAGCACGCATAAGTCCTGTAATGTGACTCTGGGGGGATCCTGGCTGGAATGAGAGCCGTATGAAGGACGAATGCTTAGTTTGCGCAGCAATCCTCCGAATTTAGACAGCGCAAACTGTATGGCTAGTGAAGGTATCCGGCCCTCGAGTGAGAGGGATGTTAAGGTTGGCATGATGGCCAGAAACTCAACAGCCACATTTCCAGGTGCTCTTCCGTCCTCCCATGCAGTTCCGGGGCCCGCAAGAACTTCATTATAGTTCAACTCCAGACTTTCGAGTTGATGGAATCTGGCATGCATAGTAAGCCATGGTAACTCTCCAGGAGTTGCGGTCAATCTCAAATGACGCAGTGTCGCGAAGTCCGTCGCCTTGGACCATGCCCTAAGCCTATCCGGGTTGGTTCTCTGTAGTGTCAGAGACCGCAGTGTGCCCAGTTCTGGTGACTTTGAAATCTTCAACAGATCCTTCCCAGGTATGAGACTGTGATTGGCTGTTTGCGCGATCAACGCTTGCAGCTCACTCTCGAAATCCGCGCCGAATTTTCGCCTATGCCTGCCTCCAAAAACTGGTTCCAGCTCTACTGTCTTGAGGCTCGGTGATAGGCCTCCAATGAGACGCAGAATGGCGGATTCGTTTGTGTGTTCAGTGGACACCTGGAAATACTCTTTGATCGAGATGCCATGTAGTTGGGGCGCAAGAAGGAGGGCAACGTCATGGACATCGATGGCAGCGCCTTCGCTACAATGGAAATCGAAACCTCTGAGTTCTAGCCGACAAGTTGGGTGATGCGTGCGAATGGTTTCGAGGAGAAGAGGCGAAAAGCTGCTTTCATGTTCAATGACCATATTGGTCAGTCCGGGCAGGGCTTCGAGCAGTCTAATCATGGGGGTCCACGCTTCGGGATCGACAAAGGCATCGCGGAGGCGTCGGTTCTCGGGTGACTTGTGCTTGCTGTAGTACGCCCATTTATGTGTCATCGGCACTACCATCTGTCGGTCAGGCGAGTAGAGATCGCTGTGAGGGAGCGTCTTGTCATGGAAGGTCATCCTAACGCGCCTGACATGCCTGGCGGAGTTTGTGCGTCCCAGGACTGCGAGCCAGGAATCAACATCGCGCTGTAGCTTTCGAGGATGTTTGACGAGGATGTGGATGTCGCGGAACAAGAAGCCAGCGGCGGCGCCATGGAATGCTTTGTTGGTGAGGGAAAAGGAGGACAAATCCGGTCCAGCAATGCCGTCGAGATGCCCCGCGATGCTGATGAGGGTCTCCGCCGGAAGGATGTCCAATATTCTGGCGGTCATTGTCGCTTCAGTCGCTCGGCTGGTATTGCAGTCGCAGAAGAAGCAGTCGACGAGGATGAAGAAGGATAATCAGAGACATCGTGGGTGGGCTTGCGTCGACAGGAGACAGAGACGTGTTGGACGAGGAAAAAGCACCTCGGGCGAGGTTGGCTCACTTGCATCGTTTGCTAGAGAAGAGTGGGTTTGGAGTCCTGATAGGGAAAAGGGAAGAATTGGTTGGTGCAAGAACGCACACAAAGTCACCAACCAACGACAATCAGGAAGTCGGAAGTCGTGGGCCGACTTCCAACCGACGTGGGAACGGAAAAGACGCCGGGCTGGGAAGGTGTTGGCCGAGACAGTCAGGTCAAAGTAGGCGAGTTCTGCTCTTCCAGCGGCCAACTGCAGCTTGGCTGCTCGAGTACTACTACTAATAATAATGGAAGTGATTACCTCAGAAATAGACAAACCTTGGGGAGTTTTCCAACGGCCACACACGTAATGCCCATGCCCATGGCGGCTTCAAATAAGAGCTATTTGACCCTAAGTCCGCGAAGCCAAGCAGAGCCTCAATTGAGTTGGTGACGAATGGGGGGAAACATTTGTTTGTCAGAAGGGGGTAACTAACACTTCAGCGTTGGTTCACCGGTCTGAGACACATCTCGATTAATAATGTCTCCCGTCTGCTTAAGCGAAGCGGCACAGCTGTCTTGCGGCTTGCCTGAGTCACTCACAACTCCCCGTCGGCATTGCCCATCGTAAATCCGGCGCCTCTCCATCCCCATGCGATAACGTAGTGGTCAGCCAACAGCTTCCACTCCTCCACCTCGTCGAGGCCCTCTAAACGATCCACTCTCTCCTTTTCAGCACTTGGCACCCAGCTTTCCCAAATCCGTTCCACGGTCAGCGCTTTGGCGTGCTCGAAGCCTGCATCGCGGAGACGCTGCGTCTGATCCTGCGGCAGCTTGTAATTCTCCAAAGTAGGCATGCGTATTCTTCTTGCCGCAAGGTTGGAAGTCATCATCTTGCCGAAAGGGTCGTCAGGCCTGATTGGCTCGTAAACCACAATGGCAAGATGAGGAATCTCTTTCTCAAACAAAGATACGACTTCCTTCGTTGTAGATGTCTCTAGGTAACAGAGGCAACATTCCGAGATTATCAGAGTAGGGATATCTGTTCTGATGCCCGTAAGAGGTGTTGCGCCGTCCTGCACCATTTCTCGGAGATCCCGTGCATGACAATGGTACTTGTCTGACGAGGATGGCTGACAGCTCCATGACCCGTCTTCCTCAACCGAGGGGACTCCAAGGATGTTTCGCAATGGAGGGGCTGCCTGTACTATACGTGCTTTCTTGCGAACTGTGATTGAGAAGTCTATCTCATGGTAGATCAGCTGAGGCCTGTTTGCCCGAGGAAAGAGACGAAACGGGCGTGTGTCGGTGCCGGCGCCTAATGAGATGATTTGTCTCTCATTTGAACCAGGTTTCGCATTGTCAGTCTCGACCAAGAAGCTGTCAATGAGGTTGTCGAGAGCAACGGTCCTTGCGTAAGTGCCTGAAATAGAGGTCAGCCTCCATGTTTGGCGGAAGCAGACCAGAGACACGGACCTCGATTAATGATTGGGAGTCTCCTCGGAGGAGGGCCACTGGTGTTATCGACAAAGAAGTGTGCGTAGGGGTCGGCGAGATATCCCACGTTGACGGCACTCAAACGTGAGCCAGCAGCGTCATCGTCGGTTCCCTGAATCGTCTGATCATGAGTCGGGCCCGAGGACGATGGGCCACCGCCAGGACCTCTTCCGCGCCCGCGCCCGAACCGGCCACCTCTCGCTCCGCGAAGGGAAAGTAGGTTTGGTATTGGATTCCCGGACATGAGAAATGTTGTTGCGCGGGCGGGCGTGAGGTTGAAGATGTTCCGGGAGCAGCGTTGGTGAGTAGGTAGGTACGGGTGACGTAGGAGAGAAACTGCTAGGTGGGGCATCGTAGTGCAACGCTGAGTGTCCATCAGTGGAATAGGGTGTGGCCCGTGCCTAGACGCCTCCAACGGTCCGGAGCCGGCTCCGTCGTCCACTCAGGAACCAGCGCCAGGAACTCCTGCAACATCGTTCTCTTCCCTCTATTGCTGGTATTCGAACGATATCTAGGTGCCTCCGAGCTATGTCATATACTGAAGCCTCGATTCTGGTGAGTTGGGTTTAGTTGACATCCCTGGCCATGAAGTTTACCTACGTTTTTGGTCCCGATTTCCCCTAGTAGAATAGTCGGAGCCGCTACTCCCTCACACCTTTGAATAAACTCTGGGAAGTACCTTGGTTCTCGTATGGTAGGTTAGAAGTTGGAACTTCGATACCATCAAAGGGAAAAGAGATGGTTATTATAGGAGCGCTGCCTGCGACGACTAAGGAGTATAAACGATGTAAAATATGCGGCTGACGCTATAAGAGCTTAGACCTCTGGGATTCACAATCGCCTGGTCCGGAATTAATCTTTTCTCATCTGTGAGTTCACACGGATAGTACTAAAAATGTCCTCGGATCACTGTAGTGAGTTATACAGCTCAAACTGATGTAGTCATGTCGCTATTGTGTTTCCTTTGCAGAAGGCAATTCTAGTATCGCGGCCTAATGCCCCTCAGAATGTCTTGTCACTAAGCCAAAGAGGTCGGTGGCAGCTCAGTCCGTACTTAGTCCATCTTCCCATTGACCAAGGCCACCAAACAATTGCTCATCTGGGTAACATGGTCAAGGGGAATGTGTTGAGACTCAAGGGTATGCACAAGACTGACTACTGGCAGGCGAAGACTGTGAAGTCTGACCTTAAATGCTGAACGCTAATACATTACCAGTCATTGGTACATACAATTTGTCTACAATATCTAGACAATGGCAGTGACAACCATATCTACGGGCATGATAATGCTGACATACATGATCTGTTGGTACAATTCGAGGAAGTCCTGCACGTAGACTCGCAGACCAGAAGTTCAAAGCTCGGCTCTGGATGATTGTACTCGAATTACAATGTAGTCTTCGTGGAGCATGGAGACCAAAAAGTCCAACAAACACCGAGCGTGCGTGGCTCAACGTCTGATCAATTGGCTGTAGAAGTACCTAATGAATAAAGACACTGCCAACGAGGGCCAGCGTCACCATCAGAGGACCCCCAAAGCAAATGTCCGAATCCTTTCGGATATGTCGGGGTCGAGCGCCTCATGATCGAATAAGCTTCAGGAACATGCGCTGCTCCTTTTTACGGCCTTGGAAACGATTTGGGGGATCATCCGATATCCCGGATGGCATAGAGACTTTTTCGAAACCGATGAACAAATCTGATGTTGGTTATGCATAGACAGACACCGGGGGCCGTAAAAGTTGGCGCTACACAAAGGAAAAGGCAGATGCGAAGTTTCATGCACCTCCTCTCCCAAAGACCAAATGGCGAACAGAGCCGTCACGAAATAAGGCGATGCAAAGCGTGGTATATTTCCAAAGTCGACAGCCTCATTAAAAAGTCGACTCTGGCCGGGAACCTACACATACCTGATCTCAGCGAATGGATTGGAAGAAGCAACCTAAGTGTAAAAGTGGGAGCCAGCGTGAAGTTGTAGACATCGCAGGTAAGCAAGCATGCATGCCAGCGGCACGGAAATCAAGTAGCGCAGCAGCCCAACAGCCCTGCCTAGCGGCACTGCTCAAAGCCAAGGTGGATATTTCATGAGTTGATAGCCATTCAATCAGCCTTGGCTTCAATTCGGAATCCCTTTCGTAGGGTCTTCGCTCTTCGTCACTCGTCGCTTGTTCCTCGCTTGTCCGAGAGTAAGAAGTCGTATGGCGCGGCGCATCGCCATGGCTCCGTTCCACGTTACCGCCCATCCCGTTGGCTACTGGGGAGGCGATATGTTCAACATGGAAGGATCTAGTGGGTCGAAGGGGGGGGGGGGGGCAGCAACAGAGAGTGGCTGTGCCTGCCTGCTGCCTGGCGAAAAGCTGCCGCTAAGGTAAGACCTATCCTTCGTGCCTTCCCATGCCTCCCCAGATCCCGGCATAGGTACGGACAGCAGTAGCGTCCTCTGCAAGGTACTTTCTTCCTTGCTGCGTCTCACGCGTCACGTCAAAGTACTCCGTAGATTGACCCCCCCCGACGCAGGAGCTGCGCAGTGACCAGTGACATGTTCAAGTGAATCGCCGCCTAGAGTTCGTTTCCCTTTTGACGTCTGACACCCCTCCATTCCCTAACGATTCTTTCCTTACCATTCATTTAAAAGAACCTCCAAACCGCAACAATCTCATATTCTCCTCAACATCATCATCGTAAATTTGATCTTTGGGAACCAAATAAACCGCAAACATGTACACGCGGCTGCAGCACTTCGCCGACGCCGTCTATAAGAGGGCCGTCGAAGAGTCTCCTCGCGAACCCGAGCTTCCCGGCTGGACCTTTTGGGTCTTCCTCGCCGACTTCATCGTCTTCCTTCCCGTCATCCTCTGGGTAAGCCTTGTCTCCTCCCCTTCGAGCCACCTTCAATCAGGCTCTTCTTCATGCGTATCATGAACTCTTTCCCACTAACACGCGCCCCTTCTAGACGACCTACACTCTCCACCAGGTCTACCCCATCTTCGCCATCGTCGAGGACGAGAACCCGCCCGCCTACGACCCCGTCAACCTCGCCGAAGATGAAGGCGCCATCCCCTCCGCCGGCCCCGAGGTTCGCCCCGACGGCCCCATCCCCCAGAACAAGATGACCGGAGGCCGACCCACCACCGTCACCTCCTCCATCCGCTCCATCAACCGCCTGCTGACCACCTACGGCGGCTGGCGCGCAAACTTCCGCGGCATCGGCGTCTACCTCGTCCAGGCCCTCGCCACAAACTTCCTCTATGGCATCTTTTCCTCCTTCCTCCCCAACATCCTCGCCTCCCTCGCGACCCTCCTCTCGGCCCTCGCCCTCGTCCAGCTCTCCACCGTCTGGGTCCACATCGTCATCACCCCTCCGAGCCCCGAGCACTTCTGGAAGCGCCTCCCGCCCTTCAAGCGCACCTTTGACGCCACCGCGAAGCCTGTCGCCGCCTACTGGCTCACCCAGCAGGTCGCCATCTGGGTCCCCATCGCCGTCGGCTGGGCCCTCGGCCTCGACCTCCCCAACTTCGAGTTCGGCAAGCCCAATTCGGTCGTCTCCCAACCCCAGAGCTCCGACGCCTGGAAGAGCATCGTCATCACCCTCATCAGCATCGCCTTCCAGATCATCATCGTCATCCCCGCCCACGTCGTCCTCGTCCGCGTCCAGGCCTCCCTCATCCCCGAGGAGGCCAATACCATCATCCCCTTTGACCGCTCCTTCGAGGGCAAGGTCGAGCCCCGCGTCGTCGGAGGCAAGGGCTATGCTACCATGGACGACGCCTGGAGCGGGTTCTCCCGCAACGCCTGGAAGCGCCTGGTCATTCTCTACGTCAAGATCTTTGCCGTCTCCTTTGCCACTTTCGCGCTCATGGCTGCCGTTGTCATTCCCGAGATCATTGTCTTCAGCAAGCTCGCCAAATAAATATTTGGTTCGCATCTGACATCTACAAACGCCACGTCTCAACTCTCAGGCTATTGCAATTACAATCGGCTATCCCCTAACAGCTCGCAAAGATCCGTTAATGGGAGGAAAGCAGATAAGACTTCTAGGCCGTACTTGAAGTAGCATTACCATGCTCCAAACCGTCTCTAGCTGGATAGTAGTATCTGCTTCATGTCTTATTATCATTACTCCATACCCCATATTAAACAAAGAATGAAAGAATTGAATATTGGAATCACTTAAATCACCATGGCCATCACCAGTATCATAGGAACGTGAACAGCAAAGTCTTTCTTTCTAGTGTCATTAAACCGTCAAGTGTCTTGGGTTTCATAAGTAGTGAGGTCCTTTCGTGAACAATACCAACTCCCCAGACAATGCAGTAGCGGCAGCAAAAAGAGGCAAAGAGTTGCCTCGTCAGCTAAGCCGTTCTTCTCATCCATCCTGTGTGTTTGTGGCCGTCTTGTGTTTGTCGTCCACCCACCCGCACACGCATGATATGGATCTCTTCATTCCCTTCAACCCTTCTCTCCTCCACACCATCCTCTACACAATTCACTGCCACCCAAATCTTTCCTTTGACCAGGACAAAAAAACAAGACAAAAGACCGCCCAGAAACGTGCTTGACAAGCCAGAATCCAAGAGCAATGCAGAACCCTGCCCAAACAAAAGAAAAGGAGGAAGAAGGAAGAATTCAACATTAAAGGAGTGGGAAAAACCTCTCCTTTGCCTAATTTGTGCTCGAGCTTGCATGTGGATCTTTGCCAGGTTCATCATTATCTTCTTCTCATCCAGTATACTGACCAAGAAAAAAGGTAAAAGAAAGGCCTCTGTAAAGAGCAAGAGAGTAGTGCCGCTGCCAGGGTTAACACAGCAGGGGGTATAGCGGTCTAGTCCGCACCAAGCTGTGATCTAACTTGTACTTTGTCGTGTGTCTATCCATAGGATGAGGGCGTATCTCCCTGGACGGTATCCCGACATAAGGGGCCCCAGAGGATCAAGGGTAAAACAAGGCACGTGGCGCGCAACTTAGGACTTCTGGGAGAAGAACCAGCTGCTTCTCTTGCCAGCACTGCCCTCGTTCTGCTGAATGCTGTTGATAACGGGGATGGAGGGTCCCTGGTTATCAGCACCGCCACCGCGGAGAGGCTTGGCGATGCGGCTGCCAGCGCCAGAGAAGCTGAAGCCACCCAGTGAGGGAGAGTTCAGGCCGCGAGTGCTGCCAGCCTTGGCAGCCTCCAATCTCTCCTTGACAGCAGCAAGTTGAACCTCAAACCTGCAGAGCACAAATCGTTAGCATTGGCACGGCACAAAACAGAGGAGAACAATGGGATTGAGAGATTGAGGGGCAGGCAGAAACATGGGTCGCGAGGGGGGTCGTACTTGTGGTTCGCAGAAGCCATCTTCTCCTGGCTATCCTGTAGCAGGCTCTCCAGGCTCTGAATGCGCTCGTTACGAGCAATGAGTTTACGCTCAGCAATGGCCACCTCCTTCTTGAGCGCCGAGTTCTGCTCGACGAGCTGGCGCTGAACCTGAGTAAGCTGCTCAAGGTTCCTCTCCAGGAAGGCCATCTTCTTCTGTTGGGCCCTGTTGTTGGATGACCGAAGCACATTGTTATATTGCTCTCTAGTCTCGTCAAGCGAGATTTCGAGCTCAACCACACGCTCGCAACGGTTCTGAAGATCGCGCATGAGGCTCTTCTTCATGATATCGAACTCGGCAATCTGCTGCTGAATCGACTTGCCGTTCGCCATGGGTGCGGCGGTACCAGCCTTGACTCTCTGTTGGAGATCCTCGATAAGGGTCTTCATCTTTGAGTTCTCAGCGGCCTTCTGGGCAATCTCAGCCTTCAGCTCATCCACAAGCTCCATGGATGTGGTCTGCTTGTTAGAGTAGGCACTCTCCAGGCGAGCCTTAATCTCCTCGACATCGTTCTCTCCGAGGTTGCGAGTCAGAAGCTCCTCATACTCCTGCTGGAGAGCCGAGAGGCGGTCTTCGAGCTCGGCTCTACGGCGGGCATCGGCTTCGCTCGAGGAGGCGCTGTAGACGGATAGCTCGGCTTGTCTTACGATTCCTTGGATCTCGACGAAGCGCGACTTGAGAGCCTGAAGCTCATCAGGGTTAACAACCTCACCAGTGGAGCTGACTTCGTGAAGGGCCTCCAGTTGGGAGATAGCCTCTGAGATGGCCTTCTCGTTGTCGCTGAACACATCGGCGCCAAGGTCGAAGCCAGCCATCATCTGGGCCATCTTCTCAGCCTTCTTCTTTTCCTTCTCATCGAGCACGGCGCTTGTTTCCTTGGCGCTCATCTTCACGTCGAGAAGCTGCTGCTTGACCTCGTCCAGCTCCGCAGTCAACTCGGCATTTTGCTCCTTGAGCGCATCCATGGTGATCTGCGCCTCCTTGCCCTCAAAGGTAAGTCGCTCAATTTGCATCTTGACCTCGTTCACCTCCCCGTTCAGCTTCTCATTTTCCTTCCCAGTCTTTGCATCGTGTTCCTTGAGGTAGGCAAGCTCCTCCTTGGTCTCCCGAAGAGACTTTTCTGCCGCGTTGTACTGAGACTCCTTCTCGGCAATTTGATCCTGTAGCTCGTTCTCTCGGCGCAGGAACTCGTCGCGTTCATCTTTGTCAAGGGGTAAGCTTGGTGTTCCTGATCGCTCTGAAATGGCTGGGGTCTCGGATCTGCTATCGGGCAACAGGCGGGATGGTGTTGAAGGGCGAGGCGCCTTTGCTTCGGCCTTGGTCCCGGCTACACCATCTGCAGATAAGGGGGCCACCCATCTGTCCTTGGGAACGGCCTCTCCGGCACGCCAGAGCTGAACTTCGCCTTCCAAATTTGAGAGATAGGTTTCGAAGGTCGAGATTTGACCTCTGGCCTTGCCGAGCAAGGCTTTAAGTTCGGAGGGACTTAGCTCGGCGTTGATCTTGGCCTTGTTCTTGATCGCCTTTGCACGAGTACCGAATCGGAGGGTGCCGAGGGTTTCAGCGTCGTTGTAACTACTGGGAGAGCAATTAATGATGAGGGTTGTCCGACTGTTACCTCCCAGAGATTCTTGAAGGATACGGGTCAACTTGGAATCACGATAGGGGACGTGGGAGGATCTGCCGTCGGTCAAGGCGTTGATGACCATCCCGAGAGCACTCAAACTCTTGTTGATCTTCTTTGCTTCCTCCAGCGTCTGACCACTGGCGCCTGTCTTTCCAACCTTTTCGCTACCGGCCAAATCGACCAGGAAAAGCTGGCCACTCTTTGCCGATCCGGTCTCGACATTCTTTTGGGTAATGGTGACGACGAAGATGGAATGCGAACGGGAAGATTCCTGGTTCATGTTGGTTGCAGCAACAGCTCGGGCGTTTCCGCCTCTTCTCATAACCTCGTACACCTCCTGAACGCTGGAGACGTAGACCTCGAGAAGACCCTTGACGTAGACACCGCGATTCTTTTCTTCATGAACGGGAAGGTTGTCGTTTTGGGGCGCAAGCAAATCGCGAATCCTCTCCATGTAGATTTCCATATAACTGACTCGAACCGTGTACTCGATAGTGCTGGGACTAGACATGATACTGGCGAAGATCTGTTCGATGATACGGGGGATAATGCCTCGGCCTTCCTCGTCGTCGATGCTGGAACCCATCATGGTATAGGATTTTCCGGCTCCCGTCTGGCCGTAGGCGAAGACGGTTCCATTGTAACCGTTGAGGATATCGTCGACAGTCGATCGGATGGAAAAGTCGAAAATATCGGACTGCTTACATTCCATGTCGAAGACACGGTCGAAGGTGAAGGAGCCCTGGGCCTCCTTGGACTAGAAGCATATGAGTCAGCTAGGTGCCCGCATGCGCAACATCAAGCACCAAGTAGGGGAAGCACTTACGTCGAGAGTACATGTTTCCTCGCTGCTGAAGGAGACGATGGGCTGGCCGCCCGACGCCAGTTCCACTTTGTTCTGTGGACGGAATCGGGCCACGACCTTGATACTGTTGTTTGCGCCAGACATGGTGACGGTATTTCAGACCAAGCGAGGTCGAAGCCAATGTCGTGGGGTTGCGATCGGGACAAGATGCTGCAGGATAGGGGGGTGTGGTTGCGAGGCACTCGGCGGCCGCAGCTCGGCAACGGGGGGGTTTGTGTTGAAAGGACACACACAAACAAGGCGGGTGGGATGAAATGACGGTGTGCGGATGTGGAAAAGCTGCTAGAATGACATATCGCAGGTGTTGCAGGGCGATGATGCAAGGAGAAACGAACAGCGACAGCACAAACCAGCGGCAGTAGCAGCCAGAAAGGCAGTCGGTCAGAAAGCGAGAGAGGAGGGAGATGTGTGGTTGTACTGTTTGGAAAACGGCGTTTGGGGGGGGGGCTTTTGGGGGGTTGAGATGTAAATGACGGGACGCGCTAGAAATCGCGTAGAATTATTTGATTGTAGCAAGACAAAGCACAGAATGCAGGTGCGGAGGGGGAACGTAAGGTCCACGGGTACCTTCCCACAGTTCCTTCAGTTCCCAGAGTCACAAGTCACTACCTAAGGCTAAGATACTCTTCATGCCCCATCCTCCCGGTCGCCGGCCTCCAGTACTTCGCAGAGGGAATGGAGACAAGAAAAACAGACCAATCACATCCTGCCATGGTCACTTCACGCTGGTCGTTTCATCCCCACCTCGTCGTCCTTCCCAAAGCACAGCCGAGGGGTCTCCCCGTCCCAGAAGGGCAAAGTCCCCTGTTCCTCTGCTGGAATGGACGGATACAGCACACTGACCATCACGGGTAGGCATGTTGGTACAATAGATGGCCCGGTGCATTACACACTAATTAGAGGAACACCCGGCCGAGCACGCGACAGAGATTGCTGACGAGAGTTTGCACTTTGCACGGCTGACCAAGTGGACTGGGTTTTTGGGAATGGCCTTTGGGGCGAGTCTTATCATGGTGGACTGCTCCGCTTTCGCCAATGAATTCATAATAAACAACTACGGGCCGCATGTTGTTCAACAGATTTGGTATTTCGCTACTTATGAGGTCCCAAATGCACTTCCCACGAACTCCCCTGTAAAGCCAGATGAAGACGAACCTAACGTCACCGACAACGGGTGACTCAACGGATAGGAAAAGCAAAGCACGTCCACGAAACGCCTATCGCAACATGGGGTCGCCCCAAAAGCCACTTAGAGAGGACAGCACGAGCCGAAACGCCAAATCCCCCCACTCCCACCTCATCGGGTACCCCAGTTGCTTAATGCGAAGCAAATCAAGACATGTGTCTGGTTAGCCCTGGGTGTAGCTCATGTCAATCTGCCCCTCGTACGGCCCTCTAGCATCCCCTCGCAGCCCAGCAGCTTATTCCTACACGAGCCATACCCTGCTGAAGTAAGGCGCGGACATTCTCGTTCATAACAGTCGTATGTATGCGTCGTCGTGATGATCGTGACGATTTAGTCGTCCCAGCTCTTCTCAACCGTCTCACGAACCCGCTTCGTATACTCCTTCCGGTTGTCCTTATAGAGGTTCGACGCTTCAACGTTCGCTGGGGAGCCCGTGTTTGGGTCGTTGAGCAAACTAATGATGCAAGTTAGCCAACAAACAGCTCCGTCGCTCATAGAGTGGCATCCGGGATCCACCGAATAGGACAGCTCTCACCTCTGAATGCTCGTCAACACTGCCGCGACGTCATACGTGGGACTCCAGCGATTCTGTAGGATATCCAAGCAAAGCTCTCCTGTGGCGTAGACATTCGGGTGGAACATCTGGCTGATGAACTTGACCGCGGGGGGCTTGTTGGGGTATTGCTCCTCGAACTGCATAACGAGTCTGAAAGTACCGTCTTCGAATGGGGTATCGGCGGGGCCAATAATCACGGCGTTCCTAGAGAATGCCTTGTCAGTCGCCATTGGCACGTCCGGCAGGTTCGGAGTTTGGCCAAGCATACCAGGTCATGACGTTATCGGGGACAGGCGAGGCAGAAACGCCGGCGGGAGGATCAGTCTGCATACGCTGCTCATTGCGTTAAGATCGTACACATAATAACGGCATATCGAGGATTGTAGCTAACCTTGAAGTCGCGCATCAAGCGACGGCGGGCGGCGGTAGACATGGTGGCGGTCGGTAACTGATTACCAAGACTGAGGGGTCGGAGGATCGCAACGGCCGTCGATGAGGGACGGAAGAGAACCAGAGAGTTGATTCAAAGTGTAAGTGATCGTTGCAGATGGACTCGCTGGGTATCAGCAAGCTGAAAATTCTGAGGATCTTCGTCGCTGACGATGTGTGATGGAGAAAGTTGTAGAATGGCCGGACGGATCACAGACAACAGTCCGAAAGAATGGCGCGGGAAGCACTCACCTTCACCACCGCCTTCCGCTTGGGCCAATGGGTGGGTCTCACATTTTGGTCCAATCACGATAGGCGATACCAAGCGCGAATCACCCGATAACAAAATGGCACTCAAGGCCAAAGGGTCTCCAACACAAACGCCTGCGGCAGTCACGACTCAAGCCTCTCTTCATGACGCCGTCTGAGGCCTCAGGTTGGAGCATTTATTGATTGCTTCTGACAGACACTTGGAGGGTTTTGGTGTACTGCCTGCTACATTTTCATGTTGCTGACAGTCGCATGTACCTTACCCTAAGAACAGTCCAAGGTATTGAAAGATACTTACTTGCATCAACTCGCATGTAACTAGCGAGGTGTAGCTTTTCTTCCACATGGGCGGGCAGCATTTTAGTTTGGAGTTGGACTCGTTCAACTGTTATATTTGCGCCGCAGCATCGCAATAACGGCGATCATCCATACTTATGCTGCGAAATTCCGGGGATAAATGTCATCCAGAATGCAGGCAAGAGTGACATCGTTGCAGAGACAGCCGGAACCGGTTCCACCCCTTTGGCCCGACGAGCTTTCCGAGCGGAATTGGGGCTACTCCCACGGTCCGGGGTGGGGGATCGGTTCCTCCAAAGACCTGGGGGAAGTGACCTCACTCCTCACTTGGAAGCTCGGCCCCGCCCTCGTACCTCTCAGACACCCCCCTCTCTTAAGCCGAGGAAGACCGCAGAACCTGGGGTATTGTCATCCCGCGCCTTCCACATGCTCGCTTCATCCCTCTGAAGTAAACTGTCAAGCCACCATCCTATCTTTTTTCTTGTTCCCTTTTCCTTCTGCAAGATCGTCTCAAGTCGCTATCACTTTGTGCATTTCTGCTGCGAAACCCCGGATATCAATTGTTAACATATACCACCATGTTTATGAGGCAGTCATCGAGGCTTCCTAGCCAATTCGCTAGGCAAGCGGCTTCCCGCCAGTTCTCCACGCGAGCTGCGCTTCGGCAAGAGATTCGGGACGCATACATTCTCAGTGCCTCAAGAACACCGACAGCGAAGGTAATGACAACTCAGTAAGCTTCTACGAAGCCCCCATAACTAACACGGCCACCAGTTCAATGGCTCATACACGAGCGTAACTGCGCCGAAGCTGGGCGCCGTCGCCATCAAGTCCGCTCTCGAAAAGTCCAAAGTTCCCGTCGACAAGATCACCGACGTATACATGGGCAATGTCCTACAAGGATCAGTTGGGCAGGCGCCGGCTCGCCAGGCCTCGATCTTTGCCGGTCTCCCGTCTAGTGTGGAAGCGATCACCATTAACAAGGTCTGCGCATCCGGCATGAAAGCTGTCGTTTTTGCTGCACAAAATATCCAGCTCGGTCTCTCGGATGCGCAGATTGCTGGTGGCATGGAGAACATGACGAGGGTGCCGTACTATGTGCCTCGCGCTTCTAGCTTGCCCCCGTTCGGGCATGTGAAGATGGAGGACGGCCTGATCAAAGACGGCTTGACCGATGTCTACGACCAATTCCACATGGGCAACTGCGCCGAGAACACGGCTAAGAAGTATGAGATTTCTCGCGAGATGCAAGACGAGTACGCTATCGAGTCTTATAAGCGCGCCCAGGCTGCGTGGAAAGCCAACGCCTTTGCCGAGGAAATCGCTCCCGTCACCGTACCCGGAAGGAAGGGCGACACAGTTATCGAGTCTGATGAGGGATACCTCGACGTCAAGTTCGACAGGGTACCTACTCTGAAGCCGGCCTTCGTGCGCGACGGCACCGGCACTGTCACCGCTGCCAACTCCTCCACGCTGAACGACGGTGCCAGTGCGCTTGTTTTGGGCAGCAAGGAGATTGCGCAAAAATACGGTTCCGGTTCTCGAGTGTTGGCAAAGATCTGCGGCTCGGCCGACGCCGCGGTTGATCCTATCGACTTCCCCATCGCTCCAGCTAAGGCGGTGCCCATTGCGCTTAAGAGGGCAGGTATCACCAAGGACCAAGTCGCCGTGTGGGAGTTCAACGAAGCTTTTGCCGCTGTTATTAAGGCGAACGAAAAGGTACGTGAAGCGTCTACAGTTGATCGATAGCGACTAACAGCCATGGCGTAGATCCTCGGATTGGAGGGTGCCCGAGTCAACCCTCTCGGTGGAGCAATCTCCCTCGGCCACGCTCTGGGTAGCTCCGGATCACGAATTATCGTCACTCTGCTGCACCAGCTGAAGCCCGGCGAATATGGTGTTGCGGCCATCTGCAACGGAGGCGGCGCGGCCACGGCAATCGTTGTGCAGCGCATCGAGTCCGTGTGATTGGCCATGTATTCGTCGTCGCGGGTAGGCTTCCCGGCAGCGTCTAGGCCGGGTGGAAAGGGGAAGCGGCATGCATGAGGTGCTTAGCTTCATGCGTGACTTGGGAGCTATTTCCCGCTCAGATTGTGGTGATCATAACGGATTCGAGGCGCGTTGTATGAGAAGGCGTAAAATTGTGAAAAGCATATTATGTTTGGATGCTATTGGAATACAATATCCCATGTAGAACACTTGACGCAGATCATCAGTAAATGTAACCCTTGACAAAGTAATATGTTGAAGCTAGGAAAAGTGACGACCGACCAGCCCCATTTAAGGATCCGCATTGGCCCAGCGCGAACGTCTCACCGAGCACGTACCCTTGTTCCCCGTACACCGAAGAATCCACCTCAACTCACCTCACCTCGTCTGAGCTCGAGCTCTCACACACACCTTGGACTTCCACCTTCATCACAACCCGCAAGATCTCCTCGCCTCGATTTTCACGATTCGCGGCCTCGCCCCCCTCCCCACATGAAGCTTCAACTTCGGCACCTCAAACCTCGTGCCAACGATGTCCCTAATAATCCAATTCCTCAGCCAGATCCGCACATTCGTCCGTGCTCAGAACATTGACGAGCTCCGGAACTGGCTCCTCGTTGAGCCCAACGCAAACAAGCAATATCACGCCCTCGCGAATGAGCTGAGGACGCAGTTTCGCTCATCACGGCATGGCGCCAACGGAACAAGCAGCACAGCCCTTGAGAGCACGATTGAGAAATGCCTCCCCGAAGAGGACGACGTGCCCGAGGGCCAGGGCTCGCCATGGCCGGGCTTTGTGACTTTCATGAAGGACTACATGGTATTCTGGCGCGACGTCGATTATGACGACCTTTTGGGCGCGCATACGCTGCTCAGCGGGCTGGTGAAGTGAGCTACCGACGAGAATCCATCATCACCTCTACTGGCGCGGACCTCGTGGCCCTCACACGTGCCTTTCAAAATGGAAGCAGCAGTTGGCTAACACCCATATAGCTCCTGCAGTACCGCTTTTGCCCACCCTACCTATGGAGGCATGCTCCTTAAGACGGCAATGTCACTCTGCGAGTCTCTCTCGCGTCTGACAATGATGTTGTCAAAACGTCCTGACCTCACGCGCAACATCCGCAACGTCGACGCCGACGACCGCAAGTCGATTGCCGAATCTTCGGCGGAGATCATCCAAAAGATCTTTACCACCTGCCTAACGGACCGCTCCAGCGCGCGGTACAGCAAGCCGGAAGGCAAGAAGGTTGGCGTTTACATGTTTGCCAACCTAGTGCTAAAGCTTCTCTTTGCTGTACGTCTTCTGTCTCCATTCCTTGTGCCCTAGTTTGCGTACGCCTTGAACGTGTTGACTGATGGACGCCCAGTGCCGGAGAACGCATCTAGCGAAACAAATATTCACAAACATCTCCACAAACTCGCCACCACTATCGTTCTACCCCGCGTCACAGCGCGTCAACTTCCTCTACTACCTAGGCCGCTTCAACCTCGCAAACTGCCACTTCCTCCGCGCGGCGCTCTGCCTTGAAGAAGCGTACCTTCAGATACCGCCGCCCCTCACATCCCATCGCGCCCTGGTCCTCAGCTATCTCGTCCCCTGCAACTTCTTGCTCGGCCGTCTGCCCTCTCAGCTCCTGCTCTCTCGCCCAGAGGCATCAGCCCTCGTCCCCGTCTACCAACCACTGATCCAAGCGATCCGAAAGGGCGACTTTGTCCTCTTCCAGCACACGCTAGCCCAGCATGAAAAGTACCTCTTCGACAAGGGCCTCCTCCTCGTCCTCACCCACCGCCTCCGACCTCTTCTCTGGCGCTCCCTCTCCCGCAGGACGTTCCTCCTCACCTACGCCCCGGGCCAAGACGACGCCAACCCCTCCAACACAAATCGCCGCGCCGCAACAATGGACCTCGCAGATCTCCACGCGACATCTCAGTACCTCCAGCGCCGACTCGAAGGCTACATCCCCTCTAAATCGCCCTCCTCCTTCGCACCGTCTACAGCATCCCCCGCCTTCCTCAGAGCAGTAAGCCACGACGCGGCTTCGACGCTCGTCCCGCCGCCCGGCGGACCCAAGAAGCTGCGCCCCAATGAGGGACTGGTCTGGGGCAACTCCCCAGTCGAGATGGACGACGTGGAGATGAACGTATCGGTGCTGATCCAGCTCGGTTTCATGCACGGCTTCATTGCGCATTCGCAGGGGAGGTTCGCCGTCATGGGCGCCACGAAGAGGAGCCCCGTGTTGGCTGGGTGGCCGACGCCGTGGACGGCTATTCGGGAGAGGCAGTACGAGGAGGACCTGGACTTGGATCATGTGCCTGGGTGGGTGAAGGGTTGAGCGAAGCAATCATTGCAGGACTGTCTCAAGTGGCGAGCCTGAAAGCGCTTTTGGGGAAAAGCATGGTTTCTATATAGATGCTGGAGCTTACCGATTCATGGAAAAGGAAGAAATGATACCCTATTCGCATCTTAGCCTCGCATGCTGATTTGATTGTTTTCGGTGTGGTCTGCTCAAGACGCACTCGTGGATTTGACCGGTCGGGCAAGGTGTGGAATCCTGGAATTGATGGTCTAATTCTACGCAAACAGTGAATGATGTGGACTTGTGTTAAGTCACCGCGCGAAGTTCCCGTCTACTGGGGCTGGTATCGCTAATGTCAGATAGCGTTCTCTTGTCTTCACGTCAATCATGGTGTCTTGACCGAGGTGGGGCGGCAGGCCAAGATCAATATCAACACCATCAACCACGCAGGCGAAAAGGATGGAGGAGAGCATCGATGTCCAGGTAGGCAATCACTCTGACCCGACAGGGAGCATGGACTACAAGAAGGGCATGTCAATGGAGATGGAGATGGCTGCCGTCTCGACAGGCAAAATCATCATGTTGAAATCTATCTACCTCATGGATGGGAATGTAGCGAGTCCATGGGGGCCGTTGAAGACGAATTTGACGATATATTTTCTCAAAACACAACCAGGCATCGACATCATCACTAGGCACCCAGCAATCTCCCCAACAACAAACGTACAAGCGTCCACGTCTGCGTCCGCGATAGGTAGTCAATAGTCCAGCATCACAGAAAAAAGAAAGACCTTCTTCACCACGACCCAAACAAGGGGCCGCAAGCAATGAAAGCAAAACAAATCTCCAATCGAGAAGAATGAGGGTTTCAAAAATTCCCTAGCCAACCGAAGCCAACTAGGAGTGGTCATAGTTATAGTTTTCAACTAGCAAAAACACGATCTCGGACGAATCCTCACTGATACGCGTAAAGCCCTTGCACTCAGATGAAGAAGAAAAAAGCAGAAAAAGGAGCTGAAAAAGGGCGTGGGGTCGAGGGGGTTTTATAGGTAGCTGCTCTTCCAGCACCCACAAGGGTGCGCGGTACCTGGAGGGAGGCAGCCGCGGTACGTATCTTTGGCCTCAGGGGCCTCAATGTCCTGAGCCTCACTCCCAGTCTCCAGATGAACCACCCTTTCGTGCCTGTGCCACACCTTTCCATTTTTGACGCCTCAGTCCCCACTCGGGGCCGTTCAGGGGAAGAGGAACACTGCAGGAATGGAATGCGAAGCTGTCAGCACCCGTCCCCCGGTACGTACCAGCACCGAAGCTCCGTGGCCGCCGACTTCACATCTCGAAACCTGAAGCACACATGCGTGCGCGGGGACCTGGAGTCATTGACAAGAGTCCGACATGCGAATATCGCCGACGCTGCCAAAATGCTCTCATTTATCCTGATTCAGAATCGCCAGTATGTCCAGTCGCCTCCGATGCAGAACGTGTAGAGAAAAGAGCTCCCGCTGACATATACCCCGGCGCCATCCAGGGGCAAGACCCGTCTCGCGAAGTGGTATGCACCCTACAGCGACGATGAGAAGATCAAGATGAAGGGCGAGGTACGAACGCTCCCATCCCAATAACACGTCGCATCCTCAAAATGGACATACTCTAACAACATCACTCCCCGTAAACAGGTCCACCGCCTCGTCGCGCCCCGAGACCAGAAATACCAATCCAACTTCGTCGAGTTCCGCAACAACAAGATCGTCTACCGCCGCTACGCAGGCCTCTTCTTCTGCGCCTGCGTCGACACAAACGACAACGAGCTCGCCTTCCTCGAGGCCATTCACTTCTTCGTCGAGGTCCTCGACGCCTTCTTCGGCAACGTCTGCGAGCTCGACCTCGTCTTCAACTTTTACAAGGTCTACGCCATCCTCGACGAGGTCTTCTTGGCCGGCGAGATCGAGGAGACGAGCAAGCAGGTTGTCTTGACGAGGTTAGAACACTTGGATAAATTGGAATGAGTAAACTGTCTTCCCGGCATGGTCCGGTGTTGTAGAAGACTGGAGGGGTCGCGCTTCTTCGACCTGAGGGTTGATCACGTTTGGAGACTGGCAGACTTCTGCACTGTCATACACGGGCGTATGGGTGGGCTGGAGTCTGGAGTTTTGCCAAGAGCAATACGCACGCGACTGGCTGCAACGTCATTTGACAAACTTTTGATTTCGTGGGAACTAATGCTATGTAAAGCAATTTCAGGGATAACCTCCCCTACTGGAATTAAGAAAACGGTGCATCATCTTCTCCCTGTAATCTCAACCCAGCCGTCCTTGAAGAAACTTGCTGGGCAAAAATCCGAGGAGATGATGCGGCTAGATGCTCAGAAGCATCCTTGATACATCTTCGGGACGTGAGAAAGACGTCCCCATCGGCAAATGCAGCCAGGCTACACACCCATCCGACTGCCCAATGCAAAATACCACGGAACCACCCAAAAGGCCAAAGATAAGTCCTCCGATTCCCAGTCCCAAGCAAGTGTTACTCGGGCGAGGCTTGAGAGGCAAATTCACGCCCGAGCTACCTACGAAACGCAATCCAGACGCGTATGAAAGAAGAGAAGAAGCAAATGCCGACAGCCGAGCTCGGAGAAAATGAGCTAATCTCCTGAATAATGAAGAGGTGTAAGAGCCGGCAGCCAATCGTGGGCCAATGTCTCTTGGTCAACGACAGATCCGCAGCTCCAAAGTCGACGGGAAATGTGTAAGAATATTGTAGGCAGGCCATTCAGTGCCGGGGTTCAAGTTTGAAGTATCTGGCCGGTGATTGCCAGATCGGACCGAGTTGAAAGCAGCTGGATAACCTTCGAATGTAAGGCTACTCGCTCATCTTCGGAGTGGTAGGGGCTCCTCCCCCTCCTTCTCCTCAGCCTCATACATCTCAACAGCGGTGCGTCGGCGAGCAATGTTGAGGTGAACGTTCTCGTGCTCTCTGCCTCGGAACAGAGCCAAGACGGCAGGATCGTATAGAGGGACTCTCTGAAGAGGCTTCGGGGTTTTCAAGGGGACAATTGCCTCCTTCGTGTGGAATGAGCCATGGTCCACCTCAATGGGGCTGCTTGGAGCTTGGTCCATTCCCTCAGGGGCATCCTCCATGTAAACATCGTCGTTACCCTCGTTGCCATTGTCGTAATCATCCCAACCGAAACTGTCGGGTATGATGCTCCGGTAGGAAGTCACAGGCGACGGGGAAGAAGACGTCACGATCATACTTCCCCCGTTCGGCTGAGTGCCGCCCATGGCCTCAACAACATCTGGCTTCGCTTGGAAGAAGAGATCTCTTTCCAACACCGCAAGGAGGTCCTCCGCCTCAATGCCAGCTTGCTTCCACTGTGAATCGGTCACTTTCTTGCGCTCCATAGCCTCGGCCGAGTCCACAGCTCCGCCTGTCTCCATGGGAATATCCTCGGATGCGCCAGCTTGCTTCGCCCTAATGTTGACGCCCGAGTCTTTCTTTTCGGGTTCAAGGTCTTGCGTAATTTGATCCACGGGAGCAACTTGCTGATTCTCTTTGGGAGACATCTCGACGTCGTCCCAGGGCAGGCCGCCAGCAAAAGAGTCTTCGTGCTGCTGTCTCTGCGCCGGTCGCTGTCTCTTCGCCGGTCTTTCAATATCGTCCCAGGGAGAGAGTCTACCGTCGTCAGTGCGCCGTTTTTTCAGGCGGGATGACAGCTTCGCCTCTTTTTCGCCCACGTTCCTAGCTGGAGTCGGCTCTACGGATTTCTTGAGATCCGAACGACCGATCCTCTCCGATTCCTTAGGGCGATAGGCAAAATGGAGATGACGGTTCTCACTAGGGCGGCATCTATCGTCAAGGCGGCGGGAGGTATCAGGACGGTACGTGTCGATAGATTGGCGAGGGTCGTTGGGGCGGTATGTGTCGACGCGTTGGCTGAGTCTTTCTGGACGGTAACTATCATCCTCAAGGTGCGAGTCGATAGGGCGACTAGATCCGGAACGAGAGCGATGTCCGACTGGTTTAGAGTTGCTTCCAGACCGGGAAGGGCCTACAGCAGACTCTTGAAAGTCGGGTGATTCGTCTTGGTCTCTGCTAGGCCTGGTTTGCAAAAGTCGGGCTCGCTCCTCATTCATGTAGGGGCCATTGACACTCGAACTTTTGCTGGTAGATCTGGAGTGACTGTGTTGTCTCGATGAGATCTGTCTTGAGTCTTCGCTCGATATCGGCGGGTTTTGAGGCCGTTGTCTGAGTGAATCAGTGGAAGTGGTAGTTTGCGTCCAAGGACAATCCTGGACAAGGTGATCTCTATGCTCTCCACAGGTGCGGCAGACGTAGTTCTTTGGGACGAAAGGTTTATTTGAGGAGTTCGAGGTACAGTGATGAATGAAGTGACCTGTGTTGGCAAGGTTCTCGTTAGTTTTCCGACGACTTTCCTCTCGACTTCGTTCTCAGGTACCTGGTATTCCGCAGAGTCTGCATACGTAGCCAGCACGAGGTTTCTGCTCGTTTGAAGACGAAGTCTCGGGAGGTGGTGTTCCGGACTTGAGCTTGTCCAATTTGGCAAGGAGCTTCTGTCGACGACTGAGATGGGAATCTTCAGGATCAGGGTGTACGTTTCCCGAATTCCGAGTCCCCGAGATCGGCTCGTTTGCTTGGTTGGAAAGCCTAGCAGGTTGGGACAAACCTGGTAAGCACGTTGCCGAGGCTGCCTCCTTTGGGGCGGATGAGTTCTTCACCTTGCGGTGGACACTGCGTAACTTGTAGTTAATCTCGATCTCTCGTCTGGCAAAGTTGAAGGTCCGGGTATCTTTAGGTCGGTCTCTGAGGTAGTCTTCCTTGTGCTGATTAAATACGTTGAGCACGAGATGCTTTTCGTACTTCCTAGTGCTTAGGTAGTCGCAAGCATCTCGAATGACCCTGGAAGAGGCTGTGTGACCCGTCAGACCCAGAAAAGGAATCTGCTTTGCAAGCCACTTGGTGTAAAGTTCAAGAGGCCTCTTGTCTTTAATATCCTTTGAGTATCGGTGAGTCAACTCCCACTCGATATCTCTTTGGTCCAGGCTGTAGAACTCTCGAGGGTGCATCTCAAGGATAAGGAGCTTCGAGTCCGTCATCTTTGTTCGCTGTGGAAGTGTCAGAGAGCAGGTGAGGTACTGGCCTTTCGGAGGTGAAACTGCCGTGAAATTTCTTGCTCGTACTTGGAACCCCCTCGCTCCTTCCGGGGCTATTAACTGGCTGGACGTGAGAAAGGCCAAGCCGGGGAGCAGCACACAGGAAGACCCGCCGTGAAAGGAGCGGAATTTGAACGGAATCTGAACGGAGAAGCAAAAAAACGTGACGAGAATAGGGGAAAGGTCTTCAGAATAGTTGGGGAAAAGAGCTCATCCGGTAGCCGCTTTGCTCTGAGATGCAACTATGTGATGCGTTGAGGATATTGTGAATTTAGTGGACCGCTTGGTGATCGATGACTGCAGCTAGTATTTGTTGTGAACGGAAAGCTCGTTCGGAGCAGGCCCCGGTACAACAGGGAAAAAGGATGGAGGCTACCTAGTACCTAGGCAAGGCACATATGCTTAATGAGGAAGGCCTTCAAAGACACCGATCGAGCCTTCTCCAATTTGATGGACTCATTAGGTACAGTTAAGACCTCCTTCCTTTGAATTTGTTTCTGGCCCGGCCAAGGTAGTGGCACGCTCCTACCCTTCCTACGTGAACCCCTCCAAGTAGATGGGATACTATAAGCTCTTCTTCGGGGCATAATCTCCAATCCTTGATTACCTACCTCATGTATCATCACAAGAAATCGGTAACGCAGACTCGCGTTACCCACTTATTGGATGTGCCTCAGGGACGGTGATGGCAGGACCTGCACTTAAACTAATTGAATGTCCCGGGGTAAATGTTGCAAACCCCATACTATTGAGAGAACGAGATCATGTCGATGCAGAACGCCTGCAATATGAATTCATTCCGCGCCATGCCTAGACCTTTAACAAAAGCACATAAGCCCTCAAATACCTTCCAGATATCCTCGTATCAAATTACCCCTTGCCTAGACACATCAGGCTCATCGCTTCAAAGCTTGAAATCTCCTCTCCAGCTCCGTAATGTCAGGTACGTTGCCTCCTGGACCCTTTCCGGCTGGTTTCTTCTGCGCCGCCGCGTCCATCTTCTTGTTAGGCTTCAGCTCCAGCGAGTTGAGCGTAACTTTCGGGTGGACGTTGTCTGTTGTCATCCTTGGCGGTGTGACAGTCAAAGGGCTGCTGGGACCTCCAATCGTCCTAGGCGGTGTCGCCTTGCTCAGCTCCTCCTGTTCCTTGGCCACTTTGGAGCTATTTCCCAACGGACCCTCTGGTATTCTCACTCCAATCCCTCCACTTGGGTTATCGTCGTCGTCATCGTCCAGCAGGTCCGGCGGCTCGTCAGCCAGAGGTCGCTTCGGCCAGTCCACGTTGTACGCCTTGGCAATTTCCTCCAAGTACCCTTGTACGAGTTCTTCCCGCGGCGGCGTGACGCTCAGCTTCTTGACAACCTTATCCGACACCTTGCCATCTGAGTTGTCCATCGCCGCAAGAACAAACTCCTTGCCGTACTTCTCCGCCAATAGCGTTCGCACTACCTGCAGCTCCTTGATCTCCGTCTTCGGCGCGGCGTAGATGATACTCTTCACCGCCTCCTCCAGCCCCGGATCACAGACTGACCCCTCGAGTAGCCCCGCGCGTGCGATTAGCAGTTCGCAGTACAGCTCTAGTATCTCGTGCAGCTCGGTCGTGATGTCGGATCGGATGATGTTCTCGACGCGGATGCGCGCAGAGTCGATTTTGCCCACCTCGAGGAGCTGCGCCATCGCGCGTCGTTGTGTCTTTCCCATGGAGTCATCGCGCTGTTGTACCATGCGCAGCCGTGCAATGGCCAGCTTGAGCTGGACCTTGAGCTTCGTCTATTGGAGCAAGAAGGCCACGGTTAGCAAAGCCATGTCGTCATAAGTGTCAGCGGGGCATGTCAAGGATGCGCGACTCACGACGACTGATGGTTGAGGAGGCATTTTGGTGGCTTTTCTGTTGCGATTTGAAAGAGGGAAATGCCACGAGGCCCGAGTCAAATGGGATAGATGCCACTTCAAATAAGGAATGTCAAGTGACGGGACACAAGGCAACAGAATTGAAGCAGCCCAGGCGAGTGGGCAAGTCCGGAAGGGGTCAGTCTGCCTTATCTAATCGCTACAGGTTGGTGGGATGGCTGGAGCTTCCGCTTCACTGCGGGGTACTTGTTCGTGCCCAAGTGGGAGATACCAGGGTGCGTAAGGTACATACCTACAGGCCCCAGAGTCACTGCATACCTAAGATATGTCACTTGCACCTGACGTACTACTCAGTCCTCGCTACTTGCCCATCTGCTTAAAGTAGATTCATTTGCTCGTCATGTATGCCTTACGAAAAGCGTGGGTACAGTTCCTTGTCAAGTCTACAGGTCACAGTCACCAGCAAGAGAAGTGTTGTACTCGTTAGCTGGGTCTCCTCGTCGAGCCCCTAAGGTGACTACCTTATCCATTTGATGTAAACCTTGCCTTGTAACGCCCATAAAAAAGAACAAAATTCACAAAACAAAAACGCCAAGTCCACCTGTCCATCCGTGGGTATCGTTACCTTGTTCCAAAGGTGAAGTTGTAGTTGGACTGAAACAGCCACAAAACCAGCAGCTCGTACGCTCGATGAATGGGGCTCAGAACTAGAATGAGATTAGCGTGTACCCTTTGCTTCTTGGGGAGGAAACTAACAATGTTGAGTGCGGTGTGCTGCGGAAGCCTCGTACCGTTGAGCATGGCTCGAGTCTTTTTGGGTCGCTGCTGAAGGCGTCTGAAGGCTTCTTGAACGTGACGAGGCTCGATGGGACTTCTCCCCTCGCTAGGCGGGTCGAAGAGACCAGTGGCCACCTTGCGCTTCTTTGATCCTGCGTTCTCACCGCCGCTCTGCGCCTTGAATAGATCCTCTTGCTCCTTGACCTTCAGCGCGTGCTCGGTAAGGGTCTGGACCATCTCGAAGGTCAAGAAACCCAAGATATCGACAATATCGTCGGAGGGTTTGCTGTCCGTGACAATACCAAACCCGGCCCATTCTCTGAATCTTTTGCCCTTGCGGTACGTGAACGAGGCTTGACGGTATTCGGACCATGTCACGTACTCCTCCTTCGTCATGGCCTTAGTGCGCTCGTCGGCCTTGCGGAGACGTTGAAGGGTGATGAAGTTCATCTCTTCCTCTTCTTCATCCTCCTCGTCATCACGTTCAGGGACTTCTTGACTGTAGAATGAGGAAGGTTCCCAGGGCAGGCCAACCTTGGCCTTTTTGTTCTTCTTGGTCGCATCGTCGACAGGGCCACCAGGGACCACTCCACCGCTGGGATCTTCGCCAGCACCTAGATCTGCTTCACCTCCCTTGTCGTCGGAGTCCTTCACGTTCTTTCTGACATCTTTCCATGACAAGAATGTGCGCAGACGAGAGACTTTGGCTTGATCATGGCGAATCTGGAAGATCAGGTCATTAATCGTGATGGCTCGCGCGCCGCGGCGAGCTGCGAGCTCAGTGCAGTTTCGAAGCTGGCGGAGTATTAGTAACAAAGAGACCAATGGTGCTTGCATAACTTACCAGCTCAATAACTTGCTGGCGCACAATGTCCTCAATCATGCTAGTAGTCTCAATCGACGGTTCGGCGGTCTCACCAGAGACATACATCATCTTGCGCGCAACGTCAGTAAAACGATCTGACTAGCCGTGCGGCCCCTCGTTATTCAAATGCTGAGGCAGAACGAAAGCAGGCTTGTTTGACGCTTGACGCGTGGCCCTTTGCTTCTGCACCTCTCCGTACGGGAGGTCAAGGATGGACTTGAAGCCGGAGTTGACCACGATGCCACGAACTTCGTCGGAGGCGGATTGAGATAGCTCCATGCTTTGGCGCTGAACACGCGCAACGACTTCCGCCTTTGCTCTGGAGTGCCTAAGGTATCTCGGTTTCTTCGTGAGAGCGTCAAACTCGGCGTCACTGTCGTTGGCGACCAACGGTTCGGTACACTGTTCAAATATGCCGAGAGTAATTCCGAGACATCCGACGAGGTGACTTATGAGGCAGCCGCCACTATGTCGGTCAAAGTGGGATCTCCATCTCACCAGCGATTGTTTCCTTCTGTTCTGCATGGGCGTGGACGTGTCTCACTTGGGACGAATATGGTGTTTTCGAAGCAGCTTCTGTCGATACCAGTGGCGGAAGTAATGATGATATCTAGCCTTGTGCTAGATACGGTGGATGGAAGGTACCGCTGTGGGCAGATTTCCAATGCTCATATTTGGAAAGAGCGGAGGCCATCGTGGAGGCCAGTCAAGCATTCAGGTGTGAGGGCATGCGTGTCGAGATGAGCCGTGGTCAACTCCGGGAGGCAAGTGTCAAGTCCTTCTTTTCCTCTACTGGGCTTCCAGTTTTGAGGTCGCTAGCTGCCATGTGCCAATAGATCTCAAAGAAGGGCAAAACAATACGAGATTGAAAGAAAGAAAATCGACAGCCTCTTCACTAACCTGGCTGATCTCCTGGCGATACTTGAACGCCTTATCATCCTTTGAAGCCATCTTGTCGGTGTTGCAAGGCAAGCCTCAGACTTGATGTGAGTAGCTTGAATGAATTCAATGTTCTGCGTTCTGCATAGAAACTGACGCGGGAGTAGGAGCAAGACTGAGCAAGACCAATAATCGCAATGCTGACGAGTAAGGCAGATGATAGACCAAGGCCCGAGAAAACTCCTATATGAAGGCTGTAGTTGCTGTTTTCAGTTGTAATCGGAGGAGCCACTAGGAAAACTTTCCCTACATAAATGAGGCCTGTGACTGTCGATGCAATACGGTGAGAGGGATAAGAGTCGGAAAGCGAAGGCTGGAGGTGTTTGGAGTCTGGATTGTGGTTCGGCTCAGCGACACCGACAATGACAGCAACACAAGCTGGGGTGCATTGACCAGATCCACTATTATCTAAGGCAGGGGCCAGACGGGGGAGGCACCTACTTTCCAGGTTCCTTCCACTGAAATCGGAAAAGATAACTTCCGAACAGCGAGTTGCCTTCCAGGTATGTCTTACGTAAGGCATCGTTAACAAACACTCCATCGTCCGGAGGTCATCAGCATGATGGTGCTGCTCGACTCAACCTGTGCATTAACAGACCAATAAGGAGAACTGGTTGACGAGTTTACACCACGTCTACCAAAGCGAGCTTCGCCCAAGCCGTCTGACCGAGTGCTCCCTGTAGTTTATCTATCCACATGACGGTTTGCAACCGAGATCGCGCTCTGTCCCACGACAAATGCTCTACCCTGAATTTCAACCACAGAGGCCGCAGCCAGGCCTCCTCAGCCTCAAAGACGGAGATCGCGCACATCATCAGGAGCCAGAACAACATGTCCTCGTTTTCGAACGTGCCACCGGCGGTAGTCTGGCATATGTTCCTGAGACTCTCAGCGAGATACTTATAAGGAAACCTGCCGCCTGGGATCTGTAATGTGGTCGACAGAAAAGCCAACATTCCGAGTCGGAGGCATTCGTCAGATTGGTTGTCGATTCTGTCCTGCAGATTTACGAGTCGTGTTTGAATCGATCCCAAGGAGTCTTGGAAAAGCGAGCCATCAAGCAACGAATTGCAGGCGAGGTGATGGTTGATCAAGTTCACTAAATGCTTGAGGTCTTGCCAAACAGCTGCCAGCCTCCAGTCACGCACAACATTGCAGGAGAGGATCTCAGTCCCGGAAGTTGGATCTCTTGACTGCGCGTTGAAGCATGACTCCCAGCTGACAGGGCCGTTGAAGAAACAAGGTATACCTCCCGTGCCAAGAGACCACGAGAGAGCCAGGCTGTACTATTAGAGTTGGCCTACTCATAGCAGATGGCAGATGGCAGATGCACTCACCGATCGAGCTTGAAATGAAGCTTTGGATGACGTTGAAGATAGCTGAGCCCTCCGCGAAGGCGTACAAGCTGCCGCAAGCCTGACAAGTGTACGGCCGTGGTGCTGAAGTCACCCCAAAGACCTGCCATCAAGGCCAGAGTGAGTATGACGTGGAAGATTGCCTCGTTTCGATGCGAGTCTGGTTGAGAAAGCGCCTCGTTGAGGAGTTTGATCGTGCGTCGAAGATGAAACTGTGTCATTTTTCCTGGCTGACAACGCTGGACATGTTCATGTACAGCGGATGAGTAGAACAAGGCGCTATGCAGGAAGATTTTGTCCTGGAGAATCCATGAAAATGAGAGTGCCTCGGAATTCGCGCTGCGAGGGAGGTCGACGCAGTGCTCGATGGGATAGAAGGTGCCCTTGAGAGCATTGAAGTTGACCACTGGTCTCAGTCAGACAGATGAAGTGAGCTTTGCGACACGGAAAGGGACTGTCTTACGTCTGAAGAGTAGTTCCTGAGAGGGCCTCTCCAACTCCTCTGCAAATTGAATGAGAGACATGTCGCTGGGTGGCGGACGAGGAACCGGAGGCATGAGCGCCGAGCTATCATCCTGAGCTGTCTCTTCTGTTCTCTGGGCCTGAGATTCTTTTTCAGCTCCCTGGTTCTCATTATTCGACCTCGAGAGCCATAGTTTGAAGGGGGGAAGCAAAGGGTTGAGCGTCTGTAATTCCGGATTCTCCCTCGCAGTTTGAGCAGCTTCCCTTTGCGCTTTGCGAGCGGCTTGTTTAGATCGCCTTGAGCCTTCTTGTCGATTCGTACCGAGCATACATCGGCTACGAATGACTGATCGATCTGTGGACTGTGTCCGTCCCGAATCGTTGACATTCACGAACACGAAGTCAGGTGGCATGGTGGCAGTGAAATTAAATGGAAATGCAAGTATTGTAACGCAATGACAGCAATGATGATCTAATCTACTAAGTGAGACGATGTAAGCTATGTTGAACGAGAAACACTCAATAAAGAAACACTCAATACAGAAACACGAATGAAGGAAAATCTCTAGAAGTAGAATGGCGTAGCCACACAAGCCGTATCGTCAACGTCGCACGGAGGAGCTCCGGATTTAAGACCCCACTCCATCTGACCACATTGTTTTCCGGTTCGGGCAAGCGTCTTACTCTCGCTAGGATCCTCTCCCACGTCTACTGCAGCCCTAGGCTTTCGGCATCCTTCCCATTCGTTGTCGCCTCGAAGATGGCTGCGTCAGACTAAAAGAAGATGACCCGGCCAACCTTCCATCTTCCCTGACATTAGAGAGAACTCGAGTTGCCCTCTCTCGGCGGCGGACCAGTAAAGACCTGCTGCGGCCTCCATAGCATGGGACCCTTTTCGAGCATCGCCTCCCGCCAGTGCGCCAACACACCAGGAATGCGCGACAAGCACGCCATGGCTACGATGATGTCGGTTTCGAAGCCAAAAGCAGTATATAGGAAGCACCCGTAAAGGTCCGCGTTAGCTTTCAAGTTACGGCTGGTAAAGTACTTTTCAGTATTGGCAACGCGGTCAACCTCCATTGCGATGGAAAGCAGAGGATTCGACTCCACTCTGTCCTTGTACTGGTCAATCATGGCGCGGATGAATTTGGCTCGGGGGTCTACGGCCTTGTAGATGCGGTGGCCGTACCCGAAGAGACGCTGCTTCTTGGCCTTGACGTCTGCTATCAGCATCGGCACGTTTTCAGGAGTTCCGAGATCCTCAAAGGCCTTATAGGCTAGTTCGATGGCGCCTCCATGGAGCGGGCCGTACCCAGAGACAAGACCAGAGATGCAGCATGCCAGAGGGTCTGTCAGGGTCGAGGCAGCGTGCAAGAAGGCGGCGGTCGAGTTGGTCATCTCATGGTCGGCGTAGAGGATCCAGAGTTTCTCGAAGCACTTGACAATCTCCTGATCGGGCTTGCCACTTTGGCTGTCTTCATGAAATCCCATCATGCGCAACATGTTGGCGATGAAGGAGTCTTCGGGATCGGCAGGAGTGAAAGTCTTGTTGCGCTTGCGGCAGTATGCAAGTGCAACAACAGTGGCGAGGGCAGAGATGCAGCCGATGAGCGCCTCATCGACCTTGTCAGCTTGGCCCATGAAGGCTGGCCGTCCGGACTGGAGTGTGGTGATGGCGCCTTCGTCATGGCTAGCATAGGCGGCCATGCCAGCAAAGACCATTGTGCTTGTCAACGAATCTCGAGGGAAAGACTCAATGACTTGGACAACGTGCGGAGGGGGAATGCAGCCGGCAGCAATCTTGCGCTGGAAGGTCTTCTTCTCCACCGCGTCGGGGAGATGACCCCAGATCAAGAGGAAGACTACCTCTTCGTAGTCGTGATTCTCGAAGAGGTATTCAATCGAGTAGCCTCGGTAATGGATAGATCCATGGCCGCCGTCGATGAAGGTAATGTTCGACTCAACGCAGGCGGTATTCAGGTATCCAGGATCGAGAATTTTCAAACCAGAGTAACTGACAGAGTTGGCACCAGCCTGAACAGAAATGATCTTTTGAAGCTCGAGGGCTTTGATTGAGTTTCGGTCGATTGGAATCTCGTACCGCCGCTGGGTACGGTTGTCGCAGATTGTCAAAGTCCCGCTAGAAGGATCAGCCTTGGTCCGGAAGAGTAGACTCCGCGCGAGCTGTGTAGGCAGCATCAACTTTTGGACAACCCGGGGAATGCCCATTTTCAGCATAGTGAATGTACGGCTTAGTTTACTGAAAGGTTCAGAAGCATAGGAAGCGGTAGCGGCGCCGACGTTATAAGCCTTGGTCCAGAATGAGTTTCTCAATCGCAAGTATTCAGGATGAAGCTTCTGAGCCTCATCGCTCTTGAGGATTTTCTTCATAGTATGGCTTTTTTGAGTAGAAGGTTGTTTGCTCAAATTCTGTAAATCTTTGACGGTACTCATTGAGTTGTCCTGAGATTGGATGGCTGCTTGAATAGTGTACTCGCTATTCATGGTGTCAAAGGCTGTTGTAATCTGGTTGATGATGATGCTGCTTCCCTCTCTCTCTTCCAGCTTGAGAAGAGCATCTACATCAGATATAAATATTCAGGATTCTTGTACCGTGTATCACTTCACAGCACACCAGTTTTTGCCTGGGTCACGAGGGATACAGCTAACAGTGAATAACATCCAAGGGTCACAGACAATATGTCAAAGCAAGTGAATCATTCTTCGCCCTGGGCCACTAGAAATGAAGCCGCATTAGGAAACATCTTGAGTTTGCAGTATTAACGAAGGCAGTAACAGACCCCAATGGGGGCTACATCTCGCCCGGTCATCGAGGTCTTGACGCCGAAGCTCTCAGCGTAATTGCGGAAACGGCTGTTATCGTCTTCGCATGATGCCGGAATGCTGACTCTCTGGGCTGAGCGTATGTCAGAAAGTGGAACAACATGGGGGCTATGGAATCCGTCGACCCCAGTGAGTTATCGTGAACATGTCACCCGAGCCCAAAACTGCGCTGGTGCCAATGTAAGGTTGACCTTCCACCTTAGCACTCTCCGTCTGGGCACTGTCGTCAGCTCCGAGTCATCGCAGAAGAGCCTCGTAAAAGATCCAGGACTCTTTTCTTCGGTGATGCATACACCGAAAAGATCCATATATTGACTCTGAGTCCCCATAAATGTTGCCTAGTTCCGATCACGCTGGCTTATCAGGCTACGATTTGTCTACGCCGTTCTTGTACATCAAGGCTTAGTACGGCGTAGAGCCTTGGCCCGGTCCGGATTTAAATCCTTGAGTCTCGGAAATATCGCTGCCTGTAATCAGTATCAGTACCTTCGACTTCTCTTCACATTTGGCTTTTACTCACATGATGAGAGATTGGAGGTGTAGTTCGGTGAAGACAAAACTGCGGCTGAAATCGCCCAATCGGGACACCTTCTCCACTGGAATCACATCCTAGACTGAATTGAGTCGAAAAAACCAGTAGATTGAGCCAAACTTTGCATCTGATGTGTTCAAATAATTCAATGGGCAGAAGGTTTGTGGCCGAAACAATCAAAGCTCTCGTGCCGACGGGAGGTCTGGTCGGAGCTCAACGGTGGTCGGGCCCCACAAGAAGCCGATCGAGGCGGTGGTCGGACGTGAACAAATGCCGGAAAGTGGAATCCGACACGGTTCGGTGCCCCCTCTCGACGGGCCAAAAAACCGGGGCAGCTTCAAACATGTATCACATCCCGATACCGTCTTTCCCCAAGAAGGCCTTTCTAAGAAAGACTTTCCCGAGCACCAGATAATTGCCCCATTAGTGCTACTTAGTGGTTGATACCGCGGAGTCTGTGGAGGGCGACAACATCGTAGAGAGTCTGACCAAGCATGTGTCAAAAGTCTATTCCAGCAGTAATTCTGCTAGCCATGTGAGCTATTAGGCTAATATCAGCGCAAACTCTCCATCATGCCACATGGTCGCGCTTATGCAATGAATATGAGCCAAGCCGTTGAGTACAAGTACCCTTCTCTCCCAGAAGTTGGGTTGTCAAAGATGACACAAGGCTTGGCGAACTCTTCATCGTCGATCTCAAGGTCTGGTCCCGAGATTCCGACATCCACCATTCACTGAGAAAACCGAACCCACCGTCGTAGAAGCAGGGGCTCTAGGATCTACTGCGGGGAAACGTTTGTGGCGAAAATCAAGTATATGTTGGAAGCGGCCCCAGTAGAGTCATATTCGACTTCAGCCATCCTCTGAGACTATCCACCCCAGCAAATGCACCCTCAGGCGACCGACTCGTGAGATGGCGGACACAACAGAGACAACCACACATGACTATAGGCGTTACGTCCCACCAAAAGGGAAGTACTCATCGACTGAGACTTCATTGCATTGTTGTCAATACCTAGCAGCGAAAAGCTAACAACAATCAGACTGGTCGCGGTTTGAGGGGATAGACGTCACTGATCGTCATAAGTATTCGGAAACCATCCTAGAAAGCCCCCATCTCGAGACTGTTCGGGAAGCTTGGAAAAAGAACCTCGAGGTCCCATTCTACGGCATCACACACGATGGAGAAAGGAAAGAGGGCTTGTATCAAATTCGAGATGAGGGCGCACCAACGAAACTGATGGGAAATAACAACGCTCAACTCTAGACAAAACGTTACATTGCGCCGACTTATATGCTCACTGTAAGCAGGTCGAAGCGGCTCGCAGCGTGCTAGAGTCGCTCAGTCCGTCAGAAAAGGCAGACGCAGTTGACGACTTGGACTCGGAGACTTGGTCAGTCGCTCACCCCAGATGAGATGAACCAGAATGTTGATTGACGACCTTCGCCTGAGCAGGAGAAAGTGGAGTAATCCAGAGTTTGTGTTACATAAATGCGGCGTGCGCCTCGAAGACCTCGGAGAATCGAAAACCGAGGCCATCATAGGTCTTTTGAAGCAATCTCTGAGCCCAGGCGGCTTTGCCAAGGTTCGAGGGGCAATGAAAGTCAACAAGTTCTTGGGAGAAATTTGTGGCAAAGAAGTCATCTTGAACGAACACAGTTACTCGTAAGAGTCCCGCAGCCTCCTTCCTTTCCCATCTGACCGAGACATTGCGTGCGTTAAGGTTCACGTTGTTCGGCGTACCCTCAGAAACAGAGCCCTGGGGTTACATGCTGTTTGGTCATCATCTATGCTTGAACGTTTTCATCGCTCGTCAGCAAATGGTGATAGGACCAGTATTTATCGGGGCTGAGCCAAATGTAGGTTCTACTTCTTCAGTTTAACCTAGGTCATTGACATAGCTGACGGTGCGAAAGACCATTGACGAAGGCCCCGACAAGGGTCTCACGCTGTGTGCCAACGAGGGCCAGCTGGGCTTGCAGCTAATGCAGTCTCTACCTCCAAAGCTGCAACAGGCAGCTCAAATTTATCCTACAATGAAAGATCCCGCAATGCAAGAAGGTCGGTGGAACCGAGCCGATCAGGTAAGACGTCCCACTCCTGTCTGCAGACTCGTTGCCAACAGATATTTATAGAGACACATGGCTGGAGCTTTCCAAGACAACCGTGTGATTCCTTACGAAGGCGTCGTCGTCACGGACATGACCGAGGAGCAGCAGATACTTATCATGGCTATTGTGCATGAGTTCTTGGCTCTGTGGCCATATGAACCACTCCGCCACCGCCTGAAGCAGATACTCAAGCACCTCACCGAAACGCACTTTTGTTGGATCGGCGGGTTCGGACCAGATGACCCTTTCTACTACCGAATTCAGAGCCCGGTGGCGCTTTTTGAGTTTGATCACCACTCGGGGGTCTTCCTGACCAACGAAGAGCCCGCCAAGTATCACATCCACACGATACAGAGACTTCCGAATGGCAATGATTATGGGAGGCAACTGCGGGAATCGCTCCGACCTCGATAGGAAATGAACGATCAAGTCACATCGAAGCATTCATCTGAAACGTCTTCGCTGAAAGCAACATTCTGGATCTCCAACTTTGCGTTGAGTGAAGGCCGAGAGTAGGAATAACATCCTGACTTGGCGCGGATTTAGGTGCATGAGGATCGCCACGGCCCGCTCAAGGCAACCAAAGGCACTTTTTGATTGACTTATCCACCATTTGTACGTCATATGTCAGCCGCATAGCTGTGGATTCTCGTAGAGCGGTTTTTCGTAATATGCCAAGACGTGATGATGGCGAAGCACTTGGCCCAGCGACCGTTGGCGGAGATGATGCGCCGTGCCAAAGCCCGCCGTCTTGGCCCGCAGGGCTCCACGGCTCGGGATTTTGAGTCGGCGGCGATCGTCACGAGTGACATCAGCCTCCGGAACAGAACCAACAACAGCATCTTGGAGATCATGTCGATGGAAGGCCCTCATGAAACGATGATTTCTAGGGGGTTCTTGGGCTCCCGTTCAGTTGCATTTTATTGCCCGAATAGCAACGGAGAATTGAATCTCAATTCTTGCAGCTTTGTTTCTTGCGCTCCCGAATCGATGATATAAAAGACATGGTGCAACCAACGATCACAGGCAGTGGTAATCAGCCTAGTCCCAAACCTTAACAATATAGTCTCGGAGAATAATTATCTAGTCACAGCCATTAGACAACGTCAGCTCGTCTCACTAAGATGCTGGGTACTATACTACCGAACCGATCACTCGGTGAGCAGACACCGACTGAGTTTACCGTCTTTTTACCACCCCACGCCATTTTCTTCGTAGCAGCGGGGTTGCTACTCTACTTTCTCTACAGACAAGCTCTTCCCAAGCCAATCCCTGGCATTCCTTACAACGAGGCCGCAACAAAAAGCATACTTGGTGATGTCGCTTCACTGCAAGAGGGTATAGCCCGAACGGGCACTTTCCAGATATGGCTTCACGAACAAGCGGCTAAACACAACTCGCCCCTTTTCCAAATCTTCATCCGCCCTTTTGGGAACCCTATGCTCATCCTCTCAGATTTCAGAGAGGCTCAGGATGTGCTTTTGCGACGAAGCAAGGAGTTTGACAGAGCAAGTATCGTGGGCGACATGATCTCAGGAGTTGTGCCCAATCACCACATCATCATGAAGACGAATAGCGAGTGGAAACATCACCGCAGACTCCTGCAAGATCTCATGTCGCCTCAATTCCTGAACGAGAACGCCGCGCCCATCATCTACTCCGGCATTTTGCAGCTCATCCAACTCTGGAACGACAAGACTCGCATTGCAGAGGGTCGCCCCTTTTTGGCCGACTCGGACATCTACTACTCAGTTCTTGATGCAACCACGGCCTTCTCTTTTGGTGCGAATGCCAGAAGTGCGATCCGCCCTACTATGGAGCTTGTGAAAAGCTTGGGTGCTGATGACATTCGCCGACGCCGAGGACTAACGCCTGCTGGCGGTGAGCAGCCTATGAGCTTTCCCACTGCTGAAATCGACGAGAACCTCAAGGCATCGCTTGATGTGGCGGATGCGATCGAGCAGCTCCAAGGATCACCCGTTCCTAGAATTAAGTGGAAATTCGTTGAGAGGCAACCCGCTGTTCGCCGAGCCGTCGAAATCAAGAATACTTTCCTCCGCGAGGAGATTAGCAAGGCCCTTGACAGAACCCAGAAATCCACGGCTTCAAAGGGGCTCTCTTCTGCCGTTGAACTCATGGTCTTGAGGGAAAAGAAGCTCGCCGAAAATGATGGGAGGAAACCAGATTTCTTCTCCTCTACGATGATGGACGAGGTAAGTTACTGAAGTATCCGCCCTCATTCGTTGATCGTCCCACGTCTCACACGTTCTTAGATCTACGGACTCATAATCGCAGGACATGACACTACCAGCTCCACCTTAGGCTGGGGCGTCAAGCTCCTGGGAGATAACACAGACTCCCAGTCCAAGCTCCGCGAAGTCCTCAAATCCGCCTTTGCCGGCGCTGTTGCCGAGAATCGGAACCCGACAATCAAGGAGATCATCGGAACCAAGATCCCATATCTGGATGCAGTCGTAGAGGAGATCGTTCGACATGGAAGTGCCGCCGTTCTTCTTGATCGCGAGGCTGTCTGCGACACAGAGCTCTTCGGATACCGCATCCCAAAGGGCACCGTCATCCTCTCGCCCGCGCGCGGACAGAGCATCCTGAAGCCCTCCATCCCGGTCGACGAGTCGAGACGCAGCAAGAGCAGCCAGAATGCGAAAGCCAGAGCCTGGGACGATGCAGACATCACGCAGTTCAAACCGGAGCGCTGGCTGGTCGATCCCAACGATGCTTCGCCCGAATTTGACCAGCAGGCCGGACCACAGCTTGCGTTTGGCTTCGGCACCCGAGGCTGCTATGGACGACGTCTGGCATACCTAGAAATGCGCATCATTGTCACAATGATTGTATGGAACTTCCAGCTGCTGCCATGCCCTAAGGAGCTGTCTAGCTACGCTCCCAAAGAAGGCTTCACATATAAGCCAAAGGACTGCTATGTGCGCTTGCAGGCTCTTCATTGAGTCAAGGATGATGAACTTGTACTTGTGATGTATTCCCAAACATGTTACTTTGGTCTAGGCATGGTGTTTCCTTGCTTTTTAGAGCTATTGAACGTACAATTAGATTGAGCTCGGGCAGTAAGGATCAGGACAGAGGCGTGCAGGTTTTACCAAATAAAGTATTATTCGACATAGAATTTTCATAACTATTCAGGATGGAAGAAACTGCCTTGTAGAATATCCTGGTTCTAGTGCTAATATAATAGCATTGCGCCTCTTAAACACCAAGTCCCTCCTTAGTTGGAAGAAGAGTGAGGGTTCACTCTAGTCTTAAGCAGGTTACTAATCTTGCTAAGGTAACTACCCTATCCAACTCTGGTTTTCAGTATAACAGAAAATATTGAAAAGGGGCGAAAAGTAAAAGCTCGGGTGCTCAGTTCGTGATTCGAACTGGACCCCTACGAAATTCTCTATCCGTTGCCAAACTTCCCGCTGAAGTAGTAAAGCGCGTGTTGCTAGTATTCTCCGCGAGATCCACGAGTGACCCTTTGGTTGACTTTGCCTCAAAGGCATGCAGACTCTATCTTGCAGAAATGCGTAAGCCCAGTCAGATGCCGTGCTTGTCAGCAACTCCTTGCGGATAGAATAAATGCATAGCGCATTAATATGTTCTACTTTCTCTTTTCGTGTACAGTGTTCCATGTTTACAACGATAATAGGGAGCGAACAGCTCACTACTAGAGTGACGTAGATTTCTAGCGAACTGATTAAGGTAAAGTAGGCCACACCCTCTCACTCAGTGTCTTATTTCCTATGCCCAACTCTTTGCCCGCAACACCTAGGATGCTTGAGCCCCAGCCTCGAAAACGTTGATAACACCGTCGCCATTCAGATCGGCCGGGTCACCGGGCGCTGCGGGAGTTCCATTCGGGTTGTTGCGGTCAAAGGTGCTCTGGAGCTGCTCGATCAGACTTGAGCCACCCCCACCTCCGTTTCCACCTTGCTTTGGTTCTCTCGTGTCCAATGTGTTGATTTCCTGGCCCTCGTCGTCATCTTCTTCGAGGTCTCTGGCGACGAGATCGTCAAGGTCTCTGTCAACAAGGATAGCGCCGCCTACGTCGCCACTGGGGTTGTTCGAGGCGACTCGTGCCTGGAGGTCCGAGATGGCTTCCTTGCCGGCCAACGGCTGGGGAAGTGCAGTCACGACACTGCTCAAGAATAGGACTGCGACGGTGGAGAACTTCATGTTTGCTGATGATGGAAGGAATAAAGAAGATTGCTGATTCGAGGTATAGTAGTAAGATTACGAAAGTTGTAGGACGATAACTACTGCCTGAGTAGTGGGCGAAGAAAGCTGAAAGACTAAAGAAAATTTATTGAATGAGATGAGGTGCTTCCAGAATCCTCCATATCTGGAGTCCCCGATGGTACCTTTTATAGCAATCGCGATCAGGTGTGTCTGAGTTCGTTGAATCCTACCAGGCATTGAGAGTGAAAATCCATCATGTTGATACAAAACTGTTTGGGCCTTCCTAGCTTGGGCATGTCAAAGTTGTTTTGGTGGGAACATCCTAAAACATGAAATGGAATGCCTCTCCAGTTCCCATCGACGGAAAACGAGATGGGGTTTGCCACGGCGATGCGACTGCTGACTCAAGCCCATGTGTGCAGGGCAGAAAAGGCACCCATAGGCAACATGGAAGTTGCTAGGCGAACCTCTGACTTATAGGTTGTTGAAACTACTTATTGATTCCGTCTCAACTCCCTTTGGTGTGACATATGTCAGCGTCTCAAACTGCGGCCCCTATTTGACTATCCTCTGACGTTCCCGTCAAGCTTAAAACTCTCGTTGGCTAGCTAAAACAGCACCAGACGTCCACACCGGTGTTTCATCTAATCACACACGATCAAGCTATTGAATTCGTCTGTTATTTCAGACGTAAACCTAGAGAAGAAGCATACCGCTTAAGCACAATGCGAAAGCGATGGATCAGACCAATTCACACACAGTCGCATGTTCTGCGGAGCCTATCATCGAAGCCCCGGCGGACTACAAGATGTCTCCCACTTTAGACATATCAACGGGGTCCTTGAGTCTCGATTCAAGATCGAAGTAAGGCGATGGGATGCGGGGGTCAACCTTTTGGCCAAGAAAAAGCTCGCAAAAGGCTTTTGTTGACAGAAATACGCGGGCCATTCCTGGGGAGGAATGATGCTTCGTCAGCATGCAATCGCAGGCGGGGGTATGATCGCTTGAAAAGAGGCAACTCCATTTTTCTCAACACGATTGTCTCGAAACCAGGAGCTCAGGAACATTGAAAAGACGTATGTAACATACCGTGACCGTGATAGCCGCCGATGAGATACTGGTCAGGCTTTCCAGGTAGCTCTCCTATGAAAGGCAAGAGGTCCTTGCTGAGCCCCATGATCCCGCTCCAAGCGAATGGAACAGGATCTTTGACCTCGGAAGTTGGACTATCGATAGAATCTTTCCAGCCCTTGAAATTCCGAGATGGACCTTCTTTGATGAAGTCAAGCACCTCAGGAACAGTAAAGGAGTCATCACAGTCTCCATAGCCGCCCTCAGGCCCGTTCGGATGTGCGCCTTCTCCTCCGCCCCAGATCAGGAACTTTTGTGACCCGGGACGCTGAACGAGATAGTCGTAATTATCATCGGACACGAAAGCAAAGGAAGTAGACAGCGGCAAGTCGACATATGCGGGCGGAGGCGCGATGGCAGCAACGTGACCCTTCAAGGGAATGATGCGCCCATCGAGTTCTGGCAGTAGATGGGAGGCATACCCATTGGTGGCGTGTATCACCTTGTTGGCAGTGATGTTACCGCGATTAGTTATGATGGTCCAACTACCAGAGTCACCGTCGGCTTGAGAAACTTCCAGCACTGGGGTGTTAGTCTCAAGCTGAAGGCCAACCTCAAGAGATTTTCGTATCATGGCGACTGCCAGCTTATACGGCCAAAGACTTGAAGCGGGAAACGTGATGGCGCCAAAGCAGCTTGTTATGCGAAGTGTTTCTTCGGCTTCGGCCTTTGACAAGACAGTAATTTCGGAGACGTCACCACCTGCTTCCTTGAAGCCGTTGTAGGATGCCAATCCGGCTTTCCAGGTGTTTTCCGTCAGGTACACATCCGCAGACCGATACTCGACGAGTTCAATCTCTTCTTCCAAGCCGTTTTCTCTGATAAAAGATGTTGTTTCTTGATGGTTGGCTGCTTCAAACGTGCATTGCGCCACAGCTACATTCGAGCCATGTAGCTTGGAGTATGCAGTGAACCCCCGGTAGCAATCGGGTTTGATATGTCCACCTACGGCACAAAGTCAACTCTCGTTGGCCGAATGTATGTTGACGATTTGAGATGGCTTACCATTTCTACCTGTAGCTCCGCTGACCGCGGCTCGGGCTTCGAGCATCAACACAGACTTCGGTCTGTTGGGCGACTGATCTGTGAGCAGCCGATGGGCAATAAAGGCCCCCGAAATGCCAGCTCCGATGATGACAACATCTGCTGAGGACGGAATTTCATGGCTAGAAGCGCTCAAACATCAGCCCGTCCGCTACTATGGACAGTCAACAAAAGAAGAGGCAGGGCGCTGACGAGCACCGTTCGCCATCATCATGTCAAATGAAGGATTGCACTAATGTTTGATAAGAACAGTAAACGCCTCAATGACTCTTCACTCTGGAGAACGCAATCATGGTTTGCGGAATCAAGACTTGGGCTCATTTCACTTACAACTGGTGATTGCTCATGACTGGATCTGGTTTGGACTGCCAGAACGCAGATGTTGAGTTGCCGACTGGCAACGTCGCCATGTAGGTTGGACTCGGCGCCATTGGTACATAAGGTTGGAGAGTCAAATCAGAGCCAGTGTATGATATGAAAACCTAGGTTCACGTTTAGTTCAGACTTGAAGAAGTTTATCTAACGCTCGTATTGAAGATGAGGCCTGCACTGATAAGCCAGCCGGTTACCCGAGGGAGCGCGGGGAACGTGGTCACCCCACCTAAGCTAGAGCTTTCCCCACCATCAACTTAAGAAGCAGACGATCTCCTCAAACATTCGATAGAGGGCCATTGCAAGGACGTCCATCATTCTCTAAACTCAGTGGCTCTGAATTTCGCCCTGAATAAAATCAGATCTTGCCTCGAGGAGCAGTTACAGCTGCTGCTTGCCAGCAAGTTGAACCTTGAAAATTTTCGCAAAGCCAAGTACAGCAGTCTATACCTGCGCAGGATATTTCCAAGCTTCGTATGCTACCCAAGCCTGGAAAATACCAACAGCTAGTCCCAGTATCCCAAGAATAATCGCAATGATCGCTCCAAAAAGTGTCGCTAGCATCACGTGCCTAGCCTTACTCCGCCGTTCCAACCAGACATAGATAGGTCTTCGAGGTCTTGGGTTCTCAAGTTCGTCGTACAGGTCCATTAACCGTGAACCCCAGTAATGGTATCTAATATCTCTCTCGGAGTCACGGAGGTATGGCCGGTACCCGAGACTGAGACAGTCGGGGTCGAAGGAAGCTTTCGAAACCAAGGATCGCAGGAAAGCCCGCGATTCCTTGTCTAGAGGGAAAAGAATATTCTGAAGGGAGTCTAGAGTCTCTAGCGCTAGCTGCCGCGGTAGGAGAGGCCTATGGTATTTCAGTTATAGCATTCAGTTCATATGCTTTCAAGGTCTTACTCCACATTGGTATCTTTTGAGGCTTTGAGACACTCCTTTAAAAAGGCAGTATGGTGATAGAGCTCGACGACCCCAGTCTTGAGATCCATCCGAAGGTGGTTTCGAAGGTCATCTGTGCCTCGGAACGACAGTCCAGCGACTTTCTTGAGCCTTGTTGCTTTCAAAGCTGACTTGATATCGGGCAGTGAATCGTCTGGCTCATTGAGGTCAGGATGGTCCCTCACTGGGAACATAGTCGATACCAGATCTCGCGCAGATTGCTCGTTTTCCCAGATGCTGGAATTACTGCCACAAGCCTGACCCTCGCACGAGCAGCTGACCATCAGAATGGCCTTGATGGCAAGGTTGAAGGCCTGCTTCTCGTCTTCCGGCACGGTGCTCTTGTCTATTTGCCTCTTCGAAAAATATTCTTCGATCAATTCGGTTCTCTGAGCCTCTGGTTTGGATTTGATCAACGCGATAATGTCATGTAGATCGCCATGCGATCGCAAGGCTTGAACCTCGTCCGGTGGGAAAGCATCAGAGACGTAGGACGCCGTTGACTCTCTGTAGTACTGGAAGTAGGGTTCAAATTTTGCCATCTCAGCCCTAGATGCTCTGTCTCCTTTGTTGATGCATATTTTCCAATCCCATAGAGCTTCACCTAGTTGCCGTAGCTGCAGTCTTGTGATCGACTCCAACGGGAATGTTTCCATCTCATACTGGTCCATTATGGGTGGAGAAACACAGAAGAAGTCTTACAGAAAGGCGAAAGAAACATGGAAATCCAACTCTTTGACTGGAACATGAATTCTCAAACGGAGACCAAGTCATTAAGAAGGAATGAATTGAGGCGATTCCAGGTGCGGCGCACGTAAGCTGGAAGCAGGCTATGCGATTGAATGCTGTCATTGGGTCGTCTGTACAACCCTGCCGCCGTGGCTGTATGCACATTGCGGCAGGTCGTCAGTCTCAGGGGGGCTGAGATGTTGACGTGGCAGTGGTGATTGGAACACGAATATCGAGGCGGGACATGGGAAAGCCCAACCCTGCTTGGTCAATTTCGCTCTATATGTAAAGGGCGTTTTGCCTCAGCTCTGGGCCAGCCTTGTGCATCTTTTCTCATCTTTATTCGTATTGGTCATTCAGTGCAGTCACCATGGCCGAAATATCTTTGGCAGTCGTCACTCGTGATGAAGTCATCAGCTGTTTCAGGGAAACACCACGGGAGCCACGAGCTTCGGGGCCAGCTCCAGATCGCGTAACTCCTAGCGCAAAATCATCGTCCGTGTCGCAAGATTTCACAGATTCAGGGTACTCGTCTCCAGATGACCCTACCGTGTCTGACTCCCAAGTCAGAGTTCAAGACAGTAAACAACCTAGGCCTAAAGGAATTCCAGTCAAGTTGGGCGGCCAGAATCTCTTCAGGTTCAAAGGTACACCAAGCAAGCAAACAAATGATCGATTCAACTACGTTATCGACCAGATAGAGCCATTACTACTCGCCCGCTTGAAGAAAACCGGGAGTCGAGTTGGACCGATGGCGTTTCGAACAATGATACTCGGGACAAACGAGGAGGACGCCGGCGAGTACATTGTCGTGCTTTGTCCCAAAAAGCTGTTGGAGACTGTCAACGACTTCTTCGATAAAACCAAAATCATCAAAGAGTTATGCGAGCCTACAGAACAGACGCCGAGACTCAGTATTATCGTTGAGGGTCGAGAACCTCGCCTAACGGCAAAGCTACTGCGCTCACTCTTGTCAATAGACCACAGTCACGTCGATTCAAATTCTTGGGTCACAAAGAAAGAGCCGAAAATCTGCGGATGTTCTCTCAGGCTCACAGGGAACCAGAAAAACGGAAAGACTGCTACGTTCGGCGGCATGATCAAGGTGATGGATACGGCCGGTGAAAGTAAATTGTACGGAATGACGGTGGGCCACGTCTTTAATGAAGACAAGACGACAAGCTCCGAAGAGACCAGCCTCGAAAGTTGCAACAGAGCTAGCCTAGCCAAGTCCAAATTGGAGTTAGGCTATGGTCATGAAGTGTGGGAGGAGTTTCGCACATGCCAAGTCTTGAAGAAGGACGAATCCCAGGAAGAAGGTCCGGATTTTGATTGGGCTTTGGTCGAATCTGATGGCTTTCTTCTACTCGGCCCGAATAATAACATGAGATACTCTCTCACGACAGATTCTGGAACATTTTTAGGTGATGAGCCCTACCAGGAGGTTGAGATGATCGCAGGCACCGATGAAACTAGACCTGGTCTGCTGGCAAGAGGATCAGCTCGATTCTGGTCAGGAACGGCAGGTGCGTCCACACCTGCCTACATTCTCACCTTGGAAGAGGGAGAAGGTAAGTCTCGCTTTATCTCATGATGAACACAAAGGTTTTCGGTTGACACTCATTCACAGTTGGAGAAGGCGACTCCGGTGCATGGGTTGTGGGGGCATTGTCTCATGAAGTTTTTGGCCACACAGTTGCAGTAGACATGTTCGGCGACGCATATGTTCTCCCTATGGATCAAACATTTGCAGACATCCAAAGAAGTCTAGGCGCAGAATCTGTTCAACTCGCTTCTCTACAAGACTGGACATCAACAAGGAGCCCCAATAAGCGGCCCTTCGAACAACAGTCACCCAAAGTCGGGCTTATCGAAGGCGAATCCGGTCATTCTAAGCGTCGCAAGAGTTCTCCAGTCCAGGCGGAGTCCCCAACTATGATGTCAGATGAAGAGGTTGTGACGATGGATATTGCGATAGCCCACGCTGCGCCTCCGGATTCCGCCTATGGGTCAGCGCATGTCACCCCGCAGTCAATTGACTGCCCATCTACTTTCGGTACAAGCGTCTTTACAAGTATCGATGAAAATTGGTCTTATGGCTGCAGTCCACCGCTTACTTCTACCTCGATTTGGGGGGACATGTCGACAATGGGGGATCTCCCTGAAGAAATTCTCTTCGAAGAGCTGTTCCACTCTGAGATTGCCCTCCCTGAGACGTCAACTGAGGGGAAGCGAAGAGGGTCATCCTCGTAGAGGAGACCAGCTACTCCGATGGAACGCTGATGTTGGATGGATTGATTAGAGGACAGCACGGAGAGATGTTGTTAGGGACCAGGAGACAAATGAGTCAAATTTCTCAACCACTCTAAGAAATACTTGAACCTTATTGTGAAATCTACTCCAATCACACTTTACTTGTTACTTATGGATGGAGCTATCCGCTAAGTGTCACAAGGCAAGACAGCTTTGAAGGATAAACAGACTTCCCCATCGAAGTCTAACGGGTATTCAACAGAGAATCGAAGCAAAAGAAGAAAGCCTAGGGGGGAAAAGGAAGGACAAGGTTCCCATCGGAAAGCATGACCCTCCTCCCTTTCCTAAAGCCCCTATTTATACATGTACATACAAGAACATCCAGTTGAAAATGCTGTCCTCACGGCCGTGCGCGTTCGCCTTCGCCCATGCCCTTGAATCCCTCAGCCCCTTTGCCTGTGCCCTGTCCTGTCCAGAAGTTTTCCCAGTGATGTGTGTGTGAATGGTGTTTTGTCATTAAAATGACCCGGATCTCGTGATGCCGAGTCCGGGTGGGATGCAATGCTGTCGCCGCCTGGTACGGCAATCTTTCTTGATTCATGAATGTGGAGGTGTGGTGGTCGCGTGCTCTACATGGGGGCAGGGGGCTCGTCAACCATCTCAGCGTCCTCGGCGACGGCGAGAACGGAGTCGAGCACACCGTCGGGACCTTCACCATCGTACGTCTTGCCGCCCTCGTACGTCTTTCGTCTCCAGCCGCAAGACTCTGATGGGTCCTTGGTCCACTCCGTTGTCGGGAAGTAGTGCTCGTTCTTCTTCATGGTGATGACCCAAGGTACGCTGTCGAAAGTGACAGCCTTCAAGCGGAAGTCTGCAAAAACACGGTTAGCGTATACACGATGAGAACTAGGTCAAATAACTTACAGGTGTTGTCTGGGATCTTCTGGACGGAAGCGAGGAAGGTCTCCAGATCAGGCGTCGCCTTGCCGTTGACGTGAGTGATGAAGTTGGTGGGCGCAAGGCCATACTGGTACGAAGGCGAGCCGCGGGTACGAGCCGAGACGTACACCTCGCTGTGCAGTTTGCTAATCTGCTGTCTGACGGCATGGTGAGGTCGGTGCAAAATGGCTCCACAGAAGGAGATGGCATGATCGGTCTCGACATCGTCGGCAGCGACGGTGTGGGCCTTGATGTGGATCTCCTCGCAGTTGCGGACGATGACGGCATCGAGGACCTCGTGAGAATACATAATATCCAGCTCGGAAACCTTGGTGATGACCTTGCCGTTGAGCGTGAGCAAGATGTCGCCCTCGAGCAGGGCACTTGACTGCTCACTGCGCTCAAAGGTTCGCTTGCTGACCATGAACAGCTGGTGGTGCGTCTTGTTGGCTTCGGTGACCTTGCCGATCCACTCGTCAGAGACGCCCATCACTCTAGCTTGAGCCATGGCGATGGCTCTGAACTCGACGGAGAGCATGCGCAGCTTCGGAACGATGCCTTGTTGAATTTGGGACACCACAGGTAGCAGAGTGGGCGTAGCAAGACCAAGGTGGTACTCCTCGTCGCGGTTGCTGCAAGGTGAACGCTCGCCCAAGTAAGTGAGCCAAAGTGCCTGGACCGTACCATCGTCGGCGACGAGAACACCGCTTCCGCACTGGTTGCTCAGACTCGTGTCAACAGTGATGGCATCGACGTTGATGGCACGGTATCTGGGTGCACCAGAGTTGGCCGGGATAGCCACGGCGGTGACCTCTGTGACTGTGGTGGAGGCATGGACAATCTTTCCAATCCTGTTGTATCCCATGAAGTTGGTGGAAGCTCCTTGGGTGATGTTGTCCGTGCTCAACCTCGCACTTTGAACGGGAGCATTGACCAGCGCCGGGTCGTACTGCACAATGGCATAGTTCTGCAGGGGGTGGAGGAAGACGACCTTGCCCTCGACAATGATTGAGTCCGCAATGGTGATTGTCACATCACACAAATCGTAAGGCACGATTGCTCTTGAGATGACGACAAGACCCTTGTCGGCATCAATCACCAGGCCCATGCCCCACTTCCGATTCTTAGGGAAGCCGTCCAGCTTAACAGGCATGGTGCAGTTGACGTGGACGAAGCTGCGCACCAGATCGGCAATAGCCGTGTGCTTCACATTCTCGAGCTGAATGAACGAAGCGGAGCGAGCAACAGGCGCCTTGGGAGGAAGGGGATCAGCCAAGTCAGTGAAGTCCCAGAGTCCAGTCTCGTCGTTCCGGACAGCCATCTTCATCTTTGCTGACCAATGTCGGTCGACGTAGATGATTGTCGTGTTCAGAGTGTGCAGATCACGCAGGTGCTTGTAAGTGACAACCACGCGGGACTTATCAGGGATCGTCTTCATCACCTCGATAAACGTTTCCAAGTCAGTGGTCTTCTTGTGGTCCACGGTTTGAATCAACCAGCCATTGTCCGCGTTATCGAATCTGAAAGAGCCAGTCGCCTCGCAAACGAAGACACCTTGGCACGCAACACCGTATAGACGGGCCTGCTGGTATGACAGGCTGTGGAAGCTGGCACCTGCGACGGATACGAAGCGGTCAGGGGTGATCTGGTGAAGGTCACCAACCTCGACATCGACCTCAATATCCTCACCGCCTCTTTGAATCTGGAGATGGATGGTCTTTCCAACATTTGAGTCCAACAAGTCATCCAGACGGATGAACTGACCCACACGCTCACCGTTCACCTTGACGAGAATGTCGCCCTCCTCGATCTTCTGGTCAGACTGTCCCTTGGGAAGGACGATTTCAGCAACAAGCATGTTGTTGTCCTTGGGGAAATGCTGGCGAGTCGCAGCCTCCGTCTCCGGGGTAAGGCCAAGACGTCTACACTCGTCGAAAGGCTTAAGGAGGAACTGACACTGAATGTCGCCTCTTGTGACGGGCTTGCCCTGGCGGATGCATTCCAAAGCTCGTAACGGTCGGTCCAATGGCAGGAAGTAATCTGTCGAAGCACCGTCGGATCGTCCACCAGCTTGCAGCGCCACGGCAAAGCCGTCTACGTTCACAACCGGACTGCCTGAACTACCACCACTGGCGGCGGCGTTGGCTTGGTAGTAGCAGGTGTTGAAGTCGCTGTACCCTTCCCCGTATTCTGGCGCGTTTCGGTCCAGACGACTGATGAAGCCAGACAAGATACTGAGCTTCTCTCCGGCATCGTTACCCACCACTCTGATCTCAACACCAACTGTCGAGCTGTTAGTGGATCCACTCCTTGAAAAGACTACCCATCAAGGTGCATGCCTACCCTTCGCAAGGTCCGGACGAAGCACCAGCGCATTCAGTTTCATGTACTTGACGGCTTTGGGGTCAAATCGAAGAATACCGAAATCGTGAACGGGGTCGCGGTAGACGGGATACGCATCAACTTCTTCGTGGTTATCGAAGACAACATAACCCCAGAACGGACCGGATCCAACAACGTGTCGGTTCGTCAAAATGTATCTGTAGTCCACTTCGTCAGCCCTCGGCCTCCCTGTGACCTGCAACAGTGAAATCCTTGTCTTACCCCTTCTGAGCGTCCACCACAAAGCCAGTCGCCTCACTCGTCAACGCCGCGTCCGTGTCAAAGGAGCAGGTTTGGCAGAAGCGAATTGAGACAACGTTGCTGACGACATTCTCAATTGTCTTTTGCCACGCTTCTGGCTCCTGCGTTATGGGAAGCATGCCGTTCAGCCGCGCGGTATCATCGAACTCGCTGTCCTCCTCACTCTCCTCGACGCGCTCAACCTCGGGTGTGTTGTCGCCAGCAGACAGCTTGCCATTCAGGGCGCGGTGCTGCTTGTGGGGTCGCAGGCCCTCAGGGCTGATAGGCGCCTTGCGCTTGGAGCGCGGTGATGCGCTGTTGCCGTTCATGTTTACGGTCTCGGTAGTTGTGGTTTGGGTAGAGGACTGCTCGGTTTGCTGCGGCGTCGACGAAGGGTTAGGTTCGACGGCGGCAGAGAAAAGGCGGCGAGTCTGGGCGCAGATGGTTCGTCGCGTTGTCTTATAGCTGGTATCTTTGGGAGCAATGGCTCGAGCTATACGGGAGTAGCCGCGTTGTGCGAACGGGAGGAGCTCGAGTTGGCGTCGAAAAAGCTGGGGGGAGGTAAGAGTGAAGGTGGTGGTGGTGGTGGTGGATGGTGTCCAAGGTCGTCGTGCTAGTACTGCCGGGGTGGATGCAAGGCTCAAGCAAGTCCCTCTGCCTCTGGTAAAGACGGAGCGCATCCAGCGAGAGAAGGTGGAAGAAAAGGATGGCAACCCTCAGCTGCGGACCCGAAAATGAACAATGCCTTTGTCAAATGAACGGCAGGGAATTGGCTGTACTGGGCTATCAGGGTAGAGTGTGACAGAACCTGAAGCTATTGCGCATGTGATCCCCTATGAGTGTGGGAGAGGAAGCAATCTAAAAGAGTTATGCTGAACGCGAACACCTTTTCCAACGTTGTCGTCAAAAATTTCAGTTGCGGGACGATGGCAAACAAACAGGATCTGTCCGATATGGGGGTCACCCAGGTGAGATCACCAGGCTAGATGCATAAGAGCCCGCTTAATGGGTGCATGTCCCGGGTGGGTGTCCATCCCTGCTATTCTCCCCACTAATTCCCCGGTTGCTGATGTAATGTGACACTAGCGTCCCTGTTGAGGCCTGTACAGTTCGCTAAGGCGGTCTGGCACTCTGGCAGAGTTCACTCTAACACTCTTGACGGCAGACGTCAATGAGTGTGTGCCTGGCCCGCAGGTCGAGATGGGACGGAATGGATCATGCTCTCACCGCAGCACACCACCAACGACCGAACTTCAGGCTGCAAGAAAATGCAGGTCTCACAACGTCCTGCTCGAATGACCGGCCGGGATGCACCTTGAATGGGAGTCTATGTTCGGCGACCTGATTCGTCGGACAGCCGGTTTATCGATTGTCGGGCGAGGTTCGGGGCTTCACCACCACCCGCCAGCCTATGGTAGTCGGTTGATATTGCTCCCCAATACGAACAAGTAGGTATTCGTCGCCACCGCCCTTCAGCCACATCTGATTCCATACTGTCTTTCTACCTCGGCACGCTTGGTTTCCGGGTCGCAATTGCCCCGGGGAATAGTATAGAGTGGAATGCAGCGGAAAGACACACCGAAGGAGCGCGAGGCCTTAGACGATGGGGACAGCAATCGAGCCAATATATGAGAGTGAAGAGTATCCCTTTTGATTTCTGTTGGCCTGAACTAACTAAGAGACGTATGTGTACGCAAGAGCAATGGGTCACACTGTCTGTCTCCCCTTCCAAGCCATTTCAGAGTAATATCCATTCCTCGCGCGGAACCCAATGACAGCCAACCGCAGCCATGTAGAATGAGACAACCATCCAGCGATGGTAGTAAGTATAAGATAATCTACTGCTCGCCATCCTTCTCATCCTTGGTCTCAGCCTGGGCCTCATTATCAGCTTCAACCTTAGCCTCAGCCTCCTCGGCCTCGGCATCGGCCTCGGCCTTGACCTGGGCCGCCTTCTTAGCCGGGGTGCGACGCTTCTTGGGAGTTCCGTCTGTTTGGCAATGAATCAGTTACATGCCCCGTTGAGAAAAGAGTATTCGGAGTTAACACTTACCGGCGGTGGTGGAAGCAGCGCGCTTCTTGGGAGTGACCGCCTTGGTCTCCTCGCTGCCCTCTTGGTCGCCGTTGGCCTCCTCATCATCCTCGGCAGTAGTGACGGCCTTCTTCTTGGCGGCAGTCTTGCGAGCTTGGAGAGATGTCAGAATGTACTAAAGACATGAGTGGAAGAGAGAGAACTTACGAGTCTTGGGCTTCGGGGCAGGAGCCTCTCCGTTCTCGCCAGTGTTGAGCTCACGCATCTGAGCGACGATAGCAGTCCACTGGCCCTGCAGGGCCTTCGTAGTGCGGCCCTCCATGCTCACGTTCTTCCACTCGACGCCCTTGCCCTCGGGGAGCACAGTCGCAAGCACGCGAAGGACAAGCTGGAACTGTATGTCTGAATGTCAGCCACATGAAAAGTAAAAGTAAAAGTGAAAGTGCCAGACTTACGCGCGCAGCATCGGTCCAAGCACCGACGCGAGCACCAGCAGGAGCAGCCTCGCTGCCGTTAGCGGTAGTAGCCTTAATGTCAGCCATGTTAAAAGGATGGTGTTCTCGTGCTCTAGAAATGATTGGTTCTGTCAGTCACTGAAGATGAGGTTGATATTGAGATCACAAGTGGAGGGTAAGACAGATGAGGAGATGAGCAGAATGGAGGGAAACGGTAAGGCAGGAAGGAAATTCTGAATGATGGTAATAGATGGAGGAAGGTATGTGGGGTGATAGATTAAATCGACAGTGATAATGATGGAAGGAGTCTGAGTGAGGTAGGTGAAGTGTACAGGTATGAATATTGACTGATCACGTACAGTATGGGCGACGAAGGATGATGTAGTTGATACAGCTAAGCTGTGTTGCTGAGGTGCGATAGTATTTGGGTGAGAAGAAAAGTGTGCGAGTGTGAAGGAAGTGTGAGGGTGAGGAAGTGAGAAGGATTGAGTGAGGGTGGAAGCGCTGGGTTTTATGAGAGATGGATTAAGTGGAAATGGGGAAGGAAGGCCAGGGAAAGGCAGGTTCAAGGCGTCTCCTTCCTTTCGTCCTTCTGTCCTTTCAAAGAGAACCCGAGCTACCTAGGGTTCTCTCAGTGAGGAATGGGATCCCTCATCAGAGCAAGTTCTTTGGAGGAAGGAAGGACGCAGAAATACAAGAGGAAGGCAGTCAGCTCGCTCAGAGACCTCTCCACTCTTGATGAACCAAGACAGGCAACAAGTGTAGACCTCAGTGATGAGATCCCACTTTCCATAAGAGCTCCTCAAAGTGAGAGAAAGGGAAATGAACCAAAGAACCATATAGAACTCCCCAAACTCACATATCGCAGCTGAGATGTTTCAGTAAGATCCTCAAGTAGTGCCCATGTTGATGCCAGCACATGTCGCTAGCGAAGTATTTGGGCCCCTTCCCAAAGCTCGTCTTCAACTTAGGTCTCGCGGGTCTCAGCGGGGGAAGCGAAACCGCCTCCTTCCGCACACCGAGAGTCTTCGCCATGAGTTTCGATAGAAGCAGGGAAAATAGGTGTAGGCGAGTAGAGGCAAAGTAGAGCAATCTTCGAATGTCGTTTCGATTTCGTAAGGCGACAACCGATCACCTCTAGACTAGATCCTTTCAAAAAATAGCATTGATTGCAAACGAAAAAGTTGTTTCAGAAACGGTTCGAAGAAGAGAAGAAAGGCAAGCAAGTTCCATTGGACCAAAGTCACGACTGCGCGTAGCTAGACGTTTCCTTCACTGGATCGCGAGATCTAGAACCGTCACCCCCTCGAGGCATGCCCAGGTCTCCGCCCTTTTTGGGAAAGACACACAGTAAGCAAGGCATATGGCTGTGAGCCTAGGACCATAAAGGACGACATAAGCAACCCGTACCGTAGAAAGAGAATAAAACAAAACAAAAAGGCCTGGTTAGCTAAAGGAAGGGAGAGAGGTTAGTTTCTAGAAATAAAGGAACTCGCGATAATTTCAACTCTCACTACCTTGACGTTGACGCAGTATCCAGAGGAGCTGACTTCTTGACATAGAATTCCACGAAACATCCCTTTCCTATCAACTACAGGAGTGGCGGAGGATGACAATTGCAGAAACAACACGCAAACAGTGAAACAGGTGGAAATTCACGAGCAGTGGACCAAAGTATCAACGATTAAATGCATAATTCTAGTGATGCTGGTTGTCTATTCATCTCCCCATACCTAGTTGGCATTGAAGAGCTTCAACCAAGCTTGGGGATAGCCTCAAAAGGGGGCTAAGTATCAGATACAATTGCACAACCCGATCCACCCATAGTAGCCAAGGCAAGAAACAACCAAGGCTGGCGAGACCGAGGTAACCGTAGGTCAGCACAACCGCAAAGGATCGACCCTTAAAACCCCAAAAACCCAACGTAAAAGAGCAAACTGCAGAATGTAGCGCAGATATGGGGTTTATACACACACGCCTTCCTCCTCGTCTAAGTCATCATGGGGTTATCGCCGTTTACGATGTCGGCGAGTGAGTGTATGTGCAACGCGGCCTGGTCGATTGTGTCAGTCAAGAGAGACAAGGTCGAACCGTGATTAATATCCTCTCAAATGCCGGGTATTATTCCGTGTCGTTTCCCATTTAGTCCGAGCTGTCGTCAAAGTTGAAAAATACACCTCCGTAAGGTAAGAACAAGGATTTCGAGGGCAGAATAATCCTTCCCAGGTAGGAGGCGCTAGTAGAATACGAGTCTCCGCTCATGCCATCTTGTCCTTGTATACCATGAACTCGCGAATGCGTGCTTCATGGTCTTCGCATGCGACAGCCCACTTTCTTCGAACCTCCTTGTCTTGTGCCATCCACTCAAGATACTCGTGAATCTCATCGTCACCGCGGGAGACTAGGAATGAATACCCCTTGCGAGCTCGGAGATCGGCGATGTTTGCCTTACGAGCATTGAAATGCTCAATTACTTGAGCGTTGAAGATCTCCCATCTCAAAACGTAACTCTGGAAGTCCTGGGTGTATTTCTGCCAGGCGCCGCCAGTTGGCTTCAAATTGACCGCGAAAGTAGGCGGGGGTCGAGGTGCTTGCGGGATGACCGGGAAATCGAGCGACGGTTTCTTCTCCTTCTCGATCGGAGCGTGGCCTGAGGGCTGACTCTCGAACGGCAGATTCATCTTGAGGTCATTCAGGGAACCTAGGCCTGAAGAGCTTTGCGCGAATGGCGCCACGTTCTTAAGATCGGCAAGGCTGGCCCTAAACTCCTCGCTGTCTTCCGAGCCGGCGTTGTTCGGGTTGAATTCCGACTTTCGTACAGGTAGCTTCGGGCCGTTTTCTTGCAAGCCATTGCCAGGCCTCCATTCTGGTCGAGACGGCTCCACAGGAATATTTCTCGCGCTGTTCGAATGATCTCGTTTTTGAGAAGATCCAGTCTGTGGAGGATCGATGTCCATAGCATTCGGGCTATTCGCACCAATAGGCTCCGCCATTGACTTCCGTCCTCTCCACTCGGCCTCCTCGTCACTGTCGTAGTCATCATTCACCAGTCCTGCATTGCCTCCAGCTGTTGGCTTGACCTTGGTCTTCCTAGAGTTCACGCGAGAAATCCGGGTAGGGGATGTTGATGTAGAGTGCGTCTTGCGTGGTACGAAGTTTTGGGCCCCAATCTGCTGAGTCCAGTCCTGAGCATCAAACTTGCCTTCTGCAGAAGGTGATCCTGCCGGCTGACCCGACATGTCCTTCTGGTGTCTCAGGCTTGTGCGCTTGATCGGGGATCGACGGCCTACGCGGCTTCCGGACTGCGAACGAACCTTGGCGGCTTGGTCCTGGATCGGACTGCCGGCACTGAATTTCCAAGCGTCTGGACCATCGCCATTTACAAAGCTGGTGTCAATTTCCTCGGTGCTCCTTCGGCCGAATGTTGGCTGCTCTGGAGCAGCAGTTCGGGTAAATGTATCATCGTCGATCGGGAAATTGAAGCTATTAGTAGTTTTCTCGTCAGCTTGGTTCGGTGTAGTATCATGCTCAGTGTCAATCGTGTGGCGCTTGTCACGGCCAAGCGGTGTCAGGTCTGGCGCCTGTCTTTTGACGAGCTTGCTCAGAAGTTCACCCTGCTTTCGCTCGAATGGCGTGAGGGAGTCGCTTCTCGACCTGTCTCCACTGGGAGACGGCGAATCGTACAGTTTTGCGTTGCTCGACTGCACAGGAAGCGGATGCTGGGTTGCATGACCTGTGCGAGCCTCGACTGCTGATTTACGCCGCAGATTCGGGACCGCAAAAGAAGAAGAACCCGGGGAAAAAGATGTTTCGTACATTGAAGCTCCTTGTGGCGTGTTTGTGTTCCCCGCACCTGCGAAGAATATTAGCTTTTGCTGACTTATAACGCTTTAAGCGATCTCACCATTGGCATTTTGGGAAGCAGCGGCCTTCGCATTATTCGAAGCAGGACCAGTAGCCGTATTCGGTGGGGTGTATCTTGCGCTTGCGCGGGATCTAAAGGGGTCCTTAGGGGGGTTGGACGCAGTCTCAGTCGCCGTGTTAGGGCGGTCTTCTTGCGGCGTCGAAGTCGACGTGCGCGGGCTCGACGGCTCAGTCCTTGCTTGGCGCGGGACACTCTGGGCACGCTGACGAGCGCTGCCAGGCGAAAGGTTGGGCCCGTAGCTTTCCTGGGGTGGCCTCGGGCTTTCTCGGGTACTTTTAGCTCGTCCCACAGAGATGCCATCGAACGGGTTCAGTTTCTCGCCGCCGTGTGACATGTAAGGAGTGCTTTGGCGGGAATCTGAGTTGTCCCTAAATTGTGCCAAAGGGTCTGGCACTCCTGCCTCTTGCTGTCTGCGCGCATTATCTGCGAAAATATTGGTGTGCCGGGACGAGGTGGAGTAGTTGGACGAGTTCACCGGAGGTTCGTCTGCAGGGACTGGCGAGTGAGGGGTGTAGCCAGGTTTCCGCCCAAAAGAAGCCTCCGCCCTCTGTTTCTGAGAAGGAGTCCGGGGGACTGGTCGCTTTGGAGTCTCGGGGGCCTTTGCAGGCTTTGGCTGAGATTGACTGGCCCGACCCTTCATATTCTCAAACGCGTGCCAGGCATTCCGCTTCGCTTCTGGGTCATCTCTCGTCTGCGTCTTAGCAGTGGGAGCCGTGCCCGAGGCAAAGTTGCGATATCTGCTCGCTCCTGAGGGGGGCGGAGGCGGCGGCGGATTGCGAGCTGTCGCATTACGACGAGGTGGTGGAGGAAAGTTGGCACCAGCGTTTTGCCAGGGGTTGCCTCGGACTCCGGACGCTGTGGGATATCTTGATCGTGTTCGCCCGGCATCGTACTTGGCTCGTTGTTGAGGATCAGTAAGAATTTCGTGTGCTGACTGAATGACCTGAAATCGAGAGTTGACTTCGGCTTCTCTGCCCGGGTTTCGATCGGGGTGGTACTTGAGTGCTAGCTCGGGTTAATCAACCCGTTCGATGGGAAGAGATCAGTCTTGCCTTACCTAGCTTTCGGAACTGCTTCTTGATCTCATTGGTATCTGCGTCCGCCGGGAGCTCTAGGTCCGCGTAGTAATCGCGGCTCATGTCAACACCTCCCATCCTGACGGTGGATTGATGCTTGACAGACTAAAGACTCTGGAAATGCTGGCTCCTTTGTCCAAAATGCATACCAAGCTCGGGATTTCTCGTTGTGGTGAAGGGTTATAGAGCCGTAGACCAACTGAAGCACACTTGGGGTTATCGAAAGTAGCTTCGCCCGTCTGCGTTGAAGGGTGCCGGGATCTAGCAACACAGCCTTGTGCCGGGTAGGTGTTGGTGTGGCGTAGCTAAGAAGTGTCGCCTGCGTAGATGGTGGCTGAGCAAACTGACGTGACAGTCAAGATCCGCGAAATGATCGGGTTCTCCAAGCACCGTTGTTTCGATCCGGAAAACGTAGTCGCAAGAGCTGTCTGCAGCTTCGGTTTCTACCACGTCGGCAGGCGGAGGTTCGTCTTCGGAAGGTCGATCGAAAGTTATGGATGTCTGTAAGCAGGGGGGAAAGTAAAAGAATGAGTGGACTAAGACAGCAAAGGAAGTCAGCAGTCGGGTCACGAATAGTTTGGGACAAAGTACTAAATATTTGCGCAAGCGGAAGTTATCGTTGTGAAAGGCACGGCAGTAGGCTCGGACGAGGTAAGCAGTCGCGGAAGTAACATAAGGTGAAGGGGAGAAGGTCGGCAGCTGCTCCCCACGGATCTGGAAGGCTTGCTGTTTGTTGCCCCACGCAGGTCGCAGCGTTATGTTGAATAGGCGACTACTGTACAGCAAGGACATGCGTCGATGCTAGATGACGGAAGCAGGCACCGTGGGGGGGGAGAGGAAGAGAAGCGATCCGAAGCAGGATGAACTTGCCGGGCTGAGAGGTCGAACCAACCAGTCGACGAAAGGACTGGAGGGGCAGGGAGGTATTCGACAGTGGTTGGTCCTTCACCAGCGTGCTGCTAGACCATCTCACATAAAGGAAAGATGCGGTGATGATTGGGTAGATGCGATGCGACGTGCGTGTGTGGGAAAGCAACTCACCGAGATGACGTCAAATTGGGAAGCTGCTGCTGCGGTGCAGATGCCAAAAGCTGACTGCCGTGGGCGAATGTCGGACGAGAGCCGCGGGTGCCCGACGGGAGACGCGAGATGGAAGAGACGCAGATATATTGCGACGTTGTTCCAAGGAAAGGGGTTCGCGGGTAGTTCGTCAAGAAGAGAAGAAAGGAGCCGCATCGGCAGGTGCGAAACCGAAAAGGAAGAAGCAAATATTATTCGCAACTGAACCTTTGTTTTTGACGGGCCGTCCAGTCTCAATCCACCTCTGTCCGTTCGGTTGCGCGGGCAGCAAGGAGGGATGGATGGGGTAAAAGGGTCTAGTTTTTAGAAGGGTTTCCAGGGACTCCCCGGCTATCTGCCACCCCCGGCTGCCTCGAGCTCCCCGACCGTTGCCTGCCCTGCCCACCTGTCTGCGCCTGGTTGTTTCTCTCCACCAACACGGACGGCACCTGCCCCTCTCCTGGCGGCAAGAACGCGTGTGAGTGCGCTTGACGCTGTTCTCATCCTTGCTTCAACATGACCTTTGCAAAGCTACAATCTAGCCCAACCACCGCCACATGCTCCTACGGAGGTAGGCAGTGGAAGCGCAGGGTAGGTAGATATCTACGGATAGGTAGCCGTGATTAGCATCACGTCGCCCTCGTTGTGGGGACCTCATCGTCTCAAGCCTCACCCGAGTTGCCTAACCTCTCTTTAGTCAGCCTATCCAGCTGGTGCTAAGCCACCGTTCTAGCGTGGAATCTCGGCAGGCGTGATGCGTGGGCATCGTCTGGGCCAACGAAGAGTTGGAAGCTGAAGGCTGAAGCTCCCAATGCCCAAGGCACCTCGTCTGCTGTGGACACTTTGCTGATTTGACGGATTCTGTGCCGATGCATTCCAGTCACGAGGGCATCCTCAAATCTTGAGAGACAAAACGTTTGAAGGCGAATCCAATCTGCGGCAAACTCGTACCGGCCTAAGCTGACACTAAGGTAGGTAGTAAAGTAGCTTGAAAATCTCCGACTGGAGCTAGCTGAGCTGAGGAACAAGAAGGCCTCAGAACCCCCCCATTGCGCCTCATATACCTATGCCTATGACGCCTCTTCAAGATTACCTGAGCCAGATGGTGTGTATGAGCTACCTATGTCTAGTCAATCAAGTATTCTGCAACACGTTGAGGCGATTAGAAATATGTACGACCAGTTCGTCACTACCTACCTGACCGTTGCCCCGACTCCCCAGCTTGGCTCATCTGCAGTAAGCCCGCCGGACGCCTCCCCCGCATGAACCAAGTCCTAGCTGCGCCGGCCGGACCTACGTAAACATCCTCCAGAGCTGCAACAGCATATGTCCCGCGCCACAAAGCCGGTTTCTCTCTTCCCAAGCTTGAACCCCGTCCAAATATACGCAACAACGCGTAAGAGGGGATGATCGGCAACCACCTTTCCTGGGGATCAAACGTTTGTGCTAGACGACGTCAGGATCAGGACCCGCCCCCGCCATCTAGACAGACAAGGGTCATATGGGTTGCCCAGTTGCTCAGTTGCCCTGCTTCAGCAATATTGATCTCTATCAGTGATCTCCTTGTGATGAATATGATCTCAAGATGATTATATAGACATAGGTAGGTCCTTCTCTCATCTCTAGCTGGGCGGCTACGTTCATCTCGACCTACAGGAGTACATAATACATGTACTCATGGGTGCCTTTCTGAACTGAGTCGCATCCTCTCGTTCTTGTCACCCAGATAATCTAGATACTTTTCGAAGATTCCTGTTCGAGACTCTGATGTCGTGGTAGTCACTCTAGTCTCTGAAACCTTAAACGCTGCTCCAAAACTGTCCCCTCTGCTAGCCGCCTAGCACAAATCAGTCCTTGAACGCCATCGCTGTGAAGTTGTTTCCCAGCCCCTCTGTGTTTTACTTTTACATGCATAGTAGACTTTGGATGTTATGTGGAAGTCGGGTACCCCAGGCCTCGGTCCCGTAGCATCAATGGCAACCATCTTCGTGAGCTTTCCTCAATGATTCCCTCACGGAACCTCACAACTGGGTCGGCGCAGTGGTTTTCGTCCACCCCCTGTTCTTCATGTTCGCCTCGATAGCCCTCCAGATCGACTCCGCAGCTTCCTTGTCCCTGAACTTCGCCGCCTCCTGAGCACCAGTTCCATCACGCCAGCGGTCAACGCCGAGCTGCAACACGCGGTGACCCCAGTCCTTGACGCTGTCTGGCGGCTGCTCCCCGCGCCAGCCGATGAAGATGCCCAAAATACGACGGAACAGATCCGGAGGAGAGCTCCACTTGTAGTTCTTGAACTGCCACGACTGACCAGTGGTAAAGACGGCAACGACGCGATTCCAATACTCGGGCTTGAACTGCTCAGGGCCCTCGACGAGAATAAAACGCATGGGCCGCGATGGGTCGATCTCTTTCATGACGCGGGAGACGTGCAGCATGCTCGCAGCAGCACTGCCGTCGGGTTGCACGTAGCGCCCTCCCTCGAGGAAAGAGCGAATGTTGGACAAGCGCAGAAGAGAGGAGGCAGAGGGCGAGAGGAGGATGATCGGGTCTGGCCGGCGCGTCGGGGCCTTCTGGTTGAGCGCGAGGGACGGGTTGGCGCTTATGTTCGACGAGCCATTGGGCTTCTTCTGGATGAAGGGAACAGCGAGTTTGCGGACATGGGAGAAATCCTGAGAAGAGTCGAGTCAGCCATACGTTACTTGGTTGCGAGATTGATCGCGACTCACCGTGTGCTTCACGCCGCGCAACACAGAGTTGCGATCCCCCATCTTGCGCTCTCCATTGTAGATGACCGCCAGTCTAGGATCCAAAGCGCCTCGTCCAGCTCGACTTGCCGCAGTTGCTGTGGCAGTTTTGGACGCGCTCGCACTAGCTCCCTCCTTGCCGTCCTTGTCGCCAGCCAAAGGCTTGATGTGTTCACTCTCCTCACTAGCGCCTTCCAGCCAAGTAAACAAATCTAAACGTTCGACGAAGGCAAGGTTCTGGACAGTGCCCAGGCTGCCCAGCTCTTCGTTAAGGCGAGTCGCGCTCGCATTGTATTCGGGGATCGCAACATCCTTGTTGAGCCAGGCGAAGTAGATGGATCGCAGATCGACCGGGCGGTCGCTTGAAATGAAACGCGTCGGTGTCGAGAGCGATACAGAAACGGGGGCTGGGTGTGAGAAGAGTAGATAGGTCGCTTGCGAGAGAGGAACCTCGGTCGCAGAAGCATCGGCTGAAGCTGTGGGAACTGCAGGTCGTTTGGATGCGATGGATTGCCGCAGCAGGAGCAATGGATCCTGCTCGTTAGCAGCCATGATGAAGGGTGGAGAAAACGATGAGGCTGATATATTTCGGGCCCTTATAAAGCTTCTGGAAGCCTGGACAGATGGCCAAAAGGCGTGGATGATCGAATTGAGCGTGACTTAGGTTGTATGTGCAGATGCGACGGAGTGTCTGCCAGCCTCGAAATTTGGGGCTAGAGGTTCAGCCTCACATGCTGGCTATCACCATTTTCAGCCACATCTCATGGGCCCATATTAATCGCATATCAATACAGCTGCGCCACAATTAGGCCTTCTCTACACCTCAAAGATTCAAGCTGCTTTCTCTCAACCTGGGCCAACAACTTCCTGAATATTATTAGATTGGATGCACAGTTACTTCGAGTGGCGCTCAATACATATAATAGGACTGCAAGAATACGTTAATTTGATTTCATCTAGGTCATGAACGAAGCCTAAGCCGGCATCAGTCCCACGTTGATCTTTCATCGGTCTCCGAAGTGATTGACACTTCTGACCCTTGCCGTCTGTCACTCATTTTATGCTCTAACTTGAGTGTATACTCTTTTCTCCCTCTTCCATGATAAACACAAACTCCAACACCACCTGACGAGTGTTTAGGGTTCGCCGGGCACATTGGACTGCTGGGTAGGTGCTCCGGGAGATCGAATTCGAAATTGCGAGGCCCTGTTAGTCTCCGCTTGGGTTGTGTTCGTTGCTTCGCTTCCCACCACTCTTTGGGTCTTTTCGGGAGACTATCGTCACATCTTTTTTGGTTTCGTTTAGCGCTTGTAGATCTGGCCGGTCGAGCAGCGTCCCAGGTATCACTGTCTTCCCCAGGTGGTACCATGTCTGTGAAAAAGCATCGTGGCTTCCCATCCGCAGTGTCCTCGTGCGTTGGCGGGGTTCTCACTCTTGTTGCTTCCTGGCATGATGGTCAATCAATTCCTGCTTAAAGGTGATCAGGATGCACTCACTCCAGCAGGATATGGCGTCAGTGTAAAATCTTGTTGGCCTGTTTCTTGAAGTCAGCTTCGGTCAAGATCGACGATTGCTTATGTCCTACGACTCAGAAAGCCCTCGGGATCAGGCGTGACAGGTGGCGTTCTGCCGGCCAAAACGTCTCGCACGGAGCTTGTGGCACTGCTGATGGTATCATTGGAGTCTTTTCGGTGCCAAGGGGCCTTGCCGAACCAGCCCATACCTGTTGCTGTAGACCTTTGATCTTCTTTATTGGTAAACCAAGTCAGTGTTTTGGACACCGGAGAGCTTGAAGCAATCTTTGGCGCGTCAACGAGTTGCTCGGAGGTCTGAGATTCTGATATGGACCCGGACGATTGTTTCTGCTTGACATTAGAATACACCCCGCTCAAGCTAACAATTATGTACTAACATTCATATTCTTGAACAAAGAGAACATTTTGATGCTTCTACGGCTCTGGATGCTTTGGCTTATCGACGGAGCACCAGAACTTGCGCGGCTAGCTGGTTCTAACGGCTGCGCCAGTTCTGGTGGAGGCTCTTGGAGTATGATCGTCAGTTTCTCCTCCGGTAGATTCATGGTCCGCTGAATGCTTGGCAACCGGTCCAAAGTAGGTCGTACTGCGTGAAGTAACGGACTCTGCAAGAGCCGAGTCTGAAACGCCTCCGAAGAGGGGCTCAGTGGCCCATTTGAGCCAAGGGCGGACATTGTAGACGGGGAAACATCTGGAGGCAGCATGTCTTGCTCACTGGTGCTGCTGACATTTCGAAATTTAGGGGATCTGTTGCCGAATCTCCATCGCTTGTTCGCGCTGCCTTGGCGCTCTTTCCCAGAGATGATCTCCCGCTCAGCCCAATATCCTTCTGGAAACCAGACCTACTCGCATCCTTCTTTGGGGGGCCTTGGGGGGTCGTGATAGCTTCCAGGCCGCGGAGTCATCGGCCAGTCTCTTGGAGACGGCTGAGTGGGAGTTGACCTGGTGCTGGCTCGGGGCAGTGACTGCGGCGTAGTAGGTGTTCCTGGCAGCGAACCGAAGTAACCATCACACTGTCCTCTCTTGGGTGTACTGGATCCATCCCAGCTATCTCCAGGATCAAATTGCGATCCCTCAGGACAAGTGATTCGGAGCGCCGTCTTGAAGGACAGCCTCTGAACATCGCGACGAGATATGGGATAAGACTGCGAAGACGGTCTGTGAATTAGGGTCAATGTCAATAGCTGTTATTGCTAGCACCTAGCAGACTTACGCCCGTTTGCGAGTCCGGACGGGATCCTGAAAAGGGGCATCGAATGCCGCGATACTCATCGGCAGACCAGTTCCAGACCCCTGGCGTCCTGTCGCTGTATCATGTCTGTTGAGTGCAAGAATAGAGGCCATTAGGCCAAGGACGGCTTGCTAGGGGTTCGTGAATTCAATAGCCGGCCGAATGAGTAGGGCGAGGAAGGTTACAGGGAGAATCATAAAGATATTCGATAGGTGATCAAAAGAAAAGATTTCAGGACAAATTTTGATCGGAAGCCTTGTCGCCGGGCTTGGGAAGTTGGGTGCTAAAGGCGGCACGTGGTGGTCTTCGTTGACCTCGGTCTACGACAGGATGGGGCACCTACCTTACCAAGGCGAGTGAAGCAGCTCCTGCCAAGTGGCAAGTTCAAAGACACGGGGGTCAATATATCAAGATGTCAGGAGCTTCTCAGAATCCATTCGATTAGGATTGCGGGTATCAAATCAGACCTGCTAACGCCTTCTAATGCCCAGGGGTTGGCCAAGCTCCATTTCCCATTTCCCAATTTTTTCATGTGTCGTTCAATCCACAAGCATCGTATCATCGCCGTCGAATGCGGCGCTCTGCTCAACAGCCACTCCCTTTCCTCTGCCAGCCAGCAGCTCTCGCCTAATTTCAGGCGCAATGGAGTGGTGGCCGTGGGTCAACAGCAAGTCCAGCAGCGCCTCACGCTGGTCCTCGCTCAGGTCGTTCCTGTATCTCTGGGCGAACGCCAGAAGGTTTTGGTGGAAGACGACGGGCAGCGACTTGACCATGTCTCCAGAGAATGACTGTCCCTCCTTAATAGATGCAGGGTCCACGCTTCGGAATCGCAGGAAATGGAAGACGAGCGAGTCGATGACCTGGTACGGAAGAGCGTATTTCTTCTCCAGCAGGGCCTTGATAAAGATGTTGGCCGCACCACCGCCCTCGGTACCCGCCGAAGCTTCCTGAGCAGCACTGCAGCCGCATTAGCACAAGACCACGCCACAGATCGAAGAAGAGGAGAACTTACATCTCGGTGATACCCTTCAAGGCCGCGGCGGAATGAAGTACCGGCACTGACACTCTGACGAGCACAGCAGAAACAATATGCGCCTCACGAATCGTGCAGCCGCTGGAAAGAAGGGGGAACAAGAAGCCGAGGAAGAATGCCCGGGGCTTGTACAGACTTTTCTTCAGCGCATCGAACAAGTGCACATTCAGCTTTTTGTTCTCGTAGATATCCTCGCGGACCTTGTCGAGGACAACAAGCTCCATGAACTTTTGGCACACGATGGGCTTCGACGCAGAAAAGATCCTCGTCGCCTGGTAGACAGCGTTCGGTGTCCACTTTTGGGGTTCCGTAACCTCAATGATGTCCTCCCAATGAGGCAGAGTCGGCAGAATCTTGAAGGGCTTCGGCAGCGGACCGCTCTTGTATCGCGACAGAATATGCCCAACCCTAGCAAAAGGTTAGCAACAGTCTTCCGGTGAGGGCCAACCCGAGGCACATACTTTGTGTACACTTCAATGACCTTCGGAGGAAGCTCATAATCCTCATCACGGACGGGGACGCCCGCTGCTTTCCGGGCCTCGGCAGCCTCGTGCGCCGCGATCTTCTCCAGGATGAGCTCCGTCAAGTTGGTGCCACCACCGGCCATCTCGTCGTCGGGACCCTGGCTACCCCAGCCGTGCTGGTTCAGCATCGCCGCAGGGTCATCTTCGGCCTCGGGTAAGAACTTTCGGTATGTCTCGAGGTCTTCGGGGTCTACCTCAATCTCCTCAACAATCTCGTCCTCCTCGCCCCAGGCCTCCTCGTCGTCGTAGGCCTGTTCGTCGCCAACATCGGTACCGTATCTCGATTCGATTCCGAAAAGGTCGACAGTAGGTTTCGCTGCGGTTTCTGGCTTCGCAGAGCCGTCCTCCTCGGCAAGCTCTCGGCCTAACTTGAGAATGGTGCGACTCCGTGTCGCATCGACGAAGCCTTCCCCATTGTCGTCCTCGTCCGTGTTCTTGCCCTTCTTTTTCTTCGGCGCCTTGTTCTTCAAAGGACCTGTAGCAAGAATATCATCTTGCAGAGGGTTGTGTCTCCGCGACTGGCGGTCGGTCGGGGTGGTAGCCTTGCCCATTTTTGAGAGTCACTCGGTGAGAAATGGTCGTGGCGAAGTACGACTGACAGGCGGGATAAGCGGTGCCTCTTTTTTTTTTTCCTGTGAGCCAGAAATTTTTGATTTTCTTATCGATTGCCCCGCGCCTGATTAGTGCCCAGAACCCTGGACTGGTTTGTTACGGGGCTTGTGTGGTCCTTTGTCCAATCAAACCCCCTGGTGTTGACTTCATCGGCGAGCAGAGTCAATGCCCCGCCACCAAACCCCCACCAAAAAGCTTCTGCAAGTGACTCCGCGAGTCTGTCTTACAGTGAAATTGAGACAACTCTTCAAAAGACCCCAGGGAATTGACATATTTTACGCAATTCTACCTTTTGTTTGACGATAACCACTGAAAACAAACACGAAATGCCGACAGAACTGGAAGAGGTACGCTTACTCGATCAGAAATGCCTACACTTTATTGGACTCGTCTCATGATGTGATAGCTCGTGGGCTTCATCGCTCATCCCAATGCGAATCTCAGAAAGGTTGCCATCGAGAACCTCGTTGGCTACTCACAGGCGGACCCGTCAATTTTCAAGACAGAGAACTTGACGCCCGTCAAGCACCTCAAGTTCCTGGTCAGAGATCACCCTGTAAGTCCAAGCCTTCCGTCGCTCACCTGATCCCGATATTGACAGTTTCCAGAAAATTGCGGAACATGCGTTGACAATCCTCGTCAACCTCACCGCCGAGAAAGATGTTCTTGAGAACGTGGCGACAGACCAGAAGTTTATTGATATTCTGCTGGACTTGGTAGTAGTATGTCAACCTATTTGCCTTGGCATAGAGCTCTGCAGTAAAGGGACTCTGTGTTTTGCTGACCCCCTTTCTTACAGAAACCCGATGAGGCAAACGCCAACCTGATGGCAATGCTGCTTGCCAACTTGGCAAAGTTCGACGGTCTCAACACTATCGTGACCAAGAAGCAAACACCGCCAGCGGAGCTCAAGTCCAACGACTTGGTTCTCAACCAGCTGGTCGACCTCTTCGTCAAGGAAAAGGGAGCCTATAACAAGGATGCCGACTACGACTACCTCGCCTACCTCTTCGCAGATCTCACCAAGCACGCTGAAGTACGCCAGCACTTTGTTACTCGGCAAGACTATGACGAAGTCATCCCCATCACCAAGCTCAAGGTCTTTACCGAGCACCAGTCCGAGATCCGCAGAAAAGGTGTCGCCAGCACAATCAAGAATGTCGCATTCGAGATCCAGTTCCACTCCACCTTCATGGACGATGACGAGGTCGACATCCTGCCGTACATCCTCCTTCCCATCACCGGCAACGAGGAATACGACGAGGACGATACCGTGGATATGCTGCCCGACCTGCAGCTCCTGCCCCCCGACAAGAAGCGCGACTCGGACCCCAAGATCATCCAGACGCACATTGAGACACTTCTGCTCTTCACAACGACGAGAGGAGGCCGCGATTTGCTGAGGCGGGTTAGCGTGTACCCGATCATTCGCGAAAACCACTCCCGCGTCAACGACGAGGGCGTCAAGGATGCCTGCGATCGTCTGGTGCAAGTGCTGATGAGAGATGAGGAGCCGGAGGAGGGCGAGGGTGAGGCAGAATCCAAGCCCAAGGAGCTTACCAACGGCTCAAAGGTCGAGGAGGTTGACGATGACGACGACGACAATGAGATTGTCGAGGTCTAGACGGATAGTATCGTGATGAGGTTTGCATTTTTCCCTTTGGTCATGGCTTTATGTAGAAGGGGCGGATACCCAGGTCCAAAAAGTTGGTTATGTTTCATCTTGGGGAATTCGAGCCAGGAGCTAGTGACATGCGTGAGGAGGACACCGAACCGGTGACTGGCCCAGAGTGTATCTACTTGATGTCTTCGTTCGTCTCGTAAAATAACTTGGACATCTGGCTCGTCTGTCTGTGCTATCTGGATGCAGCGCGCATGACTACTTTCATCGCTGCCTGAATTGGCGCTGGGTTCGATCCTCATCTTGGGCACTTTTTTGCTGATTTTGTGATTTCCATACCCTCGCTCCTTCCTTCCTCTTGAGGTGAGATATCATGATAGGTAGTATATTGTTAAAATGGGGCTCGACGACGACATCCCATCGGTCCACACTGAAGGAGCAACATTGATGAGTCACTATGTTGAGAAGGAAGACGAGCATGAGTTGTTGATCTGCCTCTTACCTTCGATGCCTTACAGTCTTTCGTATCCCTCTTGACGAATCCCGAAGCTCAGAATCAGCCCTCACGTACCCCGGCTCTTTCCAAAGATCCCCTACTCGACAGTAACAGTCACCTTGCTCTTGTCTATCACAAAGTCAGCCCATCTTCCCACCCAACTCTCCGATAACATCATTCCAAAGCAACACGGGAAGTACTCACAAAAGGCAACATGGTCCTTGATCTTCTTCGCCCCATCCTTGGGCGTAGGATAATACCAAGCCGCGTCCTTCAGCTTGTCATCTACACACACACGCCAGTCCATCGTCAGCCGCCGTAATCCAGAGATATTAAAGGTAATTAAAGTCAGAAAACCCCCCGAATAATTTTGTGTAGCAGGAAAAACTTACCCCCAACGTTAACCGAGTAATAATTCGCAGTCCCCTTCCAAGGACAAAACGTAGTCGTCTCCGTTTTCTCAAACGCCTCCGTATTGACCGCCGAGGGCGGGAAGTAGACGTTGCCTTCGACCTCCTCCCACTCCGTCGCCTCGGCGAGCGTGGTCCCATTCACAACTGCCTTTGCTTTTCCTGTTTTGGTCATCTTTTCCGCTCCTCGTGTCCTGGTTTTGAAGAAAAAAATTGTCAAGAGTAAGTGCAACCTGCTGGTTCAAGATGAAACTTTGGCCTTCCTCAACTGGCTTGGTGGAGGGTATGTCAATGGCTTGTAGGCGGAAGCTCACTGTGAGGAGGAGGAGATGCGGGGAATGCGTCGTCTATGCGCCTTTGAATCTTCGTTCGAGTCTCCAACGTCATTGGCCTTTGATGATTTATAAGCACTAGGTAGTCGTCCAATGTTCCTCTTTCCGGGTCTTTGTCTATGTTGGATTCACGATGTTCACTGACATGGCATGAGAGGTGGAGGTAGTAATGCTACTTCAGAGTATTCAAGAGCTGCATTTTCAATACTCATAAACCACTAATGCTATTCTGTTTTCTCTAATGCTAATGTTTCCCCTTAACTCCGGCTGGGTATATGTGTTTGTGTCATTACATATTCAAATACACAATTCAAAGGTTGATAATGTCAATCTCTGAGAAATCGGGCGGGTTGGCGCCATACACCACGCGAACCTTGCTGTCGAGAGCCGTGCCCTCATTACTGATCCAGATGTGTTCGCTGTACTCCTTCGTACGCCGGATCTCGTCGTCGCTCACCCCAATATCGTCACGAGGCAACCAGACTGCAGGTGCGCGCGCCCGAAGAGCGTAATGCTTGAACGCGTTCTTAACGAGTGCATCACGCTCATCGGGCGTCAAGTCTTCGATTTCGTCGTGGAACCCGCCATACAACGCTTCTCCCAGTGCCCGTTGAGCCTCGAGATCCTTATTCCGCTGCTGACGTCGGTACTCGGCCGCCGTATGTACGGGGGCGGGGCCCATCTTCCAGGTCTTGCTGCGCAGGTTCTTGCCTTCCCGTTTAGCCCAGTGGCCGACATCCTTGACCTTACGCGTGGTCGAAGGCTTCCTCTTCGGCGCCCCATTATTCAAGTTTTGCATTTCGATATCGCGGTTGACCGATCCGGCACCGTCTCCATTTCTCATGGGCGTCTTCTCGTCAGCGTCGTCACCGTCTTCGCCGCCGAGTCCTAAACGCTTATTTTGTGCTTGCTGGAATGCTTCGTCCCTAATGACTGCCTCGTCCTCGACAGTGATGGGAAGATATCGGAACAGCGGCGAAAAGGACGTATTGAGCGAGATTTGATACACGGCCGTAAATCCAATGGTAATCAGCATGATGATGCCCTGCGGCACGGCGGTGTTCGTGCCTTCCGTGTCTTGCACAATGAAGAATAAGCCTGCTAAGCAAGCTTCCATCACGTACAGGCCTGTAAACGTCTGGTTGATCGCGCGGGGATACAAGACGCCGCCTGTGTCGCTCTCGAACCGTGTCACATAGAGCATGCTGTAGCGTTGGGCAAACCACAGCAGGCCAAACGTCAGGACCGCGAACAGCGAAATGAGCGGGGCAACGACACAATAGACAAGTGCAATACACGCAAAGTTGGTGTAGACAGGGAAGAATTGACCCCATGCAATCTTAGACAAGGTCGTGTTTCGCTTCCACTTGTCGCGAGCTGTGGAGTCGAGAATTCTGGCCAGAATGTACCAAACCAAGACAGCACCGATCTGAAGTAATGTACCGGAACTGACAGACAATGCCTGGAGCAACATGTAAGAGAAGAAGTAGTTTGACGCTCTTGGTAGGTTGTCAGCAAGGAGGTCCAGAATATTTGTGACATTGGTAAGGCCTTCGACGTTCTTGGCCAACTTTTCGGCTGATGCGGTGAAGAACGACGCGATGGATACGACGAGGAAGACTTGAATGAAAAGGAAGACGAAGTAGAATCGTTGGACAAATTCTGCTTTCTGTGATCCCGTCTTGACACCCCGGAAGAGGGCAAGTTGTTCGAGGATATGAGGGACGACGAAGAGCAGGAGGGCGAGCAAAATCGCTGGCAAGACACCAGCAATGGCAGAAGCGACCTTGTCGATGGGTGCTTTCTTGATCCAGTCCAGCCAGGGAAAGCGGTCAACCAGACCATCGATGTTGGCAATTGACGCCGTGAAGGCAATGGGAATAGCCCAGAAGAAAGCCATGGCTGCGATGATGATGGTGACGGTGCCAGATCTGATTGACTCATGCCACCACTTCATGGCCATGTTGTCCCAAATCACATCCTTGGGTGAGACTTCGTTGATTCGAGGTGACATGTGCTTTGGAATATGGTGCATGAGACTTTGGCAGGCCATGTGCGCTGAGACCTGGTGATTGAATTGGATGAAGGCGGAGTTCATGAGGGGATACCGCTCTGGGTGTGCTTGATCATCTTCAATCTCGACGTTCAGACGGGCCAGCTCAGAGCGGCACCAGTAGATTGTGTCAACCTTCGGGCCAAATGTAAGCCATGCGAGCCAGTTCGGGAAACCCCAGCGCGGAAGTCGGTGAGTCGGCCTGTTCTTCTCCTTGACCCATTTGCGCCATTCTGCGTCGTCGTCTAGAATGTTCTTGTACTCGCCTCCGACAGCATTCCACTCAGGATAATCGACGGGGATTTGGTCATCTTCGCCCATGAAGGGAATGTAAGACTTGATCGTCTGCCAGATGGTCTTGTCCTTTGATGATTGTTTGAATGGGTACTCTCCACCATCGTATCCCTGAGGCACAGGAGACGCGTAGCCGCCAGCGGGGGCTTTCCAAAACTGCCAGAATTGACGCGTTTCCCTATCGTACATGTGGTCCAGGTCGCTGACTTTGCGAACGGTATTGCCATTGCCAAATGGCTCATAGCTTCGCTTGTAGTTCGGATCGGCGGTTTCCTGAGAGACGGCAGAGACGTTCCTAGAGTGAGTCTTGTGCGTCTCAGTGTTGGCAAGCGGCTCGACCTGCTCCGTGGTGTCCTTTGTACTTTTAGGCGTGGCGGGCCGTTCGTTGTCGGTCAGGATTTGAACTTTGCGCGGACGGTTGTCTGGGTGTAGCATGGCGAAGCCGTTTGTAGTCTCCACGGTGTCGTCTACATCTTCAGTGAATTCTTTGATTTCCTTTTGAGCCTTTCCAAGCCCGCCAAGCAAACCTTTCCCAACCTTAGTGACACCATCGCCGATAAGACCCAGCCCGAAGCCCTTAGACTGGGGTCTGTTACCATCTTCAGATGAGCTCGAAGATGAAGTGCTTGAGCGTCTGGATTTTGCGTCATCGCGGTTCTCGTTGATGACGGCGCTGATATCGTGAGGAACCTCGTCATGTTCACCGGAACTAACACCTTGACCAGCTTCGGCCCTCTTTTTAGCCTCGGCATCTTCTGCCTGTCTCCTGAGAGCCTGCTCCTGCCTTGATGGGCCCTTGGACTTGGACGCTTTTCTTGCAGCCTTTTCTTCTTGTTTCTTCCTTTTGAGTTGCTTGTTCTTCGCAGCTTTGACAAGATCCGTCTCAGCGGATTCGAGTTTCAGATGGACGTCTTCCCGCTGCTGGATCTTTTCGAGGAGTGGAGTGAGGTCGCGGTTGAGCCAGATGTTTCGAATTTGACCGGGGAAAACATCGAACAGGCCCATGAGAGCCTCTTCAGTCAACCATTTGGAAGGAATGCTATTGACGAGGATGGTCGTGGCAGAAGCACGGAGTCTGTGCTCGGCACTTGTCAAGTAGTCCTGACGAACTTTGACATAAACGCGCAATTCGAAGAAGAAGACTGTGCAGACCCAAATGATTACGAGCAATGCAAGAATCAAGTGTGCCCAGTATCGACCCGTGTGGTTCTTACCCACATTACCCCATGCCAAAGTGTCCAGGCCAGTAGGCACTGACGTATCGGCGGTATTGTCTCTGGCCATGAGACGGGCTGAAGAAGAGCTGGTGTCATTGGTGGTCTCGTCCTTGGCATCGTCGACGAGATTGTGGCCTTGGCCGTCGTTGTAGTTCAGCGGAGTCAGAATGGGAATGAGTATGGCCGCAATCGGAATAAAGA